TATCATAAGATATTTGCTATTGTTCTTGGTCGTTAAAATATTTAAAAGACCTTAACTAACTGAGTACTTGAGAGGTTAAATTACTTTGTATCCATGAAGTGAGTAAATATTCATTAATTTTAGATTTGAAAAGTATAAGCAATATTGTAATACTTAATCATTGGAATCCTTTATTGCTATGATTTTTAGTTGAAGTACTTCCATGCTAACAAACACAATCTGAACATTTTTAAGATAAAATTTATGGTAAATATTATTAAATTTAACAATTATGAAATCTTTATATTAAATAAAGAAAAGATTCTAATTCTGATTAAAATAAATAGCCTATTAATTAAAGAATAGTTTTTCATCAAACTATTTTGAAAAAGGGTTTTAAAAAAAAGAAATTTACAGTAGAATGGGAAGAGATTAATTAGTCTAATTTCTTTGAAAAAAAATCAAAATTTTATCGTCTTTTTAAATGAAATAGTCAATTTAATCTTTGAGATTAAATTTTCTATATCCGAAAGATGAATTCAATTGCAAACCATAGATCTCAAGTTATTGTAATTGCTAGTTTATTGTTACAATAGTATTTCTGAACTGATGTACTAATTTATTACTTAAATCAACTTAAAAGCTCTCCTAATTTAATCCACAAATTTCAAAAAATATAGTATTATTCTACATATAAACAATATTTTCATACTCATTACTATTTGAATAAAACGTAATTGTAATATCCTTTTTTTTGTAATAAAGATTTGTACAATTACCTAAAAATAAATTATTTGTTTTGGTATGGCAAGTAAATGAGTTTTAATTGGAAAAAATATTATCTATTTTAAAAGGCAATCTTAATTAAAAATTATTTTTTATTAACATATTAACTCCAATATTATCACATCCAATTTGTAAATCAATTTAATTATTGGTTGAGGTTGAATAAGTCAATAAATTATTTTCGACCTTTATTTAAAAACATTCTATTTGGCTTCCATCACAACATTGATAAAAATAAGGTAAAATTTAGAAAATAAATTATTTTTTTGGATTTTTGATCCAATTCTTTTGTGAGAAGTAATAAATAGTCAAAACCCCTAAAGTTTAGTCAAATTAATAAAAATAATTTTTATTAGGCGGAAAATAAATTAATTCAGAGTTGATTTAATACCTTTCTTTTTCAAAACAATTGAAATGCACTTCTAAGTAATTTTATTCTAGAAAAAATAAATATTAATTAAATTATTCAATTCTCAAAGAAGTTGATGTAGATAAATTCAAATTAACTAATTTCAACTCTTCAGAGGTTTGCTAAAATAGTTATAATTGACCATTCTATATAGAGCTAACTATAAATTTAATATTGCAAATCTTATCAAATATCAGTTTTTTAATCCTCCCTTTCACTAAATCAAATTAATTACCTAAGTAAAATTGATTTAATTAAAATTATAAACTTATGTATTAAGTACCATCATATATGTATAAATTTGGAAAACAAATATCAAAATTTTCTAGTTCATTTTCCAAATGAAAATTAAAGTTTTTTAAGGAATTTTCATAATTTATAATTCCTAATTCTTTGCCCTTTTTTAATACTTAAATACTCCAATTTTTACATTAATATATAATATTTAAATAAAACTCGAATGAAAATTGCTCCATTGATCTTTTACAATGATTTTGAAAAGGTAATTGTAAAATCTAAATATTTGAAAAAAGATGGGTAATTCGATCTATTTAATGTAAAATAATGTGGGAGTTTGTAAAGCAATATACAACCATAATATTATTATTTTCTTTATAAATCTATTTGCATTATTCATTTTCTTGTATTGGCAAAATAAATTAGATTTTAGTAGAGGAGGAATTATTGGATGAATTACGATTTGATAAATCAAGATCGGAAATACATTGAATAAAATAGAATCCATCATAATGTAGATTACAAATTTCCTTTAAGTATATATCATCATACTTATCTGTTAAAATAGATGACAATAATGATCCTTTAAATTCATATTGTTTTTGTAATTCTACAGTAATTGAGGCTTAATCATAATTTTACCTAAAACTATAATATCTGTCATCTGATTCAATTAAAATTGCATCTTTCTATTTAGCTATGAACGACTCCCCAGGCAACAAGTGGACTTAGGTACAATTTAATAAAATTTCATTCTCTATTCCAATTTTCAACAATAAGAAATAAAAGAAAAAAGAATTTAAATTCATTTTTTCTCTAGTGATAATAATTTGGGTATAATATTATTAATAAAATAACTTGTTTTCATTTATTTATTTTACAACATTTTATACTTTTTATATCTATATATATTGGTTTTTTAGTAACTAAATGCTTATCTAAAATTGAAAAATATGAATTAATTTAATTAATATTGTTTTATAAGTTCTTATCTTTACAAAATATAAAGAATATTTCTAATGAAGAAAATTTTAATCCAAACTCTTAATGCTTCTACAAATTTTAAGGTCTTCTTTAAATTAAGAAAGAATCACTAGAAAACATCATGGAGATAAAGAAGTCCTTCATTAAAAGTGGAAAATAGCATTAATACATTTAGTATTCTAGATGAGTCCACAAAATTAAAAATAAATTATTGGTTCAAATATATTGATAAAATTAATTTTATGAGAAGTATTATCTAGCAAATTATTTTGTTTGTTCATTATATAATTAAATAAAATAATATAGTAATGCAAGAGCTTCTCGATTAATTCATAGAACTATTAAAATAGACAGATGAAGCCATAAAGAATAAAATTAGAGCACTAACAAATAATAATGTTGATTTTCAGGTTCCAAATAATAAGTGGGATGAAGCTTCAGTCAAATTATTAAAATTGCTAATTTAGACCTATTGTATAGATCAATAGATTAGTCATCATTAAGTTCCAGATGATATTTGGAGCTTAATATCCTAACTTGTGAAGAAATCTACCATAGATTGCAAATTGTAATTTGGGACTAGGAAAAAAATAAGATTACTTCAATAATAGTGGTCAAAAAAGGAGGATGAAGCATTAAAAGAAATCTGTTTTTCGTACTAAGCATAGAATAAACCATATAAGTGGAGTGAAATTGCAAAAGAATTAGCTTAAAAATTAAATCAATAGAATGTTAAATTGACCAAATTTGTAAGAGATCGATGGCTAAACAAGTTAAATCCTAACATTTAAAAAGGTCCTTGGGAAAAGAATGAAGAATATGAATTATGCAAATAGGTGTTGAAACATGGAAAAAATTGGATGAGTATTGCATTAGAGATGAAAAATTAAAGAACAGAAAGCTCGATAAAGAATAGATATTTTAATATATTGAAAAAGCTGGAGAAATAGGAAGTTCCAATATTAAGTAAAGCAGACATAGAAAAAGAGCTGGAAAAATTATATTCAAATTAAATTGAAAAATTGGATTAATTTGGATAATAAGAAATTAGTTTTATTTTATATTCATTAAGGAATCTGGAACCAAAAATAACAAAAGCCAAGTAGGAATTTGAGGCAGATAAGAATGTATAAAAGAAAAGCAATGTGAGTACTTAAAATAATGGATCAAAAAAATTATTAAAAGCAGCAGAAAAAGACTAAAAATTGCATGCAAACAACATAGTTAAGAAAGTTCTTTAATAATACAATTAAGATGAAAATCTTGATTACAATAAAATGAAAGAGCATTATTAAGATGTAGTAGCTTAAAAAGGGGACACTTTAGAATTGGATGAAGAACCCATAAGCGATTCTGATAACCTATCAGAAGTGTAATTTGCAGTAATGGGAAAGGATTCATAAAATTTACATCTCATTCCTAAATCATAGCTAAAAGCTGTCATGGAATTGATGAAACAAAAAAAAGAATAAAAAAAAGAAGTGTAACAATCACTAAGTAAAATTTAATCTCTTCCACCACCTCTTCCAAAGTTAGAATAAAAACTATAATAGTCTCAGTAATAATCATCTTAACAATAATAGTAGAATCAATAATAGGTTTCTTAATAAATTTCACAATCTCCTTAACAATAAATTCCAGTTTAAATGCCTATGGTTTAGTCAATTATGCAACCAGTTGCTATGCAGGCTCCAGTGATACCAATACAATAATAACTTTAAGGGTAGTAATAGTAACCTTAACAATAATAGTAATCTTTACAACAACAATAATAATAATAGCAATAATAATAACAATAACAACAATTATAATTATAATAGTAACAATAATAATACTATTAACTTGTCTATCCTTCAAATTTTATGTATCCATAAGTTTAGATGGCTTAGGTAGCTTAAATACCAATAATGCCAGGCTAAATGATGGGATAAATTCCAGGTTAAATGATTGGATAAATGCCTGGGCAAATGGTTAGTTAAATTCAAGGACAGATTCCAGGATAGATGGTTGGTTAGCTTCCAAGTTAGATGATAGGTCAAATTCCAGGATAAATGGGTTAAATGGTTGGCTAAATTCCGAATCCGATGGTAGGGTAGATTCAAAATTAGATGGTTGGCTAAATTCCAACTTAGATGGTTTCTGCCATTCCTGGATAGATGCCCTAAATTATTTCTCAACTCTAGCCCTAAATGATGTAGCAAGTCTAAGGTTAACTTCCATAAATGGTTTAGCCTGGGTAAATGGCCACAATGTAAAATGGATAAATGTAGATGCCTCAAATGGCACAAATTCCTTAACTTGCCTAAATGCCCTTATAGTCCCTTCCTTTGACTGCAACACAACCTGTAGGGATGCCGCAACAATTTATTCCAATATTGTATTGAATATATTAAGTCAATTAGATATGCCCCTTAACCAGTATATTAATAACAATAACAAGCTTAAGGATAATCGAATCAATAATAAAAGACCAATTAATAGTAATAATAAGTTCCGATTATGAATTATTAAATTCCAATGATGCCTCAATACTAGGATCAGTTTTTCTAGTTAATGAATATGAACTAACCAAATTAGTAAAAGCAGCCTAAGTATTCATAAGTAAAATAGGAGACAGAAGAGCATTAATAACAACAATAATAAAATCGTAAATGAATAAAATTAATAATTTATTTAATTCATATCTAACCTAATTTAAAGGAACATTAATATAGCATTGCTCCGACTTTAATTTTTTCTTTATCCGATATTTTTTCCTCTAGAGCCGAAAAACTTTTGATTGGGTTTTGATTTTTCAAGAATTCTTCAACTGACATACCTTTAAGCATATGTTTTCCATAAAGTTGTATGCTTAACTTAGATGATTTTTTAAAGGCGGAATTCAGAAAATTAAGTACATCTTCTTTTTTTAGAAGATCTATTTAATCAATGGTTATATCTTTTTCTTCAAATATGAAATCATTATTTGATATATGATCCCAATAAGCCTATCCTTTTTCGAATAGTGTTTTTTCTTTTTATCTCAATTATTAAATCTAAAATATAATGATTATTTAATACCGCTGCTTTTTTTAATTCCTCAATGTCGAAATCTGTCATCTTTTCAACCTCCTGATAGAAGAATTAAAGGAAGTCTTCAATATATTAATTCACTTAATATGGGGTTTGAGCACTGCCTTAGACCAAAATTGAAGCTCCATCAAGACACTCCAATGGTTAAAACTTAGCAGAAACCAAGTATCCCAATTGTTTATCTGTTCGTAAATAATTGAACGCATAACTGTTAAAGGTACCTTTCAAGATATTCATAATAGCAAATTATTTTCTATTTCTATTTCCAAAAATGTAATAATTTAATGTAGCTCCATTATTTTCATTAGATTCTGCTGCATATGGAACTATGTAATTATGAGAGAGCTTTAGAATTTTTGAGTAGATGGGATTATAATCCAAGTGCTTTGGTTTTCCAAAGAGCTTTTTCTCAATAGATTTGAATAGAGAGAGTGCTTCTTCTCTGAGTACGTTTCCTGTTAAATAGAGTTAAAAGTTTGTTCCTTTGAATAATTAGGAATGGAATTACTCATAATCTTTGATATTGATGTTTTTTAGTTCTTATAAGATTGATTTTGGTTCATAGTAACCGAATATAAGAGTCTATAATATAAATGATAATATACATTTAAGAAAAAGTGATTCTTAATTTGAGAATATAATGGACTTTGTATTTCTTGGTTATATTAATTAATCAAAGTCTTGAGTGTTTGCTCATAAATCTGTTTATCAATTTATTGTTTTGTGAAAAATGTTAAAGAATCATCTATGAAATCAAAGAATTTATCATTCCAACCATAAATATTAAATATAATGTGATTGGGTGATGATTAAAACTTGAAATTGTAATTGTTTTAAAAGGCTGATTCTAAGTTTTATGAAATTAAAGCCGACGTATAGGATTGAAATATTTTTAAGAGGACTTATTATTTTAAATTGAATTGGAAGTTGATTTTATCTATTTTCATTCCCATAAAAATGGCTGGTGTTTTATAAGATCTATCTAATTTCCACCACAATTTTCCAATTGATGATTTAAACAAATATTCAGGAAGAGGATATAATTCTTCATATTAGTGTTCATACTGTAAACATTCCTTATTAGATTAAAAACAATTATTACTTCAACATTGGAAAAGACCATTTCTGAATTTCTCTAAATGAGCATATTCTTATTTTGTAAATCCTCATAGGGATCTTCATCTATTTTGCTCTCTGAATAAGGTTTGCAAAATGATTTCATTTTCAAATCATTCGGTTGGTATTTATGAATAGATGGCAATTAAAATTTTGGTTGTTCAACTTCATCATAAGACTATATTTTCTATATGATTGAATCTGGGATGTCCAAATAGGCATAGTTAACCCTGTTGACTTTATCATATTAGACATCAGGATGATTTAATTGGGAATCCCCTAAAAACACATTCAAATTATCAATATCCAATAGATCTGTAAGATAAAAGTATATTAATTCTGGGTCGTATTCCTCGTACAAATATTTTCTAGATAAAACATCATGAATTCCATAGATATTCAAATTGTGAGCAATTTCTTAAATATCTTCAATGATGTTTTCTTTGAAATTGAATTTAAGTGATGCTGTTTTCTTATAATCGTTATATAAGGCTCTTAATTTAACATTATCAGCTACAGTATCGCCTTAATCATCGAATAAAGTCTGTATGAGGTAGTAATAATAAGAAAAGACAGATTAAATAATCCGGTCGTAGTCATTGAAACTGTAAACTTAGAATTCTAAAGCCAAAACACTAAAACAGCCGTTATGATCATTAAATAAAATACCACTTGACATATCTATAATGAGGTTTTTTGATATTAGATATTCTTTGACTCCTTTGCTTGATTAAATTAGATTATTAATGAGTTCGATTGATTTTGTTTTGTATTATTATTGAACATCAGACAATTAATGAGTGATGTAAACTTTCTTTACGTCTGAATTCGATCGATATTAGATTAATTAAGTGCCATACTAGATTGGAGATCCGAAATCTTCACATGTAGGTTCAACTAAATTGTTATTTTTGATCTTTTCAAAATTCTTTATGTAGGTTTTAAGATCAGATATTGGCAGACTGCTTTCTATAACTAATGACATTAAATTAGATGAGTAGGCTTAATTAAAAAATTCTTTCAACTTTTCTGATACTATCGAATGTATATTAAAGATAAATTACTTTCATCCTTTAATAAAGTATTTAAGTTTCCTATTGAGAACTGGCTAAATGGATGCGATTTTTCTGAGATTATCTTTAATAGGGCTTCAATTTTCCATTCATCAGTACCAGTGATGATTTCATATTCATTATTCACTGCATTCACTTCCTTCTCTACCATCTTCTGATCCAAGATTGGGTCGATGAAGAAGTGACTAAACACATCTAAACTTTAATGCAATGCACTGTTTTGGATTGTGAAGTAATAATTGGTTTCATAGTTATCTGTGTATGCATTGTTTGTGCCTCCATTGTTGTGAATCAAATTATTAAAATAATTAGGGTCTGGAAATGTATGCGATCCAACAAATAGCATGTGCTCTAAGAGATGTGCTAAGCCACCATAATTAGCTGGTTCTTGGAAGGAGCCTGCTTTTACACTTAATGCCACTTATGAAATAATTGCATCGTTATTTTAGATCAATAAAACAGTGAGTCCATTTTCCAATGTGATTTATTCATAAATGTTGGTGTCAATCAAGGGTTTTTTAATTAGCTATTTCTAAAGAAATGATGTTTGATCATGCTATGTGGGTTTTTACTATTAAATCATCATAGTAAGCATAAAGGTTATTAAACAGAATACGATTATGAGCATTATTGTGTTAAATATTGGGGATACTATCTTCTAGTATCCCTTTGCATTATTTAATTTCATTTTCGACTCGACTAATCCTTGCAGTTCTTCTTTCATTAAAAACGATAATATTAATTTGTGATTTTAATAAATAAATTTAAAAAAAACAAACAATTAACAAAATGCTCTACGCAACAAATAGCTTGTATTACAGATAATTCCTCACCACCACAGGAAAGTAATGAAAATATTCATATTCAAATTAGGAAATCAAAAGCACAATATTAACCATAGCATTAATAAACAATTGCAAAGGGATAAAACTCTGAGCATCCAGCTGCTTAAAGTGCATGATTTATATATTCAAAATATATCACACATATATTAAATGCGAAGTATTTGTTTGAGTTGCTGTTCTAAGTTGCTTAGAGTGTTTTCGAGTATTTTCTCCACAAATTAGATTATAATAAATTATATTGATTAAAGTTAGAGTCTTCAAATAACCTATTTATAATTTATACGTAATCAAACTAGAATTTGATAAATTTCCATGATTATCTATAAATATTTACATACTTAATTAGAGACTAAAGAACTAGTTATTATGAATTTAAATAATATAAATATTTGTGCACTTGAAATGAAATGTCAAGATGACAAACCAGCTTCATAATCTTATTAATTTCTGGATAAATTAGGCGAAGGGTATACATATTTTTTACAGCTTAAGTTCCTTTGGATATATCTGGAAAGTCAAGTAAATCTCCACTGGCTAGATCTATGCCTGCAAATTAGTAAAAAATACGATGAAAAAAGAGAGGACACTTCTTTAAAGAGAAATAAAGATTTTGTAAATATTAAAAGGAAAAAAGGGTAATGATTCATCTGCTAACTGAAGGATTTACCCAATTAATCACATCTGGTTAGGATAACAGAAACACTTATTTTATTATGAATTTGCTAGGAGATAACTTGGAATAGGTAAGAATGAAATGTGGCAATTTTGATTCTACTAGTATTTTGAATACAGGACAGTAGATGATTCAGTTACTTAAAGACCTTCATCATTCAAATATTATCCATAGAGACATTAAGCCAGAAAACTTTGTGGTTTATTAGGACAAACTACATTTGATTGATTTTGGATTATCCAAATAATATATATAGGATGGAAAACATATAGAATTCAGAGAGCAAAAGGGTATGATTGGAACTGCAAGATATGCTTCCATTAATAGTTTAAAAGGCAATGAATAATCTAGGAGAGATGACTTAGAATCAGTAGGTTACTTGCTAATCTACTTGTTCATGGGCACATTACCATGGAACAACATTGTGGCTGATGACAAGACTGTCAAATATTATAAGATACAGAGAATGAAGGAAGCATTTAAACCAGAAACATATATTAACCTTCCTCCAGAGCTATCAAAATACCTTGAATATGTTAGAAGACTTAAATTTGATCAATAGCCTGATTATGATTATTTATTCAAATTATTTAGGAGAGGAGAAGATTTAACTGGAACTCCCAAATTGTAAATCTAATAAAATCACATGTCAATCAAAACCAATTTAGTTCGTTTAAAGAACATAGATAGAACTCAATGTTAGACTACTCGCAAATTATTTAATCAAGTTGGAAACACTAGTCGTCGAATTACCTTTGAAGATCTCAGCTCAGCTGGGGCAGATATAATGGAGGAGTTGGATAATAATGAGAGAATTCAATTAAAAAACCTATAAGTAGGCATAAAACAACCAAATACTTTCAATAAAATAAACAAAGTCAGAATGGGGTCAGACTAAATATTTGAAATAGAAAATAAACTACAATACTAAGTACCTTTTTCATTAAAATAACTAAAATGAATAAATTGATTATTTTGATTATAATATGAAGGTTAAATTACATTTTTCAAGTTTTTCATCCAATAATCCAATTGTTATTAAGTGATTTTATCATAAAATATATTAGATATTTGGTTTCACTCAAGGATTATCTTTAAAATATCAGAATAAATATATTTCATATAATCTAAATTTATAATTTTGACTTCTCAATCTGATTGACAATCATTATAGTTATAACAATTTCTTGTGATACTATTAAAGTTGATTGATTATAAGGATAATCATAGAATAACATTTAAAAAAAGAATATAATTATGATGAATATACATAGAAAAGTTATGCTTAGATTAATTTTAATTAAATTGTTAAAAAAGTCTTTCTTTAATAGAAAAATGTCGATTACATAGTTAAATAGGAAAATAAATCAGCTATTAAATTCCATTTTGGGAAAATAAGAGGAATGCATTAGGTTAAATATCCTGGATTTGTATAATAACTTTCAAGATCCTGAATTTGATTAATATATGTTTTAGCTCTGGTAGTTACTATTACATTAGGTTTAGTTATCTCTTCTATGTGACTGATAATAAATGTATAAAGGAGTTACTTTATAATTATGCTTTTTAAAATACTGTAAAATTTTTTAGATTGGAATGGATGCTAAAGGCTTTGAATGAAGACTCCAAATGCTAAAAAGTAAAGATCGGGTTTTCTACATTTTTGAAAGTAATTTCGAGGAAATATTTCTTAGTAATTGTAAACAGAGTTCGACTAAAAATATTGGAGTTTAGCAGGGAAATCATAAAAAAGTAAAATTACAATTTAAAATCCTAGCCAAATCGGCAAATAGTCCATCAATTTATAAAGATAAACAGGATCAAATAATATTCAATTTGATTGAATAAAGCTTGAGATTGAAAAAAATAAGTATAGAAAAACAAAAGGATCATATGAAAACTTTTTTAATGTTGATAAATCAAATGATAACAAGTTTAAGATTTTCGGGGCAACCTGAATTTTGTGGCTTAACTATTCCTTTTAACTGTGATAATGTAGATTCCTTTCTAATAGTAAATTTACTTGAAGATGAGTTTACTTGTTTCAATACAGCAAAAAGAGTTCCTTATAAGATCACTATAGAAACAGTAAAGTATATATAAAATAAAATGAACACTTAGTCCTTCTGAATTGGAGTTGATATAGAATATTAATCAATTAACCTAGAATAATTTGCCATAGCTGATTCCTATATATGATATAGAAAAGGAAATGAGAAGCATTTCTTAAGTCAAAATATTTTAACAATATAATATCGAGGAATTAAAGAAGTATTAAATGTTATTATTTTATGTAGATTGGCTTTAAAAAAAATAGATTTTTAAAGAATGCAATACTTATAAAAGTAGAGCAAGATCGCTGAAAAGGATATAAATGTCTCCAGATCTTCAAACTCTTCGATTTGGGGAGAGGATTGGAATATTACAAAGTAAAAGATTAAATAAAATTCATTATATGGGAACCTGAAATCCCATGTAGTTAGATAGATCATAATAAAAGGAGGTGACGATCTCAGAAGCGAACTCTTAATTATGCAAATGATGAGAAAAATTAATGAAATATTCAATTAGAAAAAAAACAATCTTTACCTTCGACCTTATGATATCATTCTAACATCTCCAAATAGTGGTATATTGGAATTCATACCCAATACTGTTTCTATTGATAAGATTAAAAGAGAATATTAAGGAATCTCGTTGAGAAAATTTTACTAAATGAACTTTGACAACTTTCAAGAGGCTCAAAAGAACTTTGCTGAAAGTTTGGCAGCATACTCATTAATTTGTTATTTATTCTAGTTAAAGGACAGACACAATGGGAATATTTTAATTGATAATTAAGGCCACATAATTCACATAGACTTTGGATTTGTATTGACATTGACTCCAGGAAATGTTGGTTTTGAGTCTGCTCCATTTAAATTAATAAGTGAATATGAGGAATTATTAAACGGTAAAGATAGTGATATGTATATGTATTACAAAATAATGATATTTTCAGGTATGTATTAATATTTAAATGTATAGGTCTTGCTATTCTGTAAGAGAACATCACAGAATTAATAACCTTTGTAAAATTAATTAATTTCAGTCCCAATCATAACCTTTTGAATTGTTTGGAGAATTTTAGTATCAATGAATTCAAGAAAAGATTTCATGAAAATGTTGACTAAAAGAAACTCTTTGAAATAGCCGATAATTTGGTCAAGCAATCTAGCAATTCATTAAAGACCTAGCTATATGATTATTTTCAATTCTAAACCAATACTATTTATTATTGACGCCTTATTATTTTTAAATTATATAACCATCGTAAAGATCACCTAAATATAATTAAAAATTGAAAGAAAAGGAAAACGAGATTTTCATGGTTCCAGATCAGCCAAGTAAGAGAAATTGAAATATAACGTATAATTTGTATTGAAACATGGAGGGACCAAAACACTAAACCAATTGAAGGTACATATAATTTCAAAATACCTTAATAATTAGTACTATTATTGTATAAATTATAAATTTATATAAATATTCAACTATTAGTTCTTTTATGTTGTTTTATCATATTTTAAATGTCATCTAGCACTCTTATTTTACTCTATTACACTTATCTTTAGTGCATAATAAAGTCTTTTGTCTTTAGGGCTTCCCTCTCCTCTTGAATTCTCTCATTTTCAATCAATTTCATCTTTTCTTCTAACTATTTTTATAAGGGAATACTTACATATCTCTATTCATTTTATAAAGTCTTTTGGTTTTATTTAGTTTTTAGATATTTATTTTTATAGATTTCTATCTATTCTTCACTCACAATAGCTTACTTTTTCATTTCCTGTATTAGTCTTTTTGAATCTGCTAATTCATCCTATGAATAGTTTAATTGAAGTTGCAATGACTCTAGTTTCTTTTCTATTTGTGATTGTTTCTATTGAATATACATATTAAATTACTTCCAAGTGTTGCTAATTCAAATAGGAGATATCATTATCTGATTCATATAATAGTTATTATAATCTTCTATTATCTTAATTGAGTTAATCTAAGTCTTGTAAAATCTAACCTCTTTCTTCCTAATCTATCTGGTATTGTTTATCATACTAAGCCAATTTTTCTTCATATGTTTATACTAAGGATTTCTATGATTCTAATTTGGACTTCAATTCTTTTACTTCCTAAACTGAATAATGTGCCTCTTTTAATGCTAAATCAGTTTTATTTCTTTGATCATCTAGATGAGATTATAATTTGATATTTTCTTATTATTTTTCTAAGATGGAATTATTCAATGCGAATTCTTGCTTCTATTATTAGCTAATCATGTTTTCCAATTATTAAATTTGATTGCCCATGTTTTTGATCTTCTCTTTTTTTTTATTGATTTATGCATTCAATTCTTACTGTTATGTCAATTTTTCCTATTAAACTTTATTGAGTTCCAGTGAATGACGCGATTCATTAATTTTAATTTGTTTTTCTAAGTCTTCAGCTTTACTATTAACATTGTTAATAGTTAATTGTAAGATCTTGTTTTCTTCTAATTGCTCTTTTATATTTGATTCTAATAGCTAAGCATTTTATTTTTCTTCCTTAATTGCCATTTCTAGGTATCGACATTGTTCTTCTTTTGCAATAATAGCTTATTTTAACACATTATTTTCATCTTTCAATATGGAGTATCGTTTTTCATGATCCTTACTAATTAACTTATTTAGAATCCATACATCTCATTTGTTAACGCATCGTAGAGTCGCTGCACTCTATCCAATTCAACCTAGAATTAGGCCTTCTGTTCTTCCAACTTTGTATCATTGGCTTTAGACTCATCTTTCAATAACTTGATTTTATTTTTCTTCTTCTGCACCTTATTTTTCATATCGTTTAATTATGTTTTCAAATCTTCATTGCCTTTGGTTTACCAATCTGATCGTTCTCTCTCATATTTTTGGATGAGTTCTTCTTTCAATTGTAATATCTTCTCTTGATCTTTGCCCTCCTGCATGTAGTCTCTTAAGGCTGCCTATGCCATCAATAAATGTTCTTACTTTTAACTTGGAATTGAGGTCCTTTAATTTGTTATATTTGTCTCTTGACACAAAACCAGATTAAGAGGTCATTTCTTTCCACGCATTTGGAGAATTGGAAGCGAGTGGGTCGATATCTCTTCTAGCTTGATTTTATCGATTAAGTAAATCGTTGCTCGAGCCTTGGTTTGTTCTCATTATTTAAATATTAATTTTTTATAACAGTCACATCAATAAAATGGATTAAAAAAATTAAATATTTATCAATGAAGAATTTTTGAAAGTTGAAATAATGTTTATAATTCATTCTTTTTCCATATTTAATGAGTAGCGATAATTTAAGAAAAGGATTGATTAACGATAGCTTTGGAGACTTCGGGAGTTTCGTAGAGACCCAAATGCCTGAGGAGAAGAAAACAATGAGAGAAAAAGCAGGATTCTTCGGGAAAATGTTTGTTTCCTGGATCTACCCTACTTTGTAAAATGTGCTATTAACCTAAGGAAATTAGCTTAAAGTCAGCCATTGGAGATTGAAACAATACAACCTCTGGCAAAGACTGAGAAATCCAAATATCTTTACGAGAAATTCAAAAAATAATTGAGCATTACTAAGAGAGGCGAAAATACTATATTCGAGGCCTTGTTTCACACATTTTAGAAGCGAATCATAATTACTTTTATTTGGTTAATAATTTCAGCCAGCACTGCAGTTGTTATTCCAATTATGATTAAGAATATTATTGACTACATTACCAGGTAGGAAGAGGATTATGTATATGCTACCATAATAATTGCAGTTATCATGATATCAAGAGCAATTAATATGATTTCGAATGCTTAATCTAGATTGGAGATTGTAAATGAATTTAATATTTTAAGAGAGCCTTTGGTTTTGATGCTTAATCTGTACTTTCAGTAGAATTATTGAGTAAAAGTTTACGAACTTCTTTTTTAAGTAATCCGAGGTACACTACTGGAGAAGTGATAAATTTGATGTAAGTGGATGCAGGGAAACTACAATTTGTAACATATTACTTGGGAGTGGCATTGTTGGTTCCAATCTAGTTGATAGTCACAATATATTTAATGTTTGTTTATATTGGATTATCGTTTCTTGGAGGGTTCGGTATAATGTTGTTAACAGCAGTTTGGAACACGATGATAGGTAAGTTCTTAATGAAATATTAACAAACGATGATGAAGGAGAAGGACAAGAGGACAAATTGTGCAAATCAGATATTCTCATAGATCAAATTCATTAAAATAAATGCTTTTGAAGAGTTCTTCAGAGAGAAACTATTCAAATTGAGGAAGGCTGAGATCAATATAACTAGAAAGCGTTACTTTGGAACGGCCTTCTATATCTTTTCAGTTTGGTTAAGTCCTTTATTGATATTGTGTGGAACATTCCTTATGCACATTTTATTAGGCCACCAACTCAGTGCTGGGAGTACGTTTGCAATCATAAGTTTATTCTAAATGTTGCAATAACCTTTGTTACAATTACCAATAGCAATCAATGAGGTTATGGCTACTAATATCAGTTTAAAAAGAATACAGAAGTTCTTATTTACTGAGGAATTATAATCGGATTGCATCTAGTATGATTATTATGACGATGAAAAATCAATTGAAATAAGAGACGGTAATTTCTATTGGTCAGCGCTTAAGAAGGAGGAAATTGATGAGTAAGAGAAGAAGGAGTAGGAGAACAAAAAGAAGAAGAAGAAGCAAAAGAAAAGCAAAAAGTTTTAGGTCGAAGAGTAAAGCCATGAGGAAGATGAGAAGAAATAGGTGCTGTTTAATATCAATATTGAAATTAAGAAGGGACGGATGATTGGCATAATAGGAGATGTGGGATCAGGCAAGACATCAATCTTATAGGCCATAATAGGGGAGATGTTGTTTAAAACTGAGAGTCCTCCTAAAGTTACTGTGGGAGGTTCATTGGCATATGTGGGACAGAAGTATTGGATACAAAACTTAACTGTAAAAGAAAACATATTATTTGGATTAGAGTATAAAGAATAGAAATACTAGAATGCCCTCAAATACTCCTGCTTATAGTAGGATTTGAAGATATTAATAAAAGGAGATGAAACTATGATTGGAGAAAAGGGAATAAATCTATCTGGTGGTTAAAAAGCAAGAATAAGTTTGGCTAGGGCCATCTACAGTGATGCCGACATAATATTGTTGGATGATCCAATCAGCGCAGTTGATGCACATGTAGGTAATTTCATTATGAATGAATGTTTGAATGGATATTTGAAGGATAGAACAAGAATTCTTATTACTCATGCTTTAAACAATCTGCAATATGTAGACTACGTGTATCTATTGGAAAATGGAGCTATAATCGAGAAGGGCACGTTTGAGGAAATAAAATAATCAGTCAGTTTCAATTCGATATATTAAAAGTTATACAAACATCAACATTAAAATGATGATGAGGAGACGATTGAGTAAAAGGTGGAAGAGTTACCTCAGTTGGTGAAATAAGCCTCTTAGAAGGAGGAGAACAAGAATGATTAGAATAATGAATTGATGTTGGATGAGGACAGAGAAAGGGGCAAGTTGGCATTGGAAACTTACAAGGAATATTTTAGATTAACTGGATATTTTAATATTGCTTTGTTGGTTATAATTTAAATTTGTTGGATTATATGCTATTTTGGTACATCTATTTTGATCGCTCTTTGGACTTCTCGTGCAGAGGAAGATGAGGATATAGATAATTATAAATATTTAGAGGTTTATTTCTATTTCTCTTTGGGACAGGGAATATTTGCGTTTCTGAGACCTTTTTATTAGTTTCTGCTGGAACCAGAACATCTGATAAGATTCACACGAAAATGATAAAGTAAAGAGTATAATTAATGATAGTTGTTTACTATATGCTCCCTAATGCTCATTTTTTGAAAGAGTGCCATTGGGTAGAATATTGAATAGGTTGACAAAGGATTAAAACTCATTGGATAGTGAAGTATATTGGGGATTGAGTTGGTTTTTTGTGGCTATCAGCTTATTGGCAGCGAACTTGACTATTTATGTCTATTCGAGTACTGCTTATATGTTGATTCCTTTGTTTTTCTACTTTTGTCTATGTTGGTGGATTCAACAGTTATATGTGACAGCAAGCAGGGAATTATAAAGATTAGAATCAATCTCTAAAAGTCCGATAGTGAGTTTCTTTGGAGAATGCATAAATGGATAGAGTTATGTGAGGGTGTTTAAAAAAGAAAGTAAATTCATAGAAAAGCATTGTGACAATATGGATGTAAATCGAAGAGTGTTTTTAGAATTAATAGGATCTTAGACTTGGTTCATGTTGGTGTTGGGATTAGTAAGTTTAGTGGTGAATGCCATGGCAATAGTGTATTGTGTATTCTTCTCCTTTTCTAATCCCTCTTTGGCTGGATTGCTATTGACCTATGCAACTTAAATAGATGGCAATGTTTCGGAATGTGTTCAATCCTTTAGTTAATTGCAATTGGGATTAGTTTCATTTGAGAGATGTTTGGCATTCACCAAAATAGAGCCTGAACCAGGATACAAGGAGTTAGTTAATAATCATTTAGTGGAGGTTTCTCATTAGGAGAATTATTTAGATCATTGGCCAAAACAGGGAAGGATTGATTATAGTAATTATTCAGTCAGGTATCGAGAAGGATTGAAGCCTGCATTGAAGAATCTCAATATTACGATTGACCCTCAGGACAAGATTGGAGTTGTAGGCAGAACTGGAGCAGGTAAGTCTACTATGACACTAACTCTCCTGAGAATTCTTAGAAGGCTTTGGAAGGCAAAATTGTGATCGATGAAGTTGATATATCCACTATTTCATTGAAGCAACTTAGAGAACATATTACTATGATTATGTAAGATTCCACAATATTTGATGGAACTCTAAGAGAGAACATTGACCCTTTAAATTAAAGAACAGATGAGGAAATTATCAATGTGTTGGAGCAATGTTGTTTGAAGGATTTGGTAAAGCAGAGGAATGGATTAAATACTTAAATTAGTGAAGGAGGTGACAATTTGAGTTCTGGAGAAAAATAGCTAATTTGCATAGCCAGGGCAGTTTTGAAAAAGAGTAAGGTGGTTTTAATTGATGAAGCCACTGCCAATATAGATGTTGAGACTGAACACAAGATATAAGAGACAATCTTGAATGCATTTCGTGATTGCACTGTTATCACAATTGCTCATAGAATAAATACTATTTTGCATTGCGATAAGTAATTAGTTATTTGAGATTTTAGAATAATTGTAGTTGATTAAGGGGAAATAAAGGAGTATGGCAAGACCAATGAATTATTGTTGTTAAAGGATTCCATTTTCTATGGAATTTATCAAGAAGCTTTGAGACATAATAAAAAATGATATACGGTTTATAAATAATAATTAATAGTATATTTTCAATTAAAATTCTATACATCCATTGATGGTTCTTGGAAGGTTTTGATTGAAATAAAATGGCCTTCAGTTTTTCTATCAATAGATGGAATTTCAACAATGCAATGAGAAAAATACTGAAATTCTTCTGGATAGCATAATTCCAATGTTTTTTTTGTAGATTCTGAGACTTACACCTTTCCTCTTTCCCCCTTCGATTCCATTTTATTAGCTATCAACACGTCTGGCCCATAGATATCATATCTCACAATATCAGTTCCAAGAACTCCTCCGATGATTTTCCCAGTGTGTATACCTATCCTCATATCCAGATCTGAATTATTGATTTTGTCTCTGACCTTGCTGATGATGTTGATCATTTCGAATCCCATTTCCACAGTGTTTTTAGCCTCCAAGGCTGGATTTCTGTCTTTGGCATCCACCATTCCCATGACCACATAACAGTCCCCAATGGTATATAACTTATACACATTCTTCTCCTGACAACACTTATCAAATTCAGTGAATAGATTCCGCAACATAAATACGACTTATTCAGGAGCCACTTTGCTTGAATACTCTGTAAACCCAGCGATATCAGCAAACAGAAGAGTGACATCCTCATGTTGATCCTTCAAGACTGCTCTGGATTGTTGTAATTATAAAAATTGATCAAGCATGTGAGTTGGCAATTGATGTTTTACTAACTGATCTAATTGTTCATGCTTGTATTTGAGTTTGCATTTTTAGTTGTAAGCCTCAACATTCTTCAAGAATTTATAGATTTGGTTTGATACAAATATTACTTGGAGTAGACTGGCGTAGTAAATTAGGGAATTATCCCAATTATTAGACACGACGGCTATGATATTCATGCAAATCATGACAATGCTCTCAACAACCTTGTATTTCATTTTGATTATGGGGTTCAATTGAGTCAAGAAGGAGAGAAAGATCCCAATGGCAATACAGACTTCTCCTATTATCCCTTCTTTGACACTGAAGATGTGCATGATCCACCAGATTAAAATGAAGATGTAGAACCCTATAAAGTATTTCTGTTTGAAAAAGTGATTGCAATATTGCTCATTGAACAATAAACAGATGAATATCAATTTAACAAAGACAATCATGTATCCCTACACAATATTAATGTACCAAACTGTAATCTCTCTGAAAATGTTGTCAATCAAAATAGTGGATGTATTTTAAATGAGGATTAGTATGCCCATTCCAAGTTCCAAGAGAATCACCAGTATTTTATTTTACTTCCTCAATTGCTGGTAAAACTCTTGGATGACCTCTTCATCGACTTCGGAATGAAAGTCAAGGTACAATCTCTTTTTGTCCAAAATCAACACATCCATCTCTTTGAACTCGTCCTCAGCCTAATGAATCTGTTTTAACTTGTCCTTGTCTACTTCAACCAAAGGGAATTCCAGGGAATCTTCAAACATGAGATTCTCCCGAGCTAATTTGATTTCGAGTGCTTCGATTAGGTTCTACCCTGTGATAGTGAGTGGTTGTTGCTCCTTTGTCGGAGGTTGCAATTGATCACTCTCGCCTCTAGAATGATGCTGGGACACATTGTTATTGTTATTGCTATTATTCAAGGTAAGATTTTGATTGTCTAAGTTGATACTCGATTTATGCAGCAATTGGGGTGTCACTATCTTAAGGCTTGATTACACGATGGTGGGTTTGCGAGAGTTCTTGAATTCAAATATGGATTTTCGATGCTTGCCTGGATAATCATCTCTATTTAGGAATATCTGCATGTCATCTTTGAATTTCCTCAGCTTCTTCCTTGAAATCTTCTCCTTTATCACTTCCTACACCAAATAGGTGGCCAATTGACCCTTTCCTTTCGCCTCCACTATATCCAAAGTAAAGGTGAAGTCAGGACAATTGGAGACCTGCTTGAATGCCTCCTCAGATATCTTGATTTGATTGTCCTATGCAGTGGAACAAACCCGACTGGTGGTATTGACAGTATCTCCAATCAAAGAAAACTAGGGTTTATGATACCCAATAACACCAGCAATCACATTGCCATAATGCACTCCAATCTTCACGACAATGTTTTCAGTCTAACCAAAACTCTGGGACAAAGCAAACTTCTGCATCTCAAAGGCCACTTGGAGAGCTCTAAGAACTGGGTTAATGTTATTTTAAGATATTAGATTCTTCAACCCAGAAGCTGCCATGTATGTCTTGCCAACAGTTTCTATCTTCTGCAGGTTGTATTGATTGCACAAAGAATCATATTGTCTGAATAGGATATCCAGCAAATGAACCACATTCTATTGTTGCACCTTGATTATTGTGTCAAATTGACAAATATCGCAAAATAGAATTGCTACCTCCCCTTGATTCTCCTAAATGTCAAACTCTCCTTTCTGATTGATCATGTTCCTGATGAACTTTGGCATCAGAATCGAGAGTGTGTCACTTATCGAATTGATTTTCTAATTCAATTGCAAATTCTGAATGAACTCCTGTCTCAGATTCCTTTGCACTCTCAAATGCATCCCGCTACTCAAGGCTGTCTACATAAATGCTATGAGATAATAATTGAGCATGATGTATGTGTTTATGTTCTAATTGATGGACGTATTGTTGGCACTAAATCTGATGATGAAACTGATGTTGACTATGATGCAATAGAAGATTATGGTCAAGGGCCTATCATCAATTAATGGTTGCAACATGAACAACTGCATAATGAGCATGTCACTCAAGGAGTTGTCATTCTGTTAGAAAAAATAGATATCATACACGATCTTGTACAACAGACGAGAGAGAATCAAGATTTTTGACAATCTGAAATGGTACTTCTTAAACACTGATGTGTAGATGAACAGAGCCATCAATAATTAAGTGCCGTTGTATCCATATGAAAAATCCAGTAGCCAAGTATAATTGCGGTCCTTGTTGACAAACCAAATTTGCAACAAGATTGCCCCCTCCACCAACATCCAGCTCAATGGATAATAGAATCTGTAATATTCTAAAATTGATGTCAACTCATTCAATTGATATTTGGTTTCTAATTGAATATTCTTGAACTATTGAGTTAACTTATTGATTTTTATGCTCTTTTCACTCAAGGCCATTCCAGACAACATCGATCTTATCGAAGAATCCATTTCATCTTCATTCTTAAACAATTTCAAAGCATACTTCTAGATATTCAACAGAAGCGAGCTATTGTTCTTCTTTTTAGAATAGTATATCTCTATTGGCTTCAATAGACCGCAAATCTAAATCTTGTCCTTAACTGAAAACATCAACTTGTCTATCGTATAAGGAATGAATTAAAAAAGCAATTGCTAAAGTGTGTAAATTATTAGAATTATGAGTAAGATGTAGAATACACTTTGAATGTTGATTAGGTGTTCCAGAATTTGATAGTAAGTTTCATTGAATATTTGAATATAACTGACCAAGGTCAACAAATAGAGTACGATTAATAATATCCACCAATAGACTATGCTGTCATAGATCCATTTACTTTGCTCAACCACAATGATTATTGAATACATTTACAAAGACTGAATAGAATTATCAAAATCTCTGCCATCATCTGTATAAAATTCTATGTACTTTTAAATTATTATTATAATGAAGGATTCAAATATGGAGAGCAATAATACTTTGTAAATGAACAACCAATATTTGTGCTTTCTGAATTGAATCCAATTCTGATTATAAAAGTAAACTAATTGTTATTTAAAATCAGTGATGTTTCTATTATTCAGGATTGACTACTTGTATAGCAACAACGAAGGCAATATAAACATGATAGATTAGTAATATGAGAGAGGAGGAACTTCATTATACACTTCCATGATACGCTGGAAAAATAGGCAAAACATTATCAAATAGCATCTATAAAATGCATATATCATTAAATTCTCGAGAAATTCTGCATGCTTTCTACTGTCATAAAATAATAATGTTATTAGATTATTCATATCCTTAATAATGAGATCTGCTGTGCTCATATGTCTCACTTTAGAATAGATAAATTTATCTAATTATCTATTAGAGTAGAGTTATTGCAAATGCTTGTATTTTGATAATTTGTTGGAAACCTGTGCATTATTATTTATGTTACTCTCCTTTTTTACTCTCTCAATTTACTCCATTTTTTCTATTTTTATTTTTTAACTCGCTCTCTCATTCTGAATTTATATTGCGAAATCTGAATTTTCCATGATAATCGAATCGTTAGCCTCGTCTCCTACAACCAATATCCTTCTCCTTTACAATTGCTTTTTCTGTAGAATCTTAATCAAAACACCTTTCTAATACTTATTCATTGAATAACCAATAAGGTGAGTACAGAATGAGACTAGAAATGCCAAATGATGATACAAGTTTTCATCATTTTCAATAGTCTCCAGAGCCTTCCCTTCAATCATAATACAAAACGGTTTGGTTTTGGATAAGTTATTATTCATGCCTATTAAAACACCTCTTGTGCTGGCTCTTCTAGCCACATTTATTGATTTTCTCTTGTTATTAGGACTACTGAGTAATTTTTCATTATTCTTTTTATCATTTTGCTCTTCCCTTAACTGTTTAATCAGATTATTATAGCACCAAAGAATATGTGACTTAATCTGCTAAGAGATCATGTCGTTTGATTCTATTTTTAAGATTTGAATATTTTCTTTCAAAATGCTTGATTTATAGGCTATGGGCAATACTTTATTTTTTGTATCACCGCTGGCAATCCATATAGATATATCTGCATTCTGATAATAGTTGATGATATCCTTCAATTATTTCTTCAATTTTTCTTACACTCCAACAATTAACACAACTTCCAATTGATTTTACTTATTTTTAATCTCTTCTAATGGATTCTTTACAAATAAATTATAACTGTTTTAGTCCATGTTGTATTTATAATAGATTATTGGCCTACAACCTCTCTGTATAATTTTGTTGATTATTCCATTCCAAACATCCTTGTCCTCCTTGTCCATGTTTATCCCCTCGATCAATTCCAAACCATCCTCTCTGATGTATTAAATGTATTCAAATTTATCATTGAATTGAAACGCTAACAATTTGTTATAATCAGTAATCTAAGTGATCACAGACAATTTGTTATTATCTAATTAAGTGACTGTCACTGGAATTTCTACTAGATTCTCTTTAATCTCAATAATGTACTTGTTTTTCCCAAAGGTGGATCCAATAAATTTATAATCATAATTCTAAGCTAAATTAATTTGTAGTTCATCTATCTGATTGTTAAATTCTTATTATAATGAATCCTGCTTCTTCAGATATTTGGTCTAAGTGTTATGGCAAATGATGAGGATAAACAATGATTCCTCAATGACCCCTCTATATTCTGGTGTCAATGATTTACTAAAGATTTCCTTCTCATTACTAATAAAGTCATCTTGTCTATCATATTGAATGTTGAATTCATCGGTCTTGTAGAATCGATCAGCCGATAACTTCTTTTTTGGTTCCATTTTCTCTAATATTGGTCTTCTCTCGCTGAACTTACGTCTGGCTGTCTCCTTGATTGGAGATTAAGACTTGATCATCCTTTATTCATTGAGCTGATTGATCATGCCTCCTAAATCAGTGCCGGATTCCCAAGAATCTATTTGAAACAGTTTTGGAGGTTTGGTTCTATGGATCTCTTTCAATTTGGAATGATCGTCTGCAATCTCTTCAGCATTGAAGTTGGCTTCTTCCTATTAACTTGTCTCACGTATATCTTACTCAAAATTGGGTTCAATGTTCACCAAGTTGTCCTCCAATCTCCAAGGCGTGACTGAGGCTCTTTTAGCAGGACTCATGGGTCGATGATGGGGTGACACCTTGATGGATGAGATCTAATTAGGAGACAAGGATTAATCCTGAATGAAGAGCATCTCCTAATTATCTAACACCTCCTTCTGATACTTCTTCCATTCGGTTGTATTCTTAAATGTTTTGTTATGAATTTCGTAGAATGTCTCATTTATCAAAATTAATTTAATTTTAAATTGCGGTATGGTCATCGTACAAGTCTTGTCAAAAATGACAGAATCCACCAAAGACAAATCAGCTATAGGAGTTGCATTCAATTTGCTGTACACTGTATTTAAGTCCATCTTGTGATTCACGAATATATTGAATTCCTACTGACTCTCACTATTCTGTCCTCCCTTCTGCTTATTGAATTTGAACAGTTTCTAACTTGAACTCAGAATTTACAGTAGATCCAACAATCCTATCAAATAATAAGGCAACATATTCAAGTAAATCAGAAAGTGATCAGCTAAATATTGTATCTTCCACCCTTAATCAACCAATCTGATTGATTCAATCATCCAAGACACAAACGATAACAAAATTATGAGGATTAATGTGAATTTGTAGAAGGTGTCAATCTTGTTTTCAAAGAAAGACTTAGTTGACTTCTCAAACTTGCTCAAATGATAATATTTACAATTCAAACCACAACTCAACACAAGTCCATACACATAATCACAAGTCTGCAATTGTTGTCCTCTATACAGGATATTCTCCCTCTTGATATCAACAGCCTGAGGGTCATTCTTCAATCGAATAAACCCTGTGTAGAAGCACTCAGATTTGTAATCCTTGTCGAAGGTCACCTTCCCACTCAGCAATAATCGATATTCAAAGCCATTTCCCTTGAATTAATGCATCTTGGGCAAGGATGTTAATTCGTTAGCACTCTTTATTCCCTCCTCGGTCTCCCCATTCACACACGTGTTATTCACGTAACATCTCTCCTGGTTTGACTCCAATATCAGACAATCCGAGGGACAAATCTCATTCCTTTGTAATATTATGATGTCTCCAATCTCCAAGTCTTCCCATCTTATTGTCTCTATGATGCTCACTTTTGTGCTCTCGTTCAATTCGGTCAAAGGCTGGGGGGACGGTGGTATCATCCCCTTGTCTGCTCTTTGAGTTGATATCATTTGGGTCTTATTTAATTTTTGCTCATATTCCATTAAACCGATTTTCTTGTTATGCAATATTTTCTTCAGTTTCTTAAACACAATCACCCGTCTTTTGTTTATTAAATTGTCCTCGCCATTCACCAATTTCATATAATAAAATGTTTTTATCAAATACATCACTATACCAAATAGAAATGGAATGACAAATCCGTAGATAACTTGTGAATTGTCTTGAGTTATGCTCAGACATATAATGTTAATCATCAGAAAAATGTAATTGAACGGCCTCCTCAAATATCTCCATATAATACTCCCCAATGATTATATAGTGGAAATTTTATTTTTTAATTCTGAAGAAGAGAAGCCCTTTAAATTTACTGTGTCTCCATTTTCAAATTCTATCTTGTTTATTAAAATGTACGATATACTTGCTTAGAATATGAATCATCATTCTTTTATTTTGTTTTTGTGTATTTTCTATGCAGGTATTCATAAATTAACTATGATAATTTCATAATTTTAATATACAATATGATACAACAATTAGCGCCTGTAACCTTTTATTAAAAATATGATCACCACGTCTTTCCCTCCTCAAAACCCTTCTCAAGTCCCAATTCCCTATTTTTCATCCTACCCATTAACGGAATTTGTGTTTTTTTTGTATTTAAACCCATGTAGACCCATCCATCGGTATAACATAGAAAGAAGAGAGATCAAAGTTTTTGAATTTAGATGTAATTATCTAAACTTAACATATGATCTTATGGGATAGCAATTCAAATTTTATATCATATAAAAATATTTTAAAAGCTTGCTTATATATTTAAGTGTTGGAGGAATAAAGGATAAAAATTAGCAATTCACATTGAGCCTTATAAGTTCTAATAATATTTCCATCAAATTTCTTGTATTTACATTTTATTTCGAAAGATTAAAATAGTATTCTTCTTTCATTCAAAGCAATTTTATTGAGAAATTAAGACTATTTGATATCTTATGATGGCTAGGAAGGATTAATAAAGCAATTTCTTATCAATGAAGTAAAAATTTTGTAAAAAATTGAATTAAATTATTATGCAGTTTTATTTTTTGCTCAAATTATTTAATCTAAATAAAAATAGTTAAGATTGATTCTAAGATTCACAATTTGTAAAATTAAGGGCTTCAAACCATCTAATAATCAGTGTGTATTTTTTATTTAAAGGAAAGATATAAAAATAACCTGAAATTGTTAATATTAAAAAATTATTCATTTCAATCTAATTGAATTTAATTGAAATCTAGTTTTTTTTTTTTAGTTCTCTTATTTTTAACCTAGTAAATTAAAGATGAATGGTATCTAAAATAAAATAAATTCTACTCCATACTTATTATCATTTAACATACTTTATCTATATCAATTGATGAATATATATATATATTGATTCAGAAATCTATGGAAACAGAATTAAATAGAAATAAAATAAAGTTTATATAATTATAATTCTTTTTCGATTCAAAATCATAACATTATTTTAGTTACAATACATCTTTAAATTTATAATTAAGAGTGAAATTTTAAATTAATATTATATTATTCACTTTGATAAATAATAATTCTGCAATTTATATAGTAATTGCTAATAGAAAATACTTATCAATAAATTGTTAATAATGTTCTATTGATAAAGACATTCAAATTATGGCTACCACACATCCCAGTTTAAGGGTAGTTAGCAAAAAATTGATGGAAAATCAAGTATTCGCAATTTTAATTTTAATTCATATTCAATCAATCTCTAAATATTCTTATGTAATGGTAAATTGATTAGTACCATTTTCAATAAATCAATCATTTGTAAGCTAAATGATAGTTTGAAGGACTGAGGATATTGTTCTTTAGGATTGGAATGTTCTAAATTTTAAATAAAGGTTTGTAGTATATTTATTAATCGGAGTGTGAAATAAATAAAAAAGTGGGAGAAATATTTTATTAAAAAAATTGGTCGGGGCGGGAATCGAACCCGCGACCGTTGGCTCATAAGACCAACGCTCTAACCAACTGAGCTACTCGACCATGTACAATGAAAATGATGCACTTTTTCATAAATAATCAAGTCATTTGATAAACATTTACATTCAACTCAGAAACATGATAATTAATGTAGTTAAAGTCTATATTTAACCATAATAATTAATATTATTTTGTATTCAGGTAAAAAATCAAAACTATTCATCATAAATCTGTTACTAGATTAAGGTTATCCTCTATATATTTAATAAATTCACTTGAATTATTCCTAAAAAGAGTTAAACAGATTATTTGAAAGACTAAATCTTTTTTTTAAGTCTACTTCAATTATAAATCTTTTAAATACTTTTCATTTCAATCTTAATTTATATTTCTAATTATTAAAAAGATTGATTATGAATTTCTCTATCTGAATTTATCTTAACTTATTTTCAAGAATATGTTATATATAAATTATTTTAAGATTCAGATAAGAAATTAATAATTCTTATATATTTTTTTTACTTGATAATTTTGTTTTTAGACTATTTTTATAATTGTTTAAACATCATTTTTAATTATACTAACCTAATCTTACTCATTCTTATTTAAATTTATTATTTTATACTTTTATAATCAATATTGCAATGATATTAAAATTTAATGCTAGATTTGTAAACGTATTAGTTATTATTATAAGGTTAATCATACATCAACTTACTGTTAGACCTTAATAATGTATTATGAAGTGTAAGGACAAGTATTAAATAATAAATTACAGTTTATGATAATATTAATAAATTTTATTTATAATAATTCAATCAATTACAAATTTAGCATGTCTCTTAATATTCCCAACACTATAATCTAATTAAGAGTTGTCTGCCAGATTCGATTCAGTGAATGAAATATCTTCAACTTCTGAATTCGATTGTTTACTTGTTCTTTTGCTATTTTTACTGCTGAAGACATTAAGATTCTTATAAATCTTTTCAACATCTATTCCTCTAGATTTAACTGCCTTCACCAACTGTATTAGTTTACGCTCCTTCTCTGATAGTGTAAGCATTTTTTATTGCATTTCCTTGATTTAGTCTTTTAATTTATTGCGATCATGGAGGTTATCTTTATTGCCTTGATTCTTCTTCATTTGATTCAATTCATCTTAATATTGCAAGACTCTGTGTTGTATTTCGTATTCCTTGAGCTTATTTTCTAGAATAGAAGGCAGAATTACCGAATTTCAATTAGTTCTCTTTGGATTATTATTCTAATTGTTATAATTGTATCAATAATTGAGCCCTTTCTTAATCATATACCTGTTTTTCATTGGTTTAATTGTTGTGTATAATTTGCTTGATTGATTGTATAAGTTAGATCAAGATGAGAGACATATCCTACTCATTGATACAAGAACTCAATCCCGCAAGCAATTTAGTCAAAATAACATTCAACTCTCTCATGCCAATGTTTTTATCGATGCTGTCGACAGTGGATTTAATCAATCTGATTATCTCCTTTTTCGAAGCCTCCGATTTAAGATAAGATTATTCAGAGAAATAGCTTTAGACAGAAAGCGCATCTTTTTTTTAAGTTGATTAGGTTGTTTATCTACTCTGTTATAATATCAAATGATACCAATCGTTTGTCAGGAGTCAATAAACTATTATTGTTATAGTATTTAGATACCGATAATGATTTCATAAAAATAATAAAAATTTATAAATAAAACATATCAGCAATTTTAATCTAAACCTGGTTTCTTAATAATAATTGGATTAATTATACTAATTTCTAGAAATATTGCAGACAGGGCGTCAAATTCAATCCGCAATTTTCATAATATGAAGTGCAGTAGCTCTGACAAATTGGAATCGTCAGATTTGTAGTTTAGTCACAAGGAGGGAAATTCCATTTACACAAGAATTGCTTATATGCCTTGTAACAGGTATCGTCTTTGATTAACACGCTATCTACCTCCCCGTTGATTTCCTAAACTAATCTGTCCCTGATATAGGCCACGAAATCCAATCGAATTTCTTTGTCTCTACTTTCAATAGTATGATCTGGCCATAATTTCTAAAATCTATTCTTAAATCTACTCTCAGTTCAGGAACACAAATATAATCGTCAAGCTCGTAATTACAGAATTCTACTCCATCAGATATTTGGACTCTTTGTGAACAAACCCCTGATTCATAACCATTTATTTGACATCCCAAAGCGAATTTCGAAATTATAAATAAAATAAACATAATTATAATCAAAAATTGGCAAGCTATTTTATAAACGTATATTGCATCTCTCTTCCTAGTATATGCTGGCTGAAATTGGACAATATAAAAACAAGGAGGCTATAATTATGCTCAGTTTTTTAGTCTCAATTAAAAATTAAATAATTTAATCGAATTTGATGTTATAAACATATTAAATTATATAGGAAGAATTAGTAAATTTATGAGATGTTTGCTTGCTAGAGGTGTTAAGAGTTTCCAATACAATTTATCAATATTATTGTTATTATACTAATTATAAGTAAATCTTAATATAATTTTTGAGGCGTATTTTACATTTCATAAAAGAACTTCAATAGTTTATTTACTCAGTAGAGGGAATAAAACTAAGCCAAAGAACTTTTAGTGTAATTGAACAAGTAGCTAAGACAGATTCTGATAATATTTTGATTAAACATTCTTTATATGATCTTGATACCTTTCTTGTGAATATAAGTATGGTTGTTAATTAAATGAAGTAGTTTGGGAATCCTTTTAGTTTTGATTTTACACTTCACATATCCAATATTATTAAGTGTATATATGATGAGTGGTCGAGAAAATAAAAATAAAATGAATTATTTATTAATATTGCTTTATATATATTAAAGTACAATATTATCATTATTTACAATCATAATCCCAATTTTATTGGCGGAGAAGGGATATACATTTGAATAATAAGGTATGTATTCATTGATCAGCTATCCATTTTATTTTAAGTTTTTGTTTGCACCAATAATTGATTTGTATCAATTTTAATTCCTGGGCAAAAGAAAGAGGTAATCATTAGAATTAATAGAGCATAGTTATATTTTACCAATAAACTTGATATTGTCGGTAATTCTTTTGTATCTGTCCAGAATGGACATTTTAACAAATTACCACATTTTATGGATTTTCGGATTTATTTTGTGTTTGTTTTTGGGAATTCAAGATATCGCAATAGACGGTCTTGCGACTGACTTATGTAAGCAGGAGGGAGAGAGTGCTGCATTACTTTAGAATATTGGATTTACAATAGGAAATTCGTTTCTTGGAAATTTCCTATTTATTGCCTTGTATTCCAATCAGATTTGCTCATTGGAGACCTTCTTCATGCTACTATCAATAGTGGGTTTGATATTGACTATTTTCTTGTATGTAAAATTGCTTGAGAAGGAGGAGCAAGAAAAGAGGGCAACCACTTTTCAAGACTTGTTGAGTGTGTTTAAATCATTTTTTAAAAATGAAAATATGATCACATATTCATTATTGATCTTCTTTGAAAGGTAGAGTATTCAAATGAATGATTAGGACTGCATTGTCCTCCCTAGATGCAACCTTCCGATTGAAGTTGGTCTAATTCAACATCAACAAAACCTACATTTCCTTCATCGACACAATAATATTGCCATTGAAAATAGCAACGGGATTGATTTATCACCAATACTTCTACAAATTCGATTTCAAGTATTTCAATACATATAGCAATGTAGATATTACGGGAACATTCAATATTTGAGATTGATTTCTACGTTCTTTGCGATCCTGACCCTATTGTTGATTGATAAATTCGAATTGGAGGGACCATTTAGTTACATTGCCATATTCTTTTCGAACATGTGTTGGTGGGTTCTGTTCAACATCACATACATCGTTAGAGTATTGAGTTTACATTGAAATTTAAGGGTAACTTCTAAATGAAAATAACTACTCCTGGAGTGGAAGCCACAACTCTGACGATCCTTAATAGCATCAGTCAATTGGGAGTCAAGTTGGCATTCTCAGTAAACTTGATTATGGCCAATTACGTAAATTACTATTGGTTGTTGTGTGCTGGATGGATCATCCATTTACTCTATTGTTTTAGATACTCAGAAACCTACAGAAATTTGTACATGTAGCCCATTCAAAAGTGGTATTTAAATAAATAAATAAAATAAATTTGATTTTATATATGAACTATCTTTTGTTATTTCTGTACATTTACTAAAGTTCGATGCTTTCGATATTTACTTAGATTATGCCCATTTTACTGGCGGAACACGGATTCAATTATGAGTAGTAAGGCCTCTTCTCCTTGGTAGCCTATCCATTTTTCTTCAAGATCATATTTGCCCCCATCATCGACTTGTTTCACATTAGGTCCTTGGGGAGAAGAAGGAGGTATATTTTGAATTGCAGTTAGTTACATCCTGCCATGCACAATATTGATGTCCTTCAATTTGTTTTGGTAGTCTAGTCTGGATATTCAACAAAACTACCTCCTTTTTTGTCTGATAGGCTTATTCAATGCCACATTTTTGGGGATGCAAGACATCGCCATAGATGGGTTCGCTGCAGACCTATGCAAAAAGTCCAACGAGAGTTCGGCTCACATTTTGAACATGGGTTACACTATAGGTAGTTCCTTTTTGTCCAATTTCATTTTTCATTCTCTAAACAAATATCAACTTTGCTCCCTGTCTACCTATTTGAAAATGATGTCTGTGTTTGGGTTATTGATGGCAGTGTATCTTTTTTTAAAGGTCAAGGAGGAGCCAAACTCATAATAAATCAAAAAACTCACTGGATTCAGGCAAGTCATCAGAGGAATATTCGGCAATGAGAATTTGATTACTCTTTCTTTTCTCCTATTCTTTGACAGATACGGTGTGGCTCCAATCGAATCCACATTCAGAATCAAATTGACAGAGTTGAAATTCAACAAGGCCTACGTCTCATTTATGGATACAGCCATCCTCCCTTTGAAAATAGCCGTTGGATTTGTGTATCACAAATATTTCAGTAAATACAACTTCGAATACTATGGGTATGTTCAAGGACTCAGATTAATATCTTGTCTCTTTGCAACCTTGACAGTTTTTCTGGTTGACGTGGTCAAAGTAAACGATACCATAAGCTACGTTGCATTGTTCATAGCAAGCACAACATGGTGGATAGTCTTCAATTTGACTTTCATCGTTAGAGTAAGAATTATATGAGTATGGATAGGGCAATTTTTAAATGAAGATAATAACTCCAGGATATGAAGCCACAACTTTGGCTTTGATGAACAGTCTGGGATCCTTGGGAGGTAAGACTGGGTTCTCTTTGTGTATGTTTTTGACGGAGTATGTAAATTATTATTGTTTTGCTTGCTTTGCCTTGGTTGCCCAATTGCTATTCACTCTCAAATCCATCAAGTTATATAAAAGGCTCTATCATGTTCCTTAGGAGAAGTATAGTATAATTAGATAGAACTTGAAATCAGAATGAAGAGTAGATTTAATAGAAATTAATTATAATATAATTGTCTTCATAATGGGAAATATAAATATTTTTTAAATTATTTAAATTATCAGGAATGGCTTAAGATATATACAAATTACTGGTGCTGGCATACACATGTACAGACAATGCATTGCGAAAGGATGCTGAAGAATAGTTGATGAGTGGAGTAATTAAAAATATCTAAAATTTCTCATCGATTGCCTAGATTGCAAAGAGTCAGGACAACAGTAAATAATAAATTAATTAGAAAAGTGCAGAATTAGGCAGCCAGTTTGTTGAATTCAGTAGTTTTGAAGATGTTGTAAAACAATTGTATGAAATTTCGCACTTATTAATTTAGTTGAATTACAATTGGAACATGCACAGTTAGTTTTTGATGTGATCATATCACAACAGACCTCATTGAAGTGCAAGCAATTATTGTAAAAATCTATGAGTTTGTTGATTAAATAAAACAAAAGTAATGCACTTCATAATTAAACTGATTAGAGATTAAGCCAGAAATCGAAAACAAAATGAAGTAATTGTTGAAGAGTGAACAATTATGGGAAGTGTAATCGGGATTATTTTTCTTTAAGACATTGATTGATTCTTTGGATTTGTCATCCTATAACATAGTCTTAAATTAGGGATTAGATTGGATCAAAGACTTCTTCGACCTAATCTACCCACTATTCAAGAAGTGGGATGAACAATCAGCAGACATTACTGAAGAGTATATCCTCACTATCAAATATTACGCCTAGATTGTGTGTGAGTTTTGTGAGAAGATATTCAAATAAAAGGCTCATAATAAGGAATCATTGATCCCACTCTAAACTATGATGTTTAAATTAACTTCATTCCAAATAACCTTATTTACCATTTTCAAATACTCCTCTCCAAATAATGTTATCCAAAGTTGCATCATCTCTTGCACTAACAATGAACAATTTGACAACAGAATAAACGAAGTGAAAATGTATGGATTCAAATGTCTCCAAATATTAATGAATTCCCTATTAAGCAAAAGTAAAAATGAATAAAGAAACAGTGTGTTTTACAATCAACAAGCCAATTTAAATTAGTTATTGTTGTACTCCATCTTTGCATACACCAGATAAGCCAAAATCCAAGACATTCTATAGTAAACACTAAGCTATAATTAGGAAACAATATCTGTCGAGTATCTTGAGTAGCATGCTCAGATTGCTGGCCCATTTAGGGGGACAGGCTGAATTGTACCCCTATTTCCAAGAATCCAAAGGCCTTTTGATTACTGACATCATCTATCCTTTTCTAATTACCACCAAGAGCGAGTATCAATTAATGAAAGAGCACCCTGAGGAATTCGTCAACATTGCAATTGATGTTGTTGATAAACAAGAGTCAGATTTACCAAAAACAGCTGCCACAACTTTGCTTGAAAGCCTATGTGATCATATAGATGGATCAACATCCTACTTAGCATAAATGGCTATTGTTGTCATATCCTCTTCCATCTTAGAACTGTCACAGTCTCAATTAACCAAATAATAACAACAAGTCATATTAACAGACATCTAACAGATATCTGATAAAAAACTATTCTAGGAATTTACTCCTGTGGATAGAATTGAAAGTAGTTTGATGATTTTGACAATTATAAGCTATCTAGTACAAAAAAGATATGATATCATATAATTGATGGAATAATTGTTATCATCGAATCTTGTGTTCTTCACTAACACAACTGAATAGATCATTAAGGTTAGGTTTGCCTTGTTTTTCGGTTATTATTGTGACAATTTATTTAAAGTGGAATCCCAATTTTCCCTTATGTTAAACTACATACAATTACTGATATCTTATGCCAAGCCACAGGAGCCAGTTGTTTTGTATTAGTCCATTGATGCATTAAAGGATATCTTCGAGGATGATGAGTTGAAACATAAGACTGGAACTTTGGTGGTCAATGTGTTCCCATCCTTGATCAATGGATTGATATTCAGTACTTATGAAAGACATTTTGAGATGATAGGAAATCTACTCAAGAAATTCCCCTCCATTTTCTTTGCAAACGAAAGTTACATTATCAACCTGGTTTAAATATTAGTACAACGCATAATCCAAGAAGAAACACTGGTTAAGAACAATAATGATTCTAATAGATACATTCATTTAAATAGATGTTGGAATGTCATCAGGTAATTACCAACGATCAATGAATTTTCACCTCTTCTTCTCAAAATCGAATAAGCCATGCAACCCATCTATCAATTGCTTGTCATCTAAGATAGCAGAATGAACTTGTATGAAGACTTGATTTTGTTCATCTCCTCAGTTATCTAGAAACTATAAACAGTCTCTCAATTCCAAAAAGAAATCTTACCTTACTTTTCTCACGTCATCACCAAGCAATCTGGAAGATTCGTATACTTGTATGAAACACTAAATATGTACATGTATTATGGAAGAAGTTACTTCGTATAAGAGCAAGCACAACACATCTACTTCAACTTGTGTTTTCAAACTCTGATGCAAGAGGAAACTTTCGAAGACGTCGATTTGGCTGAGGGTGCACTTCTGATCTAATTAGGAATTCAAGTTCTACAGAATGATCTCAATTAAGCCATATTGGCTCAGGTGTTCTAAAATGTGCTCTAATTAATGGCGAAGGAGAGTGTCACTGGAATCATTCGTTCTAGAATTACATCCATCTTTTTGGTGGCTTTCTACTACATTCCCCAACAATCATATCAAATATTGGGTGATCTTTTTCAAAATGTATACCAAAAGGTCTTGATCACTCAATATCATCCAGGATATGACATCAAGTTGTTCATAATTACAATTTGCAAATTAATCCAATCAACACCTTAATTGTTGAATACCGAATTGATTTAAGTAATCATTAGGAATTTGGAAAATCAGGAAAATGATGAGAAGCCTGATAAAACAGATTTTGAGTAATTTATTAATCTATTAAGTAGTGATGATATGATGGATGATGATGAGGAATAGGAGGAGATCTTGGAAGAGGAGGAACGACAGTAGGCCAAACAGCAGATTGAATAACTTAAGAGTGCTCTGAACAACATCGACGAATTCACGGTCTTTAGGAACACGATATTGGGTTTCAAGACTTCGTAAGATTTACATTTCTAATGTTTTAGGCAACCCATGATTATTGAGATCATTAAACAAAATCTTGATCTTCCAAGTTAATAAAAATTAAACAATTATTTAAAGTTTATGAGAATTGATAATAGTGAGAGTGCAAGAAAAGTAAGAGTTTCTATCTATTTTAAGGTGATGACAACTTCCAGAAGAAGATAAAATAAATGAAATAATTATTATATGTAAATAAATAGTTCTTTATTATTTATAAAAGTTATAAACATATGAAATACATTTAAATGGCTGATATCTTCGGAGTCCCATATAGGTAATAGATTACTTTAGAAGAAAAAGTTTAGAAGTCTGTTCTTGGTGGAATAAGTTCTGTGATTGTAATCTTGGTTGGATTTGGTTACTTGATCTACGTCATGAATGAATGGATTAGTAGCAAGATTCTGCCTAAATCAACTAGTACTATGAAGGTTGATAATTATTCATAAATAATATTTGATAACGAATAGCTCTTTGAATTTTGTTATTGGAAATACGATCCTTCTTAAATCGATCCTTTTAGAATGAAACGTAACATATTAACTCCTGTTGGAATCTATTTCATAGATGGAATTCCACAAAAACCCTTCTCATTATTATAAGAAAATTAAAAACAATCAACTTATAATACCACTCTCATGAGCATTAATAATTTATCATTAATTCAAAATAGTAATTTCAACAAAGAATTGAATGCAACTAAAGAACTCATGATTGTTATCACATCTTGCAACTAAACTTTGATGAATGAAGGCTATGAATGTGCATCGCAAGAGGAAATTCAAGATTTCTTTAGGTCATCCGTTAATTATATAAGTTTTTGGTTGAATTTGAAATAGTATGATCCTTATAGCCAATAATTTGAAGTGGTAAAAAAGTAATACTACCTATCCTTTGATTATGAGATTGCTCAATAAGGTCAATTGATTCTTACACAAACAAAAGCCACAATTGATACTGGAATTCTCTTTGGAAAATATTACTCAAAAAGCTATGTGTACAATGCCTAGTTGGTAACAAGTGCAACATCCAAAAACTTTTGGTCGACACTATTGGTTTAGTAATCCTACTTCAATTTGTTCGTCCGATTGGACCCAATGTCCTATGACATATAAATCGTGTATCCAAAGTTAGGAGAAATTCTAGCCCAAGTTGGGTCTATCATAAGCATGTTGATGATCATTCAATATGGAATATAACATTATAATGAGTGGCTGTTAGATTGCAATTTCATAGACAAGGTTTTGAGGTTTTATTTTATTGATTATGTATAATTAAAGCAATCTAAAAACAAAGTGGATAAAGAAACTTGTTAAGAACTAATCCAATCAGCACGGAAGAAACTAGTATACACGAACGTCATTTACGAGCTATCAAGAATACAACTATTTTTATTGCACCATTTTGGACGGACTTCTTTAGAATAAACTCATCATCTTGGTCTGTATGCTAGAGGGGATTTCAAGCCAAGTTGTGATATGTATGAGAAATTCATTACGATTCCGAAAACTGAAATAGAAAAGCAACATGTTTAGTTCGATATGAATAGAGCAGATTTTAATTTATTATGTAGAGCCAAGTCAAGGACGATGATTTTAGGAGGGAATAGTAATAATTAAGGAAGCTCAGCTGCTATTGATAACGTATTTTCAGAAGTCAAAAGTTCCTCGTTGAAATCAATTAAAACATGATATATTATTATAAAAATTATTATTTAAAATTGAGAATGCATTAACGGGAAAGAAGAAGAATATATTCATTATAAAACAGAGAACCAATAAATCTACCAAAATACCATATAGATGTCTCAATGGATAACTTACAAAAGCGAAAGATATCAACTAATGAGTTACCATAATTGATATAAAACAAAATGCAAATGATAAATTACACAAATTCTATGCAATTGCAACTAAAAACAAAATATGAGCAATTATCAATGAAGATTTTGAAGGAACCCTACAAAGCGACCAATAGCAAATAAAGAATTATTCCCAATCATTTAATGTTGCAATAAAAAATCCAAGATATCACAATATCAGATAGCATCAAAAATAAATAGTTGGACACTGATAAAACAATAATCAAGGGAATAGTTATGCTTCCAGCTCAGAATGATCAATAGTACACAATTCCAGTATCAAGGTAGGGCAGTCGAGTGGTGAAGTATGATCATTATGGACTGGTGTTTGGAGGACATTCCCATAGAGAAAATATTGAGATTCATGCCATTTCATTATTGAATGGGTAATGGAAAAGGAAGCAGGAGTGTTATTATTCGTAGATAGAATAATTGAAATAAAAATAGATTGCAAATCCTAATTTGAGATTAGGATGTTATTTTAGTTTAAACATTGATGAAAATAAGACAATATATGCTTTTGGAGGAGAGAAAAATACAAATAATAGAAAAACTACAAATGTAATCACCAAAATATGTCTAGAAGGGGATCGATTAGAATGGCAATAATTTCAAACTTCAATTGGGTGTCGTAGAAATCATAGTGGAATTTATACGCACAATCATCTCCTTGTTGTAGGAGGTATAGATTGTAGTGATTTTATCACAAAATATTATAATGATTTCTAATTGATCAATTTGTCTAAAATGCAATCTAGTCAATTTCACCCGAAGTTTTATAAAAAGTAAGTTCTTTAAAACGATCATCCCTTTAAATTGGGTATAGCCTATCATAGTGCAACCTTAGTGGGTAATCCCTTTTTGAGACTGAATTATGATTTCTCTTAGATAGCAAAAAAGGAGGAATAGGTCGATCAATTATTCACGAAAGAAGGCATATATATTTTTGGAGGTAAAGATAGCGAAGACAATCTATATAGCGAGTTATATTAGATGGTTATTGACACTTACCCAATAGTTGTTTAGATAGTGGAGACTCTGGGTTAGAAGCCTCCTAGTCGAAGATCCCATAGTATGAATTATGACGAGAAGATAAGTGCGTTGTTGTTATTTGGTGGGACAAACGAGGTTCAATGTTTTGGAGATTTGCATATATTGCTTCTCAAGAATTACACTTGGTAGAAAGTGCAATTGCAGGGGTATTTGGAGTATCCATTCAGATATGAGCATTGTAGTGTTTTTAACGAGGATAAGTTGATTGTTTTTGGAGGCTTAAACCAGGATGGATTTTTAATGTATAACCCAATTACAATCTAAGTTAAGTTTAAAATAATTCAAAAGCATAACTGAATCTATTTAATATATTTTTATTTTAGTAAACAAACCATTTTAAATTTATGTAAATAAAGAAAGTCAGTTGTTTTGGAGCAGGCTATGTGGGAGGACCAACGATGGCTGTGATGGCTTCTAAATGCCCAGAACAGACCTTCATTGTTTATGATATAAATGAATAGTAAATTTAAAAGTGGAACAGCAAACAATATCCAGTTTACGAGGAAAATTTGGATGAGTATGTGAATAAAACAATACACAAAAATTTAATATTCACTAGTGACATTGATCTTGCTTTGAAGGATTGCGATATTGCATTTTTGGCAGTCAATACTCCAAGTAAAACTTATGGGTTGGGAGCTGAATCTCAATTAGATATATCCTATATAGATAGCTGCCTTCAAAGCATAAAGAAATACCCATTGACTAAGAAATTGATATTGGTTGAAAAATCAACCGTTCCCATAAAAACTGCTGATTATATCAATGCGGTATTATAGAATTTGAATATTTGTGTTTTGTCTAATCCTGAATTTTTGGCTGAGGGCACTGCAATCTAAGATCTTCTTTCTCCAGACAGAGTGATTATTGGTGGGCCTTTGGAATCTAGTAAGTAGCTTGCTTCATTGTATGAATAATGGGTACAAAAAGACAAGATCATTTTCACAAATATTTATTCAGCAGAATTGAGTAAAATTGTTGCCAATTCTTTCCTGGCTCAAAGAGTGTCTTCAATCAACAGTATATCCATAATTTGTGATAAAATTGGAGCAGATGTCAATGAAAGTAAAATAAATAGATTCTATATGTTTATTAGTTTCATAATGCGTTGGAAGTGATAGTCGAATTGGTAATAAGTTTTTGAAGTCATCTGTCGGATTTGGTGGATCTTGTCTAAAGAAAGACTTGCTTTGTCTAATTTACTTGTGTGAATCTCTCCAATTGGATGAGGTAGCACAATACTGGAGATAGGTTTATCTACTAAATGAATTTCAAAAACAAAGATTTATCAATTTAATTATCAGTTCCATGTTTAACTGTTTGAGGAATAAAGTCATAGTGATTTTGGGGGTAACATTTAAGGCCAAGACCAATGATACCAGAGAGAGTGCTGCTTTGCTGATTATTAAAAAGCTACAAGAGGAATAGGCAATACTAAGGATTTATGATCCTCAAGGGAAGATAGACAAGTTGGAGCAATGTTAGAGTTTGGATGGCATCTTTAAAGGGGCTTCTGCATTAGTGATACTAACTGAATGGGAAGAGTAATGTTATGTTTGCATATAAATAGATTTACAAAAATAGATTATGTTGAGGCTTTTAATCAAATGGCTAAACCTGCATATTGTTTTGATGGCAGGAACCTGTTGTAAAGTGATTTGATGAAGTCAATTGGATTTCTATATTACGGGTTAGGGAGAGTCTGATGTTGAAAATAGAGGTATCAAAAATGATTTAAATATATAAAAATAATCATTAATGTCTGAGGAACAACAGTAATATTGGCCCATTTTCACGGAGTAGGATGAAACCAAAACATTCTGGAATAAGAAACCCTCCAATTTGGACAAATAGGCTATTATCTATCAGCAGCCTATGTAGAGAATTAGTTGGAAAAGTAACAAGCCTACTGAATATGAATTTTTATTGAGTGAGGAAGGCGTGCTGTTTTATAAACAAAGTAATAAGATCAAGGGATATGTGTAATTAAACGAAGACATCAGTCTGAAATTGATTGATCTCAAGATCTCAAGCAAGAAAACAGAGGCTGTTAAGGTCATTAGGATTAAGAGAACTAAGGACATCTTTCTATACATATGGAATAAGGATTAGTACTTTATAGCCCCATTCTTAATTTTAGTTCGTATACTTTTCAGTTTCTGAAACATTTATGTTAATTCTGTTTTGTTCAAAATTTGGATCAGTTGTACACTATGCAAGATGTGATAGGAAAAGGCGGATTCTCCAAAGTGTATACTCTAACTCCCAATATCCGACTACCTAACCAGCCCTTCAATTATGCAGGCAAGGTCTATAATAAAAACGAATTGTTATCTAAAAAGGACCTTAAAAAGTTTTATCACTTTATTCGAAACGAGTGTTATGTGCTAAAAAGAATCAATTTCCCTTACGTACTCAAATTATGCGAAATTATACAAATGGAGGAACTCCTAAGTATTAATGTAATGTATACCAATTTAGTCTTAGTAACTGAATATATCAAAGGAGGATCCCTGTATCAATACTTGAAAGAGAGAAAGCAACTGACAGAAATGGAATCTATCCAGATCTTGCAGAAACTGGCATTAGGCTTGCAATAAGTTCACAAGTATTAGACCCTTTTTCTATTCTTTAAGTCTGGGGTATGTTCATCGAGACATTAAGTTGGAGAATGTGCTTATCGATAAAGATTAGTTGAAATTGATAGATTTTGGATTTGCAGAGAAAATATGCAGAGACAGACTGGTCAACGGTCAAGGAACAGCTGGTTACATTGCACCCGAAGTGTTTATGAAGTAACCATACCAAGAAGTAGGTGACATCTTTAGTTTAGGAGTGATATTCTATTCATTGTTATCTGGTAAGGCTCCATTTAGATCAAATACTTATGATGCCTTACTTAAATTGAACAAGGAATGTCAAATCGATTTTTCAGAATAAAGATTCCAGAATGTCAGCCAAAAAACTATGCATCTGTTAAAAGCTATGTTATAAAAACAACCAGAAAACAGAATCAATGTTTAAGATCTCTTAAATCAACTCACTGCTAATTAGATCTTCTCTCCTTCTCATAACATTCCTTCAACGTAATCAATTGTAGAGGGCTCTGTTGGCATAAGCTTTAATCATTTGCAATCAAAAAACACTCTAAAATCCTTTTATCAACATAGTCAAAATTCATTTATTGACAACAGTAGTTAATGTTCTTAAAAAAAACCATCAAAAAACCTTAGGGATAGACGATATAAGAGTCAGAGCATGGATAAAAAGGGTATGCTTTTGAAATCATCCTCTTTCAAACCATCGCTTAAGAGCATTTATCAAATTAAAATTGAGCAGTCCGATGATAACATTTCAATAGCAGATTATGAGTTACCAATACCAGAGGTTAGTCTTCAATTTCTCTAAACTTCTTATCAAACACTAAATCGCTAAAAGTTTATTTGATTTTTATAACAATATGTATTTATATATCATAAATAATAGTATTCTCCATTGAATTCCATATTTTTGAATTTATTCTTGACATCCCCCAAGTTGTATTCTTTGAATGAATCCAAGACGTTTTCAAATTTGCGATCCCCTAAAAATATTGATTATATTTACTTTTGGTTAATAAATACAAAATGAGCCTCAAGATGTCCAATATATTGGGGTTCTCCTTAATAATCTTCAAACTATAAACTTCCTTGATCAATTTAATGGTCAATTAATAATCATCCAACTGACTATCCTCTTTCCCTTTGTCTTAAAAATAAAACAAATCAAAAATATTGCTCAGGTTGATGCAATTCCTTACAATAAAGAAACTACTGATTTCGGTGTTGTAAAATACAAAGCTCAAAATTTACGATAAATACAAAACGTTACTGTAATACTCGTCTCTTCTCATTTTGCTCATACAACAGATTTATTTGAAATTGTAACCTAAAGATGTTTTTTATTCTTTGTCATAAGCAGTGGCTAAAATGAGTTCCAGCATCTTTTTGGAATGAATAACGGCAGGTTTAACATTCAATTAAGTACATAATATTGCCATTGATTGAGTCATTCTCTAAACTGTGGGATGAAATAATTTAATATAGTAAATGAACAGTCCACTTACAGTTTATTAATATATAGTTTTGCATATTAATTCAAAATCTTATAAAGACTCGTAGTATTACAGTTCAATTTAATCTTCAAAAATGTAGGCTTGGTAGTAATTGGACAAGTCAAACATATCAATAAAAAATTTGGACAATTGGATTTAATTAGTTTCTAAATTTTTAAAAAGTTCTTTTTTATGAAATTTCTTTAACAACTTTCTGGCAGATTTAAATGTTATAAGAGAACTCGAGTAATTGTCCTTCCTCTGGAATTCTTGTATGAATTTGACCACAGAATCAGTTGCCTTTTCCAAAATTACATCATTAATTTTAACAGTCTACGATAACGTCTAAGAGTTCATCAATATCCTCTTGATTTATGTCTCCTCCTCTATGTACTTCTCATCAATCTTATACTCCAAATATTGGTTCAATTGCACTCTCTACAATTTATGGAATATTTTTGGATGATCACACTTGATTTCATGTAGAATGTCAATCAATACAAAGTCCACTTACAATTAATCATACGGCACCAGTTGATTGCAGATTGGGCATTTCCATCTATTCTCATTCGGCTTTTCATTCATTGTCAAATAGGCATTCAATTCAAAACAATCAAAATGTAAGCACTATTTCCCTCGAACTGGAATCTCCAGTTACTACATCGTAATTCCATCAATTAATTTTACTGAAAACAATGAATCCTAAAGAGTGTCATCAACCACTAATACTTATATGAATTGCATTACATGACAATGATTTAATCTTATCTTGATATTATTACTTTTATTAAGTAATAATGGAGTCTATTATTTTCTCTCTCCCCACATCTATTAGTTTACTCTTTAATTCAGATATTTTAATACTTTTAACTATTACTATACCAAGTAGAGAATTGCTTTCTACATCTTCTCCAACTTTCACTTTTATTGTATTTGCTCCCCATTAGATACAAGTGGATGGTCTAAAATTATAATATTTTTAATTAGATAAACATAAATCCATAATCGTTTATATGATATGCTATGTGATGTTGGTTGTTCAATTCAACATACACATTTTTGCTTGGCCACTCATACAATTTTTTTGGTTCTTTTGTTTTAGTACAAAATATTGCAAGGATTATCGATTTCTTCTTAAGTTCTTCATAATACTAATTCACTTCAAATGTGAACACCTTCTCTAGTAATTAGGCAGGTTTCTTAATTATAGCAACATTAAATTTATTGTTTAGCTTAATAAATGTCTAATATTCTTAGTGAAAATTTACTTCGAATTGCATCTAGGGATTATTCGCAGTTAATGAGCATTGGAGGCATCGAAGTTACGATGGTTATTTATCTGTTATTTGATAATCATAGCACTGCCAATGATGATTCTTATGACAAACGTAACAGATAAAACTATCTAAGATGTTATTTTATTCACAATAGCATTATTTTTACATTTAATTAATATTTTACCCATTAATTAGCGAATGAAGAATAAATTTAAACAATTAACTTTACTAATATTTAGTTACAAAGGCAATTAAATATTTATTATACTAAATCTGCTAATATTAAATTAAAAAATATATATATGTTTAATATTTATGTAATGGAGATTTCTCGAAGACACTTCAATTATTCATGGATCCCTATATTCTCAAAGAAAATCAAGTTATCTCTATTTTTATTCTAAATATACATCGAAATTTGTTTTATATATAAAATAATTATGAATTGAAGTTAATTATGTATGGTTTAATCTATTGCTATTGATTATTTTAGCATTAGAACTTAACTTTGAATATTATTTAAGGATAAAATTTAACTTGGAGAGGTTTTGATCTGATATCATAACATATTTTAAAATCTTCTTCATAATTGATATCTTGTATTCTCTTTAACAATTTTATTTAAAATTATAAATCAAAATAAAGAAATGTTTAGAAAAGCTAAAATAATGAATGAAAAATTTTGATAAATAATGACTAATATATAATTAAATGTTATTTTATTGCATTTTGGATATGAAGATAATTATGGTTATCAATTCATTACAATTCTTTGATTCTTAAATAGGGATAATAAATCTATTCCTGTTTTAGATATGATTGTACTATTTTCAACAACTGTGTCCTATGATTCAAATTTTAATAATTCTGACATTGAAAATTTCATAGAATAAATTGAATTCTATTTCTAATAATATCGAATAGATTTATCATCACTATAAGTAACGTAACAATTGAATTTTAAACTTACTGCAGCTCCATTGACTTGCTCATCATGCTCATTTTATATAATCATCGATTTATCTTCTTCATCATAAAAGATAACCTATTTATCTTTTAAATTGGTGGTAATCAACAGTGTCTTTTCATTTAAATAATTGAGACTATTAATGGAGAAGTCTTTAAAATCTTTTTCATAGATAATTTCAAATGATTGTGCTGAGATCACTTTAATTAATTCTTTAAAAACTACAACCAACTTGGATTTATCAGGAGACTAACTTAAACAAATAATGTTTGGTTGATTCAAATCCAAGAAGTCTTTTGTTTTCTCCCCTTTATAATTCCAAAACCCAAGTTTGCCATCTTTATCTCCTGAATATATTGTGTTGTTCTCATCCACTAAAAATGTGGTGGGAAAATGATTATTTGACTCTTAGGCGTATGAATACTTCAGCTTTTTCTGCAAGATAGGGACATAAAACAATTGATCATCCTTAGACCAAATGATTCTTCTCTAATTGAATAAGACCAATATGGATTGATTGTCATTTAGATTGACAATTTTCTCAGATAAAATTAAGTCATCTGATATCCACATGCTTAAACCTTCGAAAGTATGTAAAACAAAATAGTTTTGATCATTAGAAAGATAGAAGGAGTTAATGGTTGATCCAGTGTCAATGACTTTGATTGGTTTATCATCCTTCCATTGTTTTAATATCCCATCAAGTCCAGCTGTGATAAACATATTTTGGTTATTAATCCAAGCAATTTTAGTAATACGTCCATTGTGAATTTCAGGTATCACTTAATATTAATCTTATTTTTAAAGGTCAATGATAAGCAGATTTCCATTTTGAGTGCCTGCGTATATCATGTTACTATTCTTCATGCAAATAGAATGTATATGGTCTTTCTTCTTTTCCTTAATTACCTTTATTGTCGACTTCTAACTAATATTCCAAATTCTAATAGTTTGGTCGATCGAGATATAGAGGTTATCGTTCCAAACAAAAAAGTCATTAATTTTAGTAAATTTACTTTGGTAATTAGAATATTGAGTAAAATCACTAAATTTCCAAAATATTATTGAATTTTATCCTGAAGTCATAAACAACTTATTGTTCAATACATAAATGATATCACATTTGCTTTTTTTGTGAGCCTAATTTTTGAATATGAGTTCCTTATTTTCTATGACTAAAAGATATCCCTCACTCGTACCAATTAACTTCTATAACCCATTATTGCTTATGGCTAAAGCAGTTATATATTGATTTTAGATTTTTAAGTAATTGCTTATGTTATACGATTCGATAACATTCACTTATTGATCCCTGCACTAATCTAATAATTTTTTAGTCTCAATATTTGGAATTATTCTTTTATTTTCATCTTTGTAATCGTATATTAGTATAAACTCTTATAAGTTATTAAGACTCCATAAATGTATTAATTTTTCTTCAGTCATTGTAACTATATTGTATTATTCCTCTGAATAAAACACAGATACCTTGGAGATTTGAGAAGCAAAATGATTTATCTCACTCCTTATCTAAAAGGTTAGCAAGTCCCAAATATATAAGTATCCATCTTCTCCTCCTGAACATAACAAATTAGAATCTTGAGAGATGGCTAAACTTCTTATCGGCAATTAATGCTTTTCAAGATTCTGACCAATCTGCTGCCCAGTTTATGTGTTCCAAATCTTGATTAACAAATCACTAGATCCAGATATCAATAAAGTTCCATCAAATGAAAATATGCAACATTAAACAGAGTTGATATGACCTTATGGATTACTAATTTAGGTGTCTTAACTATCTAAGTCCCAAATTTAGATTTATCCTTGGTTTTATCCTGTTACTGCTAAATAAGTATTAGTGATTAATGTTAATGAGAATATTTTAATAAATGCTGTAAAATTAGCTTAATTTATTTATGATAATTGCTAAGTACTCCATAAAATAATTGATTAGTCAAAAGAACAAGAAACTAGAATTTTGCCATCATTCGAAAACTGTAATTCAGCGACTGCTTTCTTATGTCCACTTAGACTAACAGGTTTCTCAATTTATGACAAATTATAGAGATATATTTCTCCCTTTCGACCACCAATTGCTAAAAGATTCAATTCTAAATTACTATCCATACAAATTACTCTTTCACACTTTGTTTCAATTTATTTCATCAATTATGCTTGCTAACTGTATAAATGTATAGTTTTTGATAATCTTTACATAATTATAATTTTACAGCATCGAAGATTCACAATTTATTCGTTGATTAGTTATTTAAATGAATCTATGGTAACAATCAAATCCTTTTATTACTAGATGATTTCAACTTTATCTTCAACCTCTTATTTTTAGTTTTATTATTTTCCTTTTTTCTTGTCTTTGTCTGTTGTTTTCTTTTATGCTTTTCTTTCAACATATTCAATATTTAATTTGAGTTCATGTGCACCATTGTATCCTCCAAAAATCAAAGATTTATCATCAAATCCAAATACACAACTTGTTCTCTCTTTATCAAAACATTATCCATATTGTATTAATTGAACTATTTTCATATCAAACAAATCATATAATAAAATCTCGTTTTCATTTAATAAAGCCATTAGTCTTTGATTATTTGCCAGAATAGCTTATTTGGGTATAATTTTGATATTTAATTTATTTACTTCTTGAATTTTATAAATGTCATACTATTTCATTTCAGGTTTTTAATCATCAAAAGCAAGCAGAAGCCTTTCTTTTTCAATATAAGTTAATCCTTTGATGTTTCCCAAACTCGTAGATATTTTTGGTAACTAATTCAATGAGATATCAGTCCATTAAGCATTAACAATCTTGGATAAATTTAAATTAACAGATGATAGAGTTATACCTTTTAAATTTGAATTTGTGAAATCGCAATTAAAAAAGTTGGCTCCACTCAATGATACATCTGTTATTTTAATATTACTGAAATCCATATCAATAAAGGAATGATCCATTTCATTTAACAATAGCATACTATTAGAACCGGCTATAACAAAATTATCATCAGTTCTTGTTAGATAAATGAAATTTAAAAGCTATTACTTTTATTCATCATTATACTTTAATTTATCACAAATAAATGTTATAGAACCTTTCAAAAATTCAAATTCCCAAATTGTCTTAAAAAATTCATATTAAAATAGTTACTTTTTTGTATTTTCATCTATAGGAAATTTTATATTGGATAAATATTCAACAAACCATTTAGCTACTAAAAATTCTTAAATTGATTTATGATTAAATGAATAAATGCTGTTTTTCTACTTAATAGGCATACATTTTCTAAATAATCTTTTGTAAACTCCTTCCTAACATTAATCATCAAAGAATTCATCTTTCCAATCAGATTCTAATTTCTTAAAGATAAGCCCACTAGGTTAAAAATAAACTTAGGTCATATTTCTAAATGTCATCTGATTAGCCAAATGATGAGTGAATTTCCATAACTCACTACCAATTTATTCATAATCTATAGGTTCACCTGCTTCTCTTAATTTATAAATTTATCTCTTAAAATAATGTTCCAGAAATTAACTATAGAAATCATATGTAGATAATGGTTCTAACATTAATGAGTTCTTAATGATAGTAAATTTTTAATTGGAAGTAAAATATTTAGTAATTAATTTATCTACTTAAATTTCTGAAAACTCCAGTAGATATTCGCTCAAAAAATTTGAATTATGAATAATTGTTTACCATTCATCTAATGCTTATTTCTCAAGTTGATTAAATTATAGCAATTAATACTCACTTTTTGCGAAGTAAATATATTTTTTAATGAATCTATTTTTTACATTGTTAATTTCTGACCTTTACCTAACAATATAAGGGAGAACAGCCATGACAATCTCAGCCATAAAAGGAGTTTCTATTACTTTGTCTAATTTCATAATTTGGATGAATTTTAAATATTAAGCACTCGACCATATTTCTGCAAGTAATTAGGATAAGGACTTTTGCATTTCCTTTGAAACAAAATTAGAACATTTAAATAAAATTTACTATATTACATTTGGATTAAGCATAAATGTATTTTCAAATTTCATCTTACCTAAGTTCAATGATTTAACTAGGTCAGTGAAAAATGTCTCATATTCAGAGTAATCTTAAGTGCCATAATTACTAAAGTAAAATTCTCTAATATCCCTTTTAACACACAATAATGTGTATTGATCAATATACAATTTTTATTGTTCTTAATTAAATTTTAATAATTTGACTTCTTTGTAAAATTAAGGAGAATTTGATTCTGATAAAAACCATGTATTATAGCCAGCTATATTAAATATTTCTGTTCTACAGGTGGTGATAATTTTAGGAAACTTGTTTTTGTCAGCTTAACATCTCCATTTTGAGAGTTTATTTGATACATTTAGGTTTAGTCCTATGTAATCTGACTTTAGTTCATCATAACTATCCATTATTATTACCAATTTTATTTTACGTTATTCAACAGCTTCTTAAAATTCTTAGATTTATCTTTCATTAAATCTATAATTATCAGATTTTAAAGTTTCTTCAATACAACAATACACAGGGTCTCTTAATTAAGGCAATTATACAAAGATAGGAATTAATGGTATATAATCACTCTATTTTTTATTCTTTTGATAAAACATCCATAGGAATTCCTCTATTTTTCTAGCCGCTGTACTCTTACCCGATCCAGCTTAACCATGAATCAAAAAACTATCCTTAGATTGCTTCCAAATAAATTCATTTATCTCTCCATCTCCAAAAATGTCCTCTGTGAAGAGATTTGTCTTTTCAGAAGAGTATTATGAATCATTCAATTTTTCTTTCGATTTTATAGGTATATAAACATTGTCGGAATTGAATACTAATCTTTATTATAACATTTTTTTCATTCTCAATTCTAATAATTCATAGAATGTTCTCCCCTTCAAATATTTTATGTCCTTGCTTATTTAATCTAATGTTTCTTGCATCTAAATAATAAAATTTTCGATTCTTAATAGGTCCTATTTTAGATCCTACAGAAAGATGATTGTAATTCCGAGTGAGTTTTATATTTAAGCAACATTATCAAACATTTACTAGATATCTTTCTCTAACTTAGTATACTCCTTTCGTAATTGCTATTTAAAATTTTCCTAGGTTTCAATCGATATTTATTGGGCTAACTCATTTAAATCTTTTAATTTCTCCTTTAGCTAATTTTAGATAATGGTTTCTTGACTCGGCCAATATTTGCCCATCAATTGATTGGATAATTGAATGGATTTATCATCAAATAGTGATCTAATTCTCTTATCAGTCTCATAAACTTAAAATCTTATATATAATCCAGAATTCAATGACATACAATTTTATTGAAGACAACTTCTTCTCATCTATATCAATTCATAAACCAAAAATTGTCTAATCCTCCATTAGTTATTTGACAATAAATCATTAATTCCCTGTTAAATTAAATCAAAATAATCATTTGATTTTTTCGACTCATCTTTATTTTCTATCTGACTCAAAATAAAATAGATTTGTGGCTCTAGATCCGAAGGGTACTAATTAAATTCTTTCAATGAAATAATCTACTAAACTTATTAATAGTCAATGGCAATCTCTATAGTCAAATTACAATATTCACTCATTGATTCCTGTAATAATTTTTCAGATTCCTGAAACTACAAATAAAATTGAGGTTTCTTTGTAGCTAATTTTTACAGGGTAATCACATTTAAAATTTGAGATTACACTTTCTCAGAATTAGTAAATATATTTTAGAATTATTGCACTTATTCTTGCTATCTGGTTTTAATTTATTTCATTTCATCTACTAATTGTTCATAAAATTTGATTTCCTCATTCCAATCAAATTGTTTTTATTCAATCTTAACTGATGTACTCTTTATTAATCTGCAACAATCGCTTAATTACTTTTGTATATCCTCACAAAGATAAAATGCAATTTCTTTATCCTTTTCATTAGTTATTTTCATCAATTTTACAATATCAATCAATTCTATAATGTTTGAAATTGCAGCTCTCTTATTTTCTAAATATTAATAAAACTCATGATCTTCGGTTTTGATGTAATCTTTCATAATTTCAAAGGATTTTAAGAATTCATCCTGATAAGCTGAAAGTTTTTAAAAGCTCAATACAATCTAGGATTATAATAAGGAGTTCGTGTTGAAATTGGGAAAAATTTCATGAAAGATAGATTAATCTCTTAAGATAATTAGATCATCTTTTTGTTCCTGATTGTTATCTAATTAATTTTTGAGAATATCTGTTATCATTTTGAATCCGCTACAGATTTAATTTAAATAGTTGATGTTATCAGTCAATTCTTCTTATACAATTTTACAGATTTCTTAGTCAATACTTACATCATTCTTCAATTTGGTTTCTTTGAATAAATGTGTTGTTAAAATTCCTATTATTTAATTGATTGTTATAAATTTTTCAATTGTTATTGCTTTTAGAATCTTAACAAATTTATGGGATTGATCAGTAGGTATTTTGGATAAGATCTTGCTACTCTAACATTTTAGGAATTGGTTGTACATAAATTACAATGAAGATTATAGAGGATCGTAAGAAATCATTTACATCGAAAGTTGAATGATTTCTTATTTTAAATTTAATTACTTTTCGTCTTCTTTAAAAGAATTGGTCATTCTTAATTTAATTGATAAAATCACTTGAATCTGTAAATTCCAATTTATGAAGCATTTGGATTTCTAAGTTAGATCAAAAGCTTTAAAAAATCCATAAAACCATTTATTCTCATTGGTAGTATTTTTCGTTGTTTCTTATTGCTTCTTCATTTTTAGTGAAACAATCAAGTTTTCAATTTAAACTTGATTAATAGTTTTTTTAAGAATTTCCTCCCTTAATTCAATGCTTATTTCTTCTGAAGTAAATTGATCTAATAGTGATTGTATGGCATTCTCTTAAAATATTGAATCGAAATCAATATGTTAAAACTGTTTACTTGATAATTGACAATTCAAGTATTTTTGTAGAAACATTACTTAAATTTTGTCAGTTTCTGGAAATTCATAAATGAACTCATTCTAATTGATTTCCCCCTAGATAGATTATTAGATGATAGCCAAATATTCCAAATCTCTCTTAAGTTGAATAGTTTTAGAAATCAAATCTTTCATTAGGTCTTCAGCTTCTTTGATTTTTTGTTGATCATTATTAATCACAAGCTATTTAAATAGTTCAACCAATTATTATTAACCCTATTAAATTGCGCTAACTGAATTCATAAACTGAGAGATCTAAGAAGAACTAAATGAATTATTTTTTAAAGTTGAATTAGTTGCTTTGATAACAGATAATTTGTTAAAATAGTATTGTTCATAACTTTATAGTAATCCATATCCATTTAATATGTAATATTATAGTCGAGATAATTCTTGCAGTGGCTGACTATTTTCAAAAATTAATTTCAATAATTCGTCATTTTGAATGTAAAAATTATTGATTGCCACATAATTTCTACCATCAAAATTAGGGATTGTATATTCTTTTCCTTAAAAATATTACTAGAGCTGATTTTGAATTCTCAATTCATCAACTGCTTATCTCAATTAAAAGAGTTAAGATAACACCTAAATCCAACTGCACCAAATTTCCCAATCAGTAGATTCTCGAATAATTTCGCAATACATTTTGCTAAGAACAGTTGCCAAATACTTTGCATCCCTTCCATTATCCAATTCATCAATAATATAAAACTTTAATTATTGAAGAGCAAAAATCACTTCCAATTTGCGCTTTCTACTATACTTAACTCCCTCTTAATAGATATAGATAACACTCTTCTTAAGACTTTGAATTAGATCATCATTTAAAGTAAATGTGCTTACTGATTTAAGAGCACCACTTAAAAACTATACTAAGATTTCTTAACTCTCTTTTGAATTAGTCGGTTAAATAGTTATAATGGATTTTGAAATAAAAAATTCGAAATAGAGATTGTTGAATAGTTTATCAGCGTTTCTTTCAATTTTTAATTACTCTCTTATCAAGCCCATTTCCCTTAGCATAAATTACTGCCTGTCAATGTCCAAATATCTCTCTTAATTTGTGGAATAGTACATAAACAGAATCCAAGACAATTAGGTCATAATTTATAATACATATAATGAATATCCCACATGTTATTAAATTACTTTTTATAATGCTGACATTAGTGTATCTAAACTTTATGATACAAGTTCAAAGGATTATTGATTTAATTGAACATTACTAATCAAATTCCATATTTATCTCTAATTTAATTGGAAGAATTGAAAACTATTCATTAGGTTATTTTCCTAATCTAAAACTGTCACCATAGATCTTCCAATACGATCACAATGAAACTTAATTTAAGTTGTCAATCCTGGGCTATTTTTTAAGGTTTGTGTTTTAATGGGGAAAGGTGTAACTATGTGAGTTGATCCACAACCTCCTCCTCTTAAATTCATCATAAATTTTTTAATAATATTAATTATTTGTCTTAATGAGGTAATTGAGTTTAAAACTAAGAAAAATAGTATCTCTGATTAGAAGAGTAAGATCAGAAAGATGTTTTAAGTATTTAAACATTTTAATTTATATTGATAATAAGACAATAATTTTTAAATAAAAATATAAAACCATTTCTCTTTACTTTAAAGTTTTATGATGAAAAATGAATCGTAAATTTAAACAATAGCATAAATAATAGTTAGTTCGTATACAAGTTGAATAATATTACTGGATTCATTATTTTGAGGATTATTTAAAGCCTGATTAATCAGATTTAAGAGTATTCTCAAATGATGTAGAAGGAGAAATAATAAATCTGTTTAATATTTTTCGATTTTAAAATTAGCTTCTAACCTTTTTTTCTTTCCACTCTTATATTTAATTAAATTCAATATAAAGTTAAAATAAAAATATATATTAAATGATAAAAATTATAAATTTGCATCATAAAACCTGTTTTGATTTTGTAAATTTACAAAAGGAATAAAAGTTAAACGAAACTACTATATTTGATATTAAGTAAGTCTGATATGAAGATTAAAGGGGTTGCTTTTAATATGATTGATAATATAGACATTGGAATCTAATTAAAATAGATTAACTTATAAGAAGTCAATCTTGATTAAATACGAATACAAATATCAATAAAATTATATAACTCCTTCTTTGAGTATAGAATTAGTAGAGTTGGAGTGATCCAAAGTAGTTTTAGTACCGCATTTCTTTAATATATCAAATATTTATCTGGCTGGTTTTCCCAATTGTTAATAGAAATCTATAAATAAACAAGCCAATAGGATGGTTGAGAATCCTGCAATTTCCACCCATCCTAATAAGGATACATATTCTATTTGGGAGAATAATAGGAGTGATTCTGAAACTGAAAATAGGATAGCTATGGCTGATATCAAACATTCGGTGATAATAATTTTGTAGTTTTCAAATTGGTTTGCAAATGGTCGCATTCTATAGACATAGACTGAATAAAAGCCTGAAATCAAAGAGGTTAATATTGGTTGAACAGGGGGAAGTGTTTGCAATAGGACTAAATTGGCAATGAAAAAGGTCTTTTTAATCAAGACTAGTGTGGTGAATTGCCTATTCCAATAGTTTCCTTTGATTTCAAGTCCTTCAAAGAAAATGGAGAATCGTCTCGATAAATTCTTTACTGTACTCAAGTAGGAGTACAATTGGAACATGAGAGCAAAATTGAAAATGAGTACGATAAGTGCAAGAAGTGAGCTAGTTTCAGTGATGGAGTCATACGTTTAGAAATTCGCCACTTGCAGAAGAGCGGAGAACATTAAATCGTAGAAGTTGGATAGGTATATTCTGACGAGTCCTGAGTAAAAGAAGTATTAGTAATAGGATTTGCAGATTTTTTGAATGAAATGCATAGCTTTGATTATTTTGGTGATTGTTTCGACGTATCTTTGATCGAATACGATGGGCCAATTGTAATATTTGAGTGAAGTAAGTAGCAGTTATAAGAAGTAAACGATAACGTAATTGGTGAATCCAAGAACTAGGATAATGATGAAGGATTCCAGATTGATTCCAAAGTAGCAATTGATAGAGAACACTTCAAATCTTCCAAAGGCAGGTATGAAGGGAGAATTGTATTGAAACATTTCTTCGATGAATCCACTCAATTTAATTCTATCAGTTATTGGTTAAATAGTAACAAGGGAGAAAACTTCAAAGTAAATAGATAAATTTTAAGGAAATTTCAGATTCAAATATTTCATATAAGATAATTGTTATAAGGTATCTATAAGATTCCAAAAGATTTCTAGATTACCACTTATGAAAGCAACACAAGCAACAGTAATCAAAGTATAGATTACAATTTCATTGAATAATGCAGCATTGGCAGCCACCATCTTTTGAGTTGAGGATAATGTAAATGGATCCTTCAAGATGATAGTTTATTAATTAGATGCTAATTGATTCTCATATTGATTAACTAGTTGATCGCAATAGATCTTGACTATTAATATGGGTCCGACAACAGATTTGTAGAAATTGAGTTTAATCTTGTAGGAGACAGGTTGCAAAGTATAATCAATGCTCAGGATGGGAATTATTTCATAAGTGTAATCTGAATCTTAGAGATTGGAGATGGAAATTTGAATGAGTTGCATAAATATCTCTTCAGTGATGGAAGTCGAATTCAATCTGACATCTTCACTGAAAGTAAGAATGATTTCTTAGCTCTATCCATAACTATTGAGAGGAGTGGTCAATTTGATGGTTGGACTGATATTGTAAATGCAAACACTCAAGGAGTCCACAAAATAGCACTTCCAGAATTTTTCAATTTCGCAATTAGAATTGCATCCATCATTATTATCAGTGTTGGCATCTTCACATTGTTCATAAGAAGAGGCAAAGATACCATCACCGCATTTATTTTAACAATATGATTAATTTTCATACAATCCATTAGGACATTAGATGCATTCTCCTTGGAAACACTTCAGGCAATGAGAATCACATGAATATTCGCAGTTATAACAGCCATCAAATTCTACGAGATTACCATCATCACAATATTCTTTGCCTACTATAATACCATCTCCACAAATGGATTTACATTGTCCATCAGCCAGTTTCCATCCATAGGAATCGCAGACTTAGCATAATTTACCCTCACACTATAAACACCCTAATGAACACTAGATCTAACACTTATAGCATCCATCATAAGGAAGATAATTGCCATCATCACATACTTCATCCGAATTAGTGATGATTCCATCTCCGCAAAACCCTTCACACACATCAGTAAAACAAATTTGTAACTAATCATCCCAAAAGCATCCCTAATTATACTTATCACTCTAACAAGCCTCCTTAATTGAAAAATATTAACACTCAGTTATCTCTACACATCCTCCCCCCCTCTTAGTAGTACAAGATGATAAGTACTCTTAACATTGTTAATGAGTTGTTAAGTTAGTTGTAGCTGTGTTGCATGTTTTCGTAACACAATCATTTATTATCCACACACACTCTTTGAAAAACTTATCAAATGTACACCCATCCTTAATCAATACTTCTTCACAAGTACTTCTCCTGATACATTGATAACCATTTGTAGTACAACTTTTGTCTGGAAATATAGAAGCACAAGCAGAATCAATTGCATAATAGTAATCAGTGCAAATTCTTAATCTGCATCCACCTTTTTAACAATTCTACATATATCCCTCGCATTCCTTATTAGACAAAGCAAATTTAGGGCCATTCTCACATGTCTTCTCTACACACTATACTCTCTCGGTATTCCAAAAACATTCAGTACCATTAGCATTGTGTTGTCCATCACTTCTACATTGCAATTCATTATAACCTAGACATTGGGCCTTTGCCAATTCGCATTCTGTTAAATTATCATTTACTGAACAAGTTAAATCAAAATACAATTGACATGCTCCTGATGAATACCTCTATAATTATGCCGTAATACATGTTTTATAGCTGCATTTATTTTATGTTTGGATCCACTCGCATTGTATTTTTAAACTATCAAAATAACATTATTCCTTAATTGTATACAAATTGCAATCAACTAAATGAATGCAACCGTTCTTTAGGGAATTCACAGTACAATCGGACAAATAAGATTAACATTTGGCATGGGAATCGTTTTCAATCCCTAAATCTAAACAATTTAGTATTTAAATGCATTGATTTGTCGTTGATTTCCAATAGCATCTATTTCTGATATTGTCCATATAACATTGCTTCTATGTTGCCAAACTGCAACTAGTTGGTAGATCTGTGCAATTAGGATATCTACTATTTACTGTGCATATTCCACTTAAAAAAAGGGATTCACAAGATTAATGATTATCTGAACTTAGCTATGATTCACAGTTTTCAAGATTGCTCTACCTTGTACAGATTCCACTTAAATCTGAACAAGGATACCCTTAGATATCTTTGCTTATATTGCACAAAGTAGGTTTATGCACACTGCAAGTAGTAACGTCAACACAGTTATCTGAGGCATTCAATGTACAAATATCTATATATAATGCGCAATCGGTTGCACTTAAAGTGGAACAAACAACATGAATACATATTGATATTCCATCCACCGTAGCCTACATGCACGTGCTATCAAATGTTTGGCATTCTGCATTATCCATTGGTGTATTTGGTATTGACATGCAATAATCTATACAACCTAAACCAAAAAGATTCCATGCACATTTGTAACCATTTAGTGCTACCACACATGAAGCTTGAAATGAATAATCCTAGCAATGGATCTCCTTTAATTTACAAATTGGACCATTTGAATAAGATACAGTTTTATGAACATTCTAATTGTGACAGTCTTCATGCTTAACTAGAGCTGGATTAATTGTAGGATCACAAGGATTGTTTTCCGAACAAGATCCACTACACCAATAACACTTCATACTGATATTTTTTGAATTAACTATCAAGACTCCATACTTGGCTTGACAATCCAGTTGAATTGTGAATAAATTACAAGATTTAGGAACACAAGAGCCACCACTCCATTTACAGTCCATTCCATCACTTGTGTGAGCAGAATTACATATTGCCATATTAGAAATGTAATCGCACTTTTAGTATTTACAACCTTATCCACTTCTATAATCTAGAATACAAATTTTGTTCATTAATTAGCATTCATACAGGGAAACTGCAGTTGTATTCAGTTCACAATTTGCAATGCTAACACAATTGTTTTATTATAATGAACATTACGAATATTGTAAACACTAGTGCTTTAATTTTATTTAAGTACAATCTACATTATCAAAGGATTTACAATTAGTACCATCAAAAACGCAATTGTTATTCCAATCATAGCAGGCTTGATCATTTAAAGGTCCAACATTAGCAGATTTCATATGAACACACTGCCTATTCTCACAGGTAAGAGTAGCAAAATTGAATCCACATTTTTATAAGGATGTGGTCATTGAATCATTACACCACTTGTAATTGATCATACCCTAAGTTGTGAGATCACTACAATTTATAATGTTTACACACGATTTGGTTGTCAAATCAGTGGTGATATCATAAGTGCAAATGGAAGAATAATTGTGACATACATCATATTTATCTGAGACGCTGCCTGCTAAATTACTTAATACACATTCTTAAGCCACACATTTAAGTTCAGATCCAACATATTGATAGCTGCATAAAATACCAAGGCTTGTTTTCACATTATTACAACTACTTTGAGAAGGGAAGAGATGATGGCAAAATCGATTACGTCTGCATTCGTTACCATAATAAAGGCACTTTTCATTTTTGTAAAGAACCGCAGAATTGCAATTCGTGTTTACAAGATTACTACATTAATCTACACTGTAACAACCCGTACCACTCAATTGCAATAAGCATAAAGAAAAATAAAATTGGCACTCTTCATCGCTAGAAGCTTCAGTGATTAATTTACACTAACTTGCATCAGTTATTGTATTGCATTTATTGTTATAATAATAACATCTCTAATTGACAGTTGTTATGGTTTTATTACAAATCTATTAATATTTTACATCAGAGCAGGTTGTAGGTCTATCTTCGCAACCTGTTTGAGCTATGCCATCTTCATTATATATGAGTTGGCATAGATATCGATTTTTATATTGGAAACATGCTGCCTCTGTTTAAGCAATAGTGTTCTCAGAGCACAATAAATTCTGACATTTACTTTATGCCTTATCCCAATAGCAAGGTTATTGATACTTATTTAACTTACAGGCCTACTCTATTGTGTAGATGGTGCAATCCTCTGAAAGGTCGACACAAAATTTACTGATATTATTGATTGTGCAAATCTTCATAAAATTTTCACACGAACTGTGAGTTAATTCACCCATTTTATGCCGACCACATTAAAAAGTATTAGTATTAATACCAGAATCAAACTGAAGTGCACTTTGACATGTAGATGTTTCATAATCCCAAAAGCAATAAGATTCTGGCTTAGTATTCGGATATAAATTATCTAATACTGATTTACATTGATTTTTGGTTACGTAATTTGAACATAAAGCTAATTTCTATTAACAGGCAGGGATATTTTAATCTGAGATTGTACAATTTGGATTCCAAGCTTGACATTCTTAATGGGTGTCATACATTTCATTTTTTGGAGATTGGGAACACACTAGATTAGTTGGCCTAATCATGCATCCTGAGTATGAAGATGTTACAATGCAATTGCTTAGGAAACTGTGACATTGTAGATTGTTTATATACGAAGCAATTGGAGCATCTATGCAGTCGATTTGACGACATGCGTTAGAAGACCATATACAAACAGTAGAATCTTGCAAACCAAGTTCACATTGGGTTTATGACAACATCTAAGAACAAGCACTAGGCCAATCAACGCATCCGTTATTAGTACTATTTATAATACATGTTTTTGAAATAACTTTGAATTGTAAACAACTTGCATTAGTTGTGTGAGAGCTGTCTGCATCAACGCATTATTAATTGAAGCATTAGTTTGATTACCACTTACAATGAAAACCAGAATAGGTCGAATAGCATTAATCTTATTTTGCTATTGAGCATTCAGATGGTTTGTCAGCGCATCCGAATTTTAGAAAATTGTTATCATATTCATAGATGTTAACAGTGCATGTTTTTACCCAACTTTCACATTATTCATTTGTATCGTAATAACTGGGGGCTAATTTACATTTTTTGGCAATGCAACCATCATTCAAATTACAAACTTGATCTAGAGAATCAATAGTACAAGCAGTAACATCAGTAATGTTTGTACAGATGTAATCTATGCATCCCCCTATCTCTATGTTAAATGTGCAAAATCTGCTGGCATCTTGACATTTCTGATGATTATCATATTTAGGTAATTTCAAATTAGAGCACACCAATTAATTGCATTGGCCATTTATCCAAATACATCGAGATTCATCATATGTAATATCACAGAACTATTAATCGTTGATATCCTGACAAGATTAGGGTCTCTATTGACAACTCCCCAAAAGTGTCCCCATGCATGTTCCATATTCTTTACATTAATTATGGTTAAAACTCTTGGGAGCATGAAAACACTATCTCTTGTCACATTTATTCTCAAACCATATACAATCTTAAATGTCTACTGATTTGCAATCGAGCTCTTAACAATAATCCTAACATTATATTGGTCTATCTTTACATCCTCCATTTTATGCACTCACACAATCCAGCAATTGGTCATAAGATTAACATTATTCATAGTTATTGTATGACTAGGGTGCTGTTATACAACTCTTCTCCTGACATTGTCCATTGTGATAAACACATTTCTTATTATTGATGTCCAAAACACATCCTATTGCACTCCCAATATTTTTGCATTCCTTTTTGTCAATACAATGAACACCATTTGTAGTACACTTCGACATGTAAGAATTGCATTCAGCATAGGTCTTTAATCGCTTATTTTCACAATTCTTAGTAAAACACAATTATAATTCATCTTCCCAAAAGCACTCAGTTTTTTTATTATATGTAAAATAGCATTAGTTTTCGAAAGTGTATTGTTCACATTTGTTTTTTCCCTCCTCACATCCCAACCCCAAATCATTTACTGTACATTATTACATTGCACTTCTGCAATCATAATCACTCATTAAATACTAGGGCAGTTAAGTGCATTGCTGTGCATCTTGGCATCTCGGATTTGCATTTACATCCCAAAAACAATAATTTCCATTCACATTTTTATTTTGACACCCTACCTCTGTGTCATAATCCATACACACTCTCTTCTCTATACATTTTAATCCGTCGGAAACGCATTTTAGTGAAGATTCTTAACATTAATTTTTTTAAAATAAACTACACTCTGTAAACCTTATGCACTCCCCCAAATAAAATCCACACATATCCATTTATATGCAATCTTCCTGTATATACTTGTAACACTAATCTCCATCTTATTAACCCACCTATTGAATATAAGTTTCACCTGATCTTAAAATACAATTTTCTCCGTTCCAAATACAGATCTAAGATCTCTAACATTCATCCTTATTGTCCACATGCCTGCAAACACAATATTGACTAATATATCTCATTTCAATTGATGAGATCATCAAAAATACCAAGTACTTATAGATTTTCATTATTATTTAAATGAAAAAATATTAAAATCAAATCTTGATTTCTTCTATAATTTTTATAAATGATCATAATGACAGAATAGCGCAATTTAAATATTACATATCGATAATTGTGTCCAACAATTTATTTAATTAATTTATATTTACATGTTGTTAATGAAAAATTAAAATTCCCTCTTAAAAATGATAAGAAATGAACCATTTTAGAATTCATAAAAAATGAAAATCTAATTATAAGTTGAAACAACATTAAAGAGCAAATAATGATATTTTATCCATTTAAATTATAATATATCATAAAATTCCTTTTCTTTAAACTAAATATATTCTAACGAATCAATAAGATTTCTTTTCTAACGACCAAGAATTGGTTAATATAATTAGTCTTAATTAATATAATTATTATATTTAGTAATAATAATAATAATAACTAATAATAATAAATATAATTTTATTTATTCATTAGTGTTATATTATGACAATTCTACAATTAGAAAAAAAAATTTGATTGATTATTTTGTGGAACATTATTTATTTGTTAAATTAAATAAAATATAAAATTCTTCATTTGAGCCCATTCCAAATGCTTATGAATCCTTATCTAGGACAATTAATTTTATTTGTTACTTTCCTGAATGTAGATTCATTAGAATGCAACCCTTATCCTATTTAACCTAATGAATTTTATTTTTCAAATTATTCTAAACATTTTATGGTTGAAAGTGACTCCAATGATCCTGATAGTATTGATGCTTTTGAATACCCTTTAATTAAATAATTAAAAAAGGTCTAATATGATCAAAATGCTGAAATTATTTACACAATCGTTATTGATTCATGGAGGAGGTAAGAATTATTATTAGAAAAGCAATTTTGCTCTCTTTTCAAATAAGAAGGCTATTATATATCCTGTATTGCTATTGAAGGGCTATTTTAAGATGAAGGAGAAAGCTAAACTCAAAATAATTCATAATTCTATTCATTTATTGAGCGCTTTAAAATGTCTATATTCACTTAATAAGATGAAAATTGTGAATTCTTATTTCAAAACAGCTCTTTAGGATTATCACTTTTTTGCACTTAACTAAATAGCCTTAATATATACTTTATAAATTAGACTGGCTTAACATTTACTAAGTAAGACTACAAGATTGAATTAGCTTATGATCATTGTAAAACAAAGTATTTATCTTACTTTCAAAATTAATTACTATTGATATTTTATGACTGCTTAACTTGGGCCATCTATATTTTAAAAAATAATCTCCTAAGTTTGATTTTTAATAGAGACATGGCGATTCAAAAGGATCCTTCATTTAATCTCAATGTGCTTGAAGATCTTTAAATTTGTTAGGATAATTTTATATTCATTGGAGATAATAAGTATTATTATTATTCTTATATATCAGAGAACAGATTAAATTATTAATTTGTTATGGAAGTCCCTTTTTTAAAATAGATAATATTCGATTCAGAATGTCAAATGAAATATTATATAGCAGGATCTGAATTAATTAATCAATTTTACATTAGGAGTTATTAGCTCACTTATGAATTAGAACGTATTTAAAAATATGTTTATTTGGTTTCAAATATGCTCTTTTTAATATCTGAAGATGAACTTAAGTAAGATTAAATGATAAATTCAAATAAAAAGTATAATTTAAACCATTTCCATTACATTTTTTAAAAATAAATAATATCTTTTATCAAATCGATTCAGAAAGTAAGTTCTTTAGATTTTTTAAATATAAAATATTAAATAATCCCATTATACAACCTAGGAAACAATTTTTACTAATATATCCTTATAGTTTTCATTTTATTAGACACTCTCCAGAATTTTGTGTTTAATTTTAAGTAAAGCCCTTAAATTACATAAATAATTACTTTTTCTCAATAAATTCTGAATGTGATAACATTTTCACAGTTTTAATAGAAAAAACATTTACACAAATACCATATAATTATAAAATTTAAGTAGTATAAGACCAGCTAAATATAATTAAATTTGTCACAGATTAATAAAAATTGGAACAGCTTTGTCCCATTCCAAAATAGTTGCTGAAAAATTCTATATTGTTATATTTTCACTCCTTTGGTAGAGCTTACTCAATATTTTAAACATCAAAGGTTTTGTATATTTTCTTTTGCGATAACTAATAATTAATTCAAATTAATATTTAAAATTAGATGGTACTAAATTATTACGATATTTTTATATTGATAAATTTGTAGACAAATTATTTTAGACTTTTAAAAATTTACCATGATGTGCAAATGCAAAATTAATATACATTGGACGGGATTATTTAAGATGTTTACCATTATTCCAATTATATATTACTAATTACAAAATCACAGAGTCTATTTTTGTTTGATTTAAACGCTGAACTATAAATATAATTACCATTGATATTAAATAATCTCTTTTTAAATATTTACTTATCAAATATCAATCATAAGGATAAGGCTTAAAGATTTTGCATCTATATCAATAAAAATTTGTATTTTATTTAGTACTATGAAAATTGCATTATTTTAGACAATAATTCGCTTTATTATTTCAAAGTAAAATAATTGTAAATTATATAAATCAGAAAAATGAATCATTAAAAAGATAGTTATCATATAGTTGCTGTAGATCTGACCTAGAATGCTCTCTAATAGTATTATTTTGATTTAATAGAATTAACCCTATTGGATAAATATGATTTTTAAAATTTCAAATTGATAAACCCACTCGCTTACTAGGAAGCCTATGAATTTATTACAATTACTTCCAGTATGAATAATAACACCTATTTGCATATTTTTTAAACTTTAGGAACTTATCCATTCAAATTGAAATAAACTATTTAAACTGGTTCACATCATACATTTGTGTCCTTCCAAAAATTATACTACTTTGATAAGAAAAATCAAATATAGGTATTAGATATAAAATATCTATTACTCAAATTTAAACCTCTACTTACCAAATGGGACAATCTTAACTTAGAACAAACCTTAATTTTTTATATCACTCCCGAATCTAATAATGATACTAATATTCAAATTTCTTTGAACCTTTCTATTTTTGTTAATTGCACAATATTGATTCCACTTATTCGCGAACTCCCCATTATTCTGGAAGAGGATAATCAAATAATGCTAAATTTAAGTGATCTTTATGAAGGACCTATTTATAACCTAAAAATATAAGACAATTCAAATGTACTTTTGGAAGGACCATTTTTATAGTCTCCTTGGTAAGATGAACTATCGAAATTCACATACACTATTAAGTAATTAAGTATTAAGGTTAGTTTAACTACGATATAATTATACTCTACCAATAGGTAGATCTTATAAATGTAAGTTTATGATGAATTCAATAAGTTTAATGAAATATGTGGGTTAATTTAATTGGCCTTTTATATCAGCAACAATTAAATCTTGTTAATTTACTTTCATGAAACTAAAACAATAGCTTCAATTTTTAGAATAAATTAAGATAATTTAACATTAATATAGGTCTCAGATGAATTTACTATTAAAAAACTTTATGAGGCAAAAGAAGTTAAATAAATTAAAAATCTATTTTTAGATAGATAAAATATATTATTTTATGTTCATAATGATACTATCTTAGACTTATAAAATAACAATCTTATAGGCAATTTAATATTCATTTAAAATTCTGATGAGTTGTATTTATAATTGACAAAATCAGTTTATCCTTTTCTTAGAATTCAAATATTTATAATCGAATAGATGGAATTAAAAATTTTTAATGAGTTAGCATTTAATTTGGACAAAATACAAAAAAATTTTACTAAATATATAAAGTAGAATAATAATTTTTATTCTTATAAATAAATTTATCCCATAAACGCAACAATCAATAAGTAAACTCTTGATATCTAATGCCTTATGATACTTTAAGATTTCTGTATTCTTCAATTTATTCAGGTTCATTTAGTTAGTGGCGATTTTAATTTGAAGTTTTATAAACTATTAAGAATCTCTTATGACTTTGACTCTACATTACATTACATCGATGAAAACTTTATAATTATAAAGTAGAAGAATAGTTGTTTTGTTTATGACTTTAGAGTTTAAAAATAAATTTATGATTACACATTTATCTTTGAATGCAACCAGAACACAATATGGTAATATAATACTACGCATTATTTTATTTATTCTTAGATGAATAAGAACTTGACACTTGGGCAAATAGCTTATAGAATAAGCATTTTGGATGATAAAAAATAAAGTGAGACTTGCACTTTAATAGCAGAGAACAAAATATCTAAAGCAGAAATAACCTTAAAGATTAATAAGATTTCAAATAAAATTTCAATAGAAAAATTCCCTTATTTTGGATTAGTTTTTTTCATTTTAACAGTAATAATTTTGGTTATCTATTCTATTCGGAGATGTGTATTAAAATAATAATTAACATAACACAGGAGAGTATACTTATTTTTTGGTTAATGATTTATTTGAATATTATTAATATTATTATATATAATTTACCCTATATAAATTTATTTAGAAATCAATATATAACTCAACTTTAAAAATTGATTATATTTACTTGTTATTAATAATAGTGAAGTTTCCATTCTATTTTTCATTGATGATTTCTCTAATATTAAGTTTAAGTAGATGAAAAAAGAAATGAATTGAAGAACAATATTTATATCCCTTAATGATTATATCAGAAGCTATTTCATTTTAATATCTTCTCAGACTTGAAAATCTTAAGTGATAAATTTCTCCTTAAGTAATCTATTTTTTGGAATAGTTGATATTAAAAACAAATTAAATTTGAATTACAAAAAATGATGGGTGTTAATTTTAATTAATTTAATTCTAAAGGGAAAACTAATATCTTGAAATATTATCTAGTTAAGACTGATGATGAATTTTTAATTTAAATTTTGAATCCAAAACTAAGGTAATTATGTGTATTAAGACAATTAAGATTGGTTTGATGATGAAAATTTATATTTTTAAAAATTTATTGTTGCGAATAAAAAATTTGTATTTAATTTATTATTTATTCAAATATGTAAAGTGAGAGAATAAAATCAAAAAAGAGAGTTAAGCATTACGAATTTCTATACGACTCTAAAATTGGTTCAGGTGCCTATGCTAATGTGTATATGGGGAGGGATATTTATAATGATTAAAGTAGTTAAATATGATAAAATAGCTGTGGCAATTAAAATTATTAGTAATAATTTAATTAAGAGTGATTACACATCTCAATAAATAAAGAGGGAAGTTGAGATAATGAAATCATTTAATCATTAGAATATTGTGAAATTGTTGGATGTATTTCATAGCACAAACAATATATATATAGTGACAGAATATTGTAATGGGGGAGACTTGAAAGCATACTTGGGATCAAGAACATTAAGTGAAGAGAGAGCCCTCTAAATATTTAAATAAATCTTGAATGGTTTGTAAGAATTATTAAGGAATGGAATAGTGCACCGAGATCTAAAGCCTGCAAATATTCTACTGCAGGATGGTATTTTCAAAATCACTGATTTTGGGTTTGCAAAACGAGTGCAAATGGACTCAACAATGTCATCACTTGTTGGAACCCCTTTGTATATGGCCCCTTAAATCTTAAAGCGATAGCCATATACAAGTAAATCAGATATTTGGTCACTTGGGTTGATTTTGTATGAAATGATTTACAAAATAACTCCTTGGCATTCAACTAATGTGGTGGAATTATTGAACAGATTAGACAAAGAACCATTGAAGTTTTCTTTTTAACCATAAATTGAATTACAAACAAGATAAATAATCATGGGCTGTTTAGGTAAGGAAGAGAAGGATAGATGGGGATGGGATCAATTGATGAAAGCAGTTTAGGGGAATGAAAGACAATAGATGATGAACATATATCTAACTAAAGAATTGTATTATGTCACAAAGAAATAATAAATGCATAAGCAACAATCTTAATAGAACCTATAGGAATATTGTAGAACCAGTAGCACTTAATCATCCCCTATAAGATCAATCAGTACAAAGAGGACCAAAACAATTGCCAATGAGAACAACAGCAGTGTGTTGTTATCTGAATTAATAAAGAAAAAGCAATAAATTTATAAGATTTTTGAGTTGCTTGAGAAGTAGCTAGAGAAATTACCAATAATCAAATTGGATCAATGCAGATAGTATCTCTAGGAACAGAGATCAAGATTGGTGTGTGCAAATATTGAATAGATTTACAATAAAGAAGATGAAAGGGAATTAATTTAGCAATAAAAGATTCTGCAATAATATTCTGCCAATTTCGGTGTTTAAATCATGATACTTCTCTTAAAGTGTTATCGTAAGATCATTATAAATAATTATCAAACAGGCACTTTGATTTTGGATTTTGCTGATAGATAAACAATTGAGAATTGCTCTGTTTTAGTTTCAAATCAATACAAGTGATTATAGTATATTTATATATCATTTTAATTTTAATGTCAACATCAAGATTAGCAATTAGATTATATACTTATAGAGGTTATTCAGCTCCCTGGAGAGTTAGCATTATGCTTAAATTGAAGTAACTTCAATTCCAACCATTTTTTATAAACTTACCCAAAGCTGAGTAATTATCAAATATGTACTCTTAAATCAACCCACTCTAAGTATTTGAAATATTACATATTAAAAGATTGTCCCTACTCTAGAAATTAATGGACAATTACTACATGAGAGTATGGCAATTGCAGAGTACCTAGAGGAAGAATTTCCAAGAAACAAACTACTTCCAAAATCTCCTCTAGAAAAAGCTATAGTTAGGTAATTCCAAGTATATCCTAAGATCTATGTGCGAAACAGTGAATAGTGGCATTCATCCATATCATGCATCTAGATTCTACAAGTATGTTCACAATTATGTGGCAGATATAAATAGATAAGAAATTTCAGAACCTTTCTTGGAGAGAGGTTTCACAGGTTTATTGAATATAATACATGATAGCATTAAACACTTTAGTGGAAAAACATGGAGGAGATTATGCCTTCGGAAACTAAGTGACAATTGCAGATGCATTTTTGTACCCAGCATTTAGAGGAGATGATGTATCATATTTGGTCAATTTGGATAAATATCCAGCCCTTAAAAAAGTTGTTGAGAATTTGGATCAACTGTCGGAATTTGCTTATGAACATCCAGATTCTCAAGGATGATATTATTAATATGAATAATTATTTATTACGATAGTAAGATATTTTTGAACTAATTAATTAAGATTAGTAGTCACAGTTTATCAAAGCTGTGTAAGCATTTCTGTTGATGTGTGTTCACTAAACCACATATTTGATATATTGTCATAGTTTAATTATACAAATTTTAAATAATATTGATTAAGTATTATATATCCAGATTTTTTTTTATGGAGATTTATTAATATCTATTAAATAATGCAGAGCTAGCTATACTGATAAATCATCTCTGGTGTTCGGCAGGACTATCAGAATACACTTAAACTTAAATTGAGTAATTTATGAATCAGATAATATCAGTATCTTTTTGTATTTAATAATCACAATTCTATGATAAAATAAGTTATTATAATATTTATGTAATACAATCGTTTAGGAAACACAGGTTTATTAGTTTCTTAATTGGGATTTGGAAACATGGTCAACTTCTAACCTGAAGACGAAGAGATCAATGTAGCCATTATCAAGAGAGCATATGAGGCTGGAATCAATTTCTTTGATACTGCAGAATTGTTCTAAATTCCTATCTATTATTAGTTATCAACATGGAGAGGCTGAAAAGCAACTTGGTCGATCCATTAAAATACTTAATATTCCAAGAGAGAAATTAGTAATTACTACAAAAGTGTTTGGTAACTAAGCTCCTGGAGGTATCGATTATTTATAAGATTTAGGATTAAATGTGAATAGGATGTGTACATTAAGTAGAAAGCACATCATTGAAGCAGTTCATACTAGTCTCAAGAATCTTCAATTGGATTACGTAGATATAGTTTATGCTCATCAATTCGATTCTGAAACACCCATAGAGGAGATCGTCAGAGGATTCAATACAGTAATCGAGGATGGCAAAGCCTTCTATTGGGCTACCAGTAACTGGAATGCTGCTTAGATCCAAGAGGCAATCAATTATGCAGATTTACATGGATTGATTCGTCCAATAGCCGATCAAGGGGAATATCATATGTTGGAGAGAAAGAGATTTGAGTAAGAGTTCGTAGCATTGTATGAAAAACACAATTATGGAACGACTATCTATAGTCCTTTGTGTGGAGGATTCTTGACTGGAAAGTATTTAGAGGGTGTTCCTGAAAATAGTAGATGTGGAAAAGATAATGGATGGTTGACTAAGGATAGAGCTGCAAATAGATTCTTATTGAAATATAGTATTAATAATTGATAGAGTAATAGCAAGTAATCCAAGATATGTCGAAGGATTGAAATAGTTTGTAGCTTTGGCAAAGGAATTGTCAGTCACTCCAGCTTAATTGGCATTGGCATGGACTATGAGAAATAAGGATATTGATGTTGCCATTACAGGAGCAAGGACAGTAGCACAATTGGAAGAATCTTTGGGAAGCATTGAATTATTGAAGAAATTTGATAAAGATTTGGATGAGAAATTGGATAAGGTGTTTGAGAATGCACCAAAATAAGAGTTGGAATTTAGAACAATGAAACCATTTCCAAATAGAAGATGATGAATTTATTTATTATAGTCTATTCCAATTAGGTTTTATAAGTTTACCATATTAAAATAATATAAAAAGATTACACTCTTAAAATTATAAGATAGTGCAATAATTCTATTGTTGTCAAAATATTAATGCTTTTAAAAACAATTAATAATATTTCTGCATAGATCAAAGAATACACTGGTAATATTATCTCAATTATTCAACGATTAATTATTCCTAATAACAATGTCTGATTTATTGATTCTGATATAATCCTCTATTTATGATTTAATTCTTTTTTAAATTTACTCTTCAGTAATACGACTTCTTTTGTTGATTTACCATTACAATGTAGATTTACCTTTTAATAATTTCTTCCGGATTAGTCACAGTAACAGTAATGATGAGGAAAAAGAAATACTCTAAAGCTTTAATCTCGAATAAGAGTGGAGCATAAACAATAACAAATTGATCCTCTTGGAAAAAGCAGATTTTCAATATGAATTTAGTGATTTCTTTAAGAATGAATTTATTTGTAATAGTTTGTAATTATTTCCTTAATTGGCCATCTTAAAATTCTGAAAATTCTAATCAATACTCTTTACCAACTTCTGCTAGTTTCTATGCATCAATAGGCTATCCTTCATGTCAACCTACTAGAATGGAGAGTCCAAATCTCTGAACGATGAGTTTATAAGCAGGTTTGCCAGGTTGGACATTGTCTCTGGCAATTTGATCGCAATCTATTACTTTTACACCAAGGAATTCATTGATGTATTTGCCACAACAAATTCCACCTGTGACGCCTATAATTTGCACTCTTCCGATGTAATGCTGAATGCCAAATATTATGATTAGGGCTATGATGAATCTCACTATATTGCCAAAGAAACCAAGCTTGTTGAGGTTGATTAGTATGCATACGAGACGTCAAGGCTAGATAGAAGGGTAACATATATATTCTAGGATATGTATTTCTGCGTGTTCAGAATGATTAGTCTCTTCAATAATTACTTATAATTCACTAATTAATTATTCCATCAAGGTATTCGTTTTTTGTTTATTAATATATTATGAAATCAGCATTGCTTCTTTTAGTCATTGCTCTGGCAACAGCTTCAACAGTTGGTGACCTCACATAGAGATTGTCAAACTATGCCGAACATCCTTTTGGATCATCCATGATTAACTTGGTCAGTGTTAACATGAAAACTGGTGGATCCCTCAACGAGCTTAAACAACTTCTCCAACAAATCAAGGATGAATTGATTGCACTCACACAATTGCAAGATTCAGAAAATGCCACTTTCACTAGAAGATCTCAAGTTGACCTCGCCAAACTTCAAGCCACATTAGAATAAGCCTAATAAGATCTTGATAATCAGAGATAAGAACAATCCAGTCTTAGTAATGAATTGGCTACACTCTAAACCAGAGTTAAAGAAGATTAAGCAGCTCTTGACAGAAATGGCAGAGGCAGCTCTGATGCTCAATCTAGACTTGATGCTGAAAATGCAGATTTTGCTACCAAATTCTCTGATTACAATGATGCCATCTTAGCATGCAAAGAAGCCTAAAGATTATTGCTTAATTTGAGAGGAGAAGGAGCATCACTTATCCAATTGACGTATTCCTTATCATCTCTATTCATCTAGCTAAGACACCAAAACCAATCTTATTCAAACTAAGGAGAACTTCTAAAAGATCAAGGAGATTCTTGAAGCTCACACCAAGAAGAGTTCACTCACTCTCTTCCAACCAATCATTGAAGGTTTGGCTGAAATGACCACCAAAGTCAACCCAGAAACTTTGAATAATGTCTTGAGCTTAGTTGCCAGATTGATTACTGCCTTACAAGAAGGACAAGATTAATTGGAAGCTAATCACAAGACTCAAGTAGACAATCTCAGTAGATTGGGAGATGATTTGAGAAATGAAAAGCAAACCCTCTAAGTCTCTTTGGCCACTGCCAACAATAGACTCAAAGAAATCCAATCAAGATTGAACGAATTAGACGGTTTAATCAATATTTCCAATGCTATTGTTGAAGTCACCCAATTGAACATCTAGGATGCCACCAGAATCAACGAATTAGAGGATTAAGAATACAGCAACCAAAAAGTTAGCAGGTATTATATCTTTTTCTATTTTAGATAAACTGAAATCGATATCGTAGATAGATTAATTGAATATATCAACCAAAAACTATCAGAATGATTTATACATCAAATGCATATATTCAATTTTTATTAATATTCAATAACATCTTAATATATACACACATACAATCTGAACTGTTTTGATTATTACAAAAATGTCTTCTAGATGGCTACTTGCTAGTGAAATTCTTAATTTTAAGATACAAAAAATCTCAAAATTTAAATATTTTCAATTTGTTAGAGATTACGTTGGGAGTAACAAATTAAATATACTTAAGAAATTAGATATGTTGATGTAAATATAGGAAATTACTTAATGAGTTGTTATTTGTTATATATAATTGATGTCTGTAATGAAATGTGTAATTTATTATTTATAGTGAAATTTAAACAACCTTGTCAGATAAGATGAGTATAGTTAATGCTTCTGAAAATTTCATCAACATAAATTCACCTGACAATTCCAGAGCCATTTTGGTGAGGAAACGACGCAAGATTGATACGGGTTGGAAGAGCAATTTCATGTTGTAAACCATACGAAATAAGGCGGAGAAAAGAGAAGTATTAGTGAAATGTATAAACAGAATGAGATAATCAACTTAAGTAAAAATTGGATTGTAAGCTTAGGTGAAACAATTTCATTCGTTGACCGAGAAGCAATTAAATGTGATCGACGATTTCGGATCTGGACATTCAAAGGGGACTACTACTAAACAAATTAAAAAGCAAGAAACTCAATTTGAATCCATTTATTATGAATCGAAGTTATAAATGGGTAAACTCAGGGGATTGGTCCTTAGATATTTAGAGAAGCACAGCAAAAACCAGGAATGGTCAATTAAACCAAGTCACCCTTTCATTATTATTTGGAACATGTTCAAGCTATTTTTTATGGTCCACATTTTCATTCTATTTCCATTAATTGATGCCTTCGGAGTGAAATTGAATTAAGTAATAGTTAGATAAGAATAAATATTTTTGATGGAATGGATATTTCTAGTACGTATATATCATGATACCTTAGTTATTTGACATTGTCTTAAGATTTAATGTGCAGATATATAAGAGTGGCCAATTGATAAAGTAACACTAATATTTGGCATTACAATATTTGAAAAGTGGGTTCTTTTTGGATGCCCTGGGCATTGTTGGATTCTCCTTGTTTCTCTTTTAAGACATACTATACATCAAATACATCTACTTTTTCAAGATATCCGAAATCAAAAAGTTCATCAAGTTCCTGAGATACGAGTTGGATCCCCAAAATAAATACAACAATCACATCAAACTGATAACTCTCTTTGTGACCATATTTCTATTAGCACATATCATAGTAAGCTAACATCTAAATAAAAGGCATGTCTATGGATAGTTGCTGGTCACACTGAACCCAGTTGGCTGAGTAATCATGGCTTACAAGACGACCAGTGGTATATCCAATATCTGTGGGCATTTTATTTTGCCATCCTTACAATGACTACAGTAGGTTATGGAGATATAGTTCCAGTCAATGAGATTGAATTGGTAGCTTGCATTATGATTGGTGCTTCTTTCCAGTGCAATATTTGCTTATACTCTAAACACCATCACGACTGTTCTCAAAGACATCGATCAGAATAAGAGTTAGTTTAATCAGGAGGCCAGAATCATATAAAATTACTTAGTAAAGAAAGGTTGTGATACTGATCTGTAGAGGAGAGTGTAATAATATTTGAAATCTCTATTGAAATGGGGTTTGGGAGAAATAGAAGTAGAATGAAGATAGGATATTCTCCAAATTAAGTAGGCCTCTGTAATAAGAAATCAACTTATAGGATAAGGGTCAGATGTTACTTAAATTACCATTCTTAGTTAACAATTTTAATATCGAGTGTATTAAGGAGTTGATGTAACACATTCAGGAAGTGTATTATCAGCCTGGAGAATTTATTAATCCCTAAGATGGAGTTTACCTATTGTATAAAGGATAAGCAGAAGTCTGTTGGGAGTTCGTAGATCAATCCTAAATACATCTGCGATATATTTTAAGGTGACCACTATGGATTACTAAATCTATTCAATGTTGATCAATCCAAATACTTTCTAAAGAGCTCAGGGTTCTCAATTTTCTATTTCATACCAACTTAGATATTTCAATAAGTATTGAAGAATAATGATAAGGAAGTCTTCTGCATGATTAACGATTAAGTTATCTTTGAAAACTATTCAAATCTCTTTCTATTTTTGTCCACTTTGCAGACGAGAAGGTCATCTCATTTGTCAAGATATCACCTACAAACCTCATAGAGCCATCGCTATTGCCAAGTCTAATAAGCAATCTGTTTAGGAAAGATAGCAATACAAACGCTTCTGTGTTAAGCAGTAGATCTTGAGAAACTACAAGGAGATGCATGTCGAAACCTGCCAATTCATAAACGATAAAAAGGAGATCATGAAAATTAAATATAAATCTATCTTCGATTCTGATGATGCAGATGAAGAACCTGAAAGCATTGAATTGTAATCCTCTCAATCTTGGTAATTTGATGAAGCCTAAATGGATGAACAAAAGGTTCCTATTTATGTTGATGAAAATCAATTCAAACCCAAAATCCCTTAATAAAAAAGATTAACTCTTAACAAACGGCAGACCATTGTTGGGTTTCAAAAAAAGAAAACCTAAGACATTATGTAAATCAACTTATCGAACCTTTAAGAAGCGGAGACATTCCCAAACCATCATAATCACATTCCTGATAACAGCTCTCAGAAATCGAAAGATACATTCGATAATATTGACGTTATGAAATCTTTTAACAAATACTTCAAAAAATACAATTATCAAAATATTATCAAACAACTAAATTAGAGAAGGAAAACCATTAAGAAAAAGATTAAAAGATTAGAAAGGATCTATTGAATTCATGGTTATTATATTAATTAATTAGAAATATATGATTGCACATATTTTATAAAAAATGAAAGATTATTTTTTATATGAATTCAATTTCGTCTTCATTTTAAATAGTTTCTGTATTTTATTATATTCCAATAAAATTGGCATTAAATAGAAAAGAGTTCCTAAATTACTCAATTCTCAAACAAACTCTTCTACTTTAAAATGTAATAAATGTATTATTCTATCCATCAATAGAAAATCTTTCTATCCTTTAGAAATGATATTGGATCCTGTAGATTTAAATTTTGAATAATAATTATATAATATATGTTTAATGTATGCATAATTATCATGCTAAGAGTCCTTTTCCTTCAGAATGCAACCAAGTGGGGAATGATGGTTTAACCTTCTTGACCTATGGTTGCTGATTTCTTTTCAACCATATTGTGTAAGTTCAGATTTGAGTTGAGAAATCAAGGATGAATCGAATTTACTCAAGTCTCTATTGTTATTAATAGGCTTCAAGAGCATAGAATCGTTGGAAATCAAATTTTTCACTAAATATTGAAACCGAATCATTACCCTTCCTTAACGATGGATCCAGGATAGAGGTCAATGAATCTGTTAACATTGACTTTCAAATTGTCTTCTGCCTTCTTCAGTAGCTAAAGGGATTGGAAAGATTGCATACTTAATTGAGCTTTGAATGGTTTTGGAATGTTGGCCAATTCTTCCTTGGAGTATTCAAGACCCTTGTACATGACTTCGTTGTAAAAGTATCTGTCCCAAGAGTCGACTCTGAGGAGACCGAAAAAGAGGAACCACTCAAGAGGCAATAGTTTCTAAAGGATGGTTCCTCTTGCAGTAGGTGTCATATCGCTCATGTAGTTTTGATAGACATAATTGTCCCATTCATATATGTTTTAAACGCTATCAGCCAATGTTCGCTCTCTTGCTTCTGCTTATAACCACTCTGGGGCTGTGGATCCTCTGACACCTCTTTCGACTTTTGAGAATCTTGCTCTTCTTTTATTGAAGAGAATCCAAGTGTAGGGATGGAATCCTTCTCTTTGGATATGTTCGAAGAGGGGATCTCTTCTTAATTCTCTATCTTAAAATAGGACTAAATCTTCTAATGCCAATCCTCGATCCAAGCCAATGTTTCTCATCCATCGGTAGAGGAATCTTGTGTGATGAAGTGATCGTTGAGTACCTTGCAAATAAGGGTTCAACCATCTTGTAGATGAGACCAGTCCATCCTTAGGTGAATAATTTCATTGCTGATAGGGTCATGGCAGGTGTTCGTGGTTCTGAGTACCATTTCCTGGGAGACCCAATTATTCTTTGTCTATTGAGGGCACGTATGTTGACTAATTGTTCATAGACGAGTTTCTCTAGTCGAACCATGGATGTAAATTAAATCTTTTTTTATTTATATTTACTAATAAATGGACTAAGAAGCATTAATGCAAATGCTCCAAACGTTGATGAAGGATCAAGGGGAAATTAAAATTGGGAATTTTGTTATTTAACAATAAGAACCAAAAAGAAATAACACCACTTTGATTCCACATAACAAGGCCGATGTTCCGCAATTCAGCAAAAGCTAATAAGATATAGATTACATAATAACTAAACCGAATGAGTTTGTCAATGATCTGTTCTTCGATGAACCACTGCCGGATTTGGATTAATTCATCGAACAGGAGGTTGTGTCCAATTTTACAATCGATTCATAAACAAAGCCCAACAATGTTTAAAAATAGTTGTTCTCTAAAACCTATTAGATGATAGACAAATTCAGTCCAAACCTCAAGGAAGAATTCGAAAGTGCATTGGAGTATGATTTTGAATAATTGCTCAAACCCAAAACCTCCGAATGTTCCTCTGACACTATGACTACCATTACAGATACTACCTCCAGTGACCCTTTAAGGACCTTCCTCATGTCTTTGATTCCAATAAAATCTTCCCTCTCTCCCACAAAATAAACTTAGATCGATTTCTTATTTTTGTACTCCCAACCTCTGCTCCAAATCACCAACAATTCGACCAAGAAAGCTGTGCAGAAATTGGAGATAAACAAGGAGTTGAATTCAATCAAAGAAGTATTTATAGATGTCAAAGCAGAAATCAAATTTATGTCAACTCCAGCGAGAATGGATAGATTTGGAGAAGCCCTGGATTTGAATCCTAAAGCCTTGCATTACGCAGGTCATGGAATCTACATGGAATCAAATCAACAATCATACCTCCTCTTTGAGTAATTACATGGAGTAGCCTAATTAGTTTCAGCAAATCAAATTCTCTTATGCCTCCAAAAACTCAAATCTCCAATCCTATTTGTATTTGTAGCCAGTTGTCATTCCAAACTCATAGGCGAAGTCTTTCATCAAGCTGGAGCTGAACATGTGATCTGTGTCCACTCCAAAGAACAGATAATGGATGAAGCCTGTTGTGTCTTCGGCCAGATCCTTCTATCACGGCTTAATCAAAGGACAATAGACCGTCTGTTAAGCCTTTCTAACTGCCAAAAACTAAGTCAAAGTTGAAGGGAGATTCCCATATGCCGAAGAAAACAAATTCCTTCTGCTTACTAAGACAACTCATCAATGCTCCACTTGGCTATTGCGAGAAGGGGAGTTTAAAGATCTCACTCCTCAACAGAACTAAAACAATCTGCCTTCTCTTGTCCCCAATTTCACTGGCAGAACTCAATAGATGTAAGAAGTCATGGACAAAATCATTTAAAATTAACTTATCAATATCAAAGGAGTGTTGGGAGTAGGCAAAAGTGCTTTGATAAAGGAAATCAGTATTTACATAGCTTAAAGAAACATTTTCAAAAATGGAGTTGTCTACTTATAACTCAATTAATGTGATAGTTTTGATAGTGTAACTAGTAGATTTGCTCAAATCTTTATGCCCAATCTAACATTGCAAAGTAATTATGAAATCAAATAATTGATGGTCACTCAAATCATATAAACTATTAAAAATCAAGAATTCCTCCTCATTCTGGATAATTGTGATTTGATTATGCATTCCAATGACCGCGATGTCTTTGTTGACTTTCTTGAATTACTCCTAGCCAATTGTAAATGTCATCTATGTATCACAAATAGAAGTGAAATCCTTCAATAAGGAAGAGTAATCAAAATTGAAGGTTTACCCCAAGAAGAAAGTGCTCAACTATTCATTAATTCATCTTCAAGAGAAATTACCATTCAAGAAGTTGAGGAATTATTAGGTTGTAATGATCTTCTGAATAGATATACTTGGAATGATAAATTATTGATCTAGAAATTCTCCAATCATGCCCTATTCCAAATTCTGGATGGACATCCTTAAGGTATCATACTATCATCAGGTCTACTCGAGAATTACACTCTAAAAGAATTATACTAACAATTATCCTACAAATAATTGATGGATTTGCCTATTTCAAGTAGGGTAACTGAAGAGGAAAGGAGATCACTTAGAGTGTCATTGAATTTAAGTTGGGGGAACTTAGTGGAAAGATATGAAAAGGCTGCCATCTTTTTTGGGATGTTAGGATTACTGCCATGTGGTATTTACAATGATGAATTAAATGATGTTTGGGGGCCAGGATGGGAAAAATTGGCAACTCAATTGATTAAGAGTTCCTTATTGTTGTCTACTAAGAAAAATACAAAAACACATTATTGCTTATACAATTTTACTGTTAAGTTTGCAGAAAGTAAATTGGATTCTAAATAGAAAAGATTGTATCATCATAATATTGTTAAATTATTACTAAAAAAGTCATTGACATATTACACTCAAATAGGTACTTAAGCACATGATATTAATAATCAACCAAATGATGATTTCTTGGCAATTGAATAAAATATCAAGAGTGCTATTTTTAGAGAATTTGAAATCATATCAAATGGTTAATTCGAAATTGAACCCTAAAAACAAGAAAATAAGGATTAGGAAAATGATGATGAAACATTCAATCTGCCTTTGACCAAAGAAAACTTAGAGATGATGCAAAAGAAATATGAAAACAATAGTTAAAAATCTCATCTAAGTTCCAAAGTAGGTTTCACTGGTTCTGTTATATCCAGCTTTAAATATGATTAAATCTCTGATGATTATATGACTAATGCTCCAAAACGAAAATCTTTTTCTATCGCTAAGGTTGGGGTCACAATTAGTGAGGAGGATGAATTATAATCGAATAAAGATTATTCAGATAATGGTATGAGTATTAATTATGTGGAATCAAAACTTTTTAAGATCAACTCCAACAATGTCAAGCATGAACTCATTGATGATTCTAGCAATCCCTAGGAATGCCAAACCTAATCATAATTTTAATAGTCATCAATTCCTCAAGCTATTCAGAGTGATTAAACCCAGGTACAAAAGATTGTCGATCCAAAATTTATTAAATCCTCTCCTAATCCTAATCCATTAACTCAAAGAGTTACTTTTCTTGATTAACAAATTAAGCCTCTTGCCCAGGATATGAAAAAATAGAAACTTGAGGAGGATGAAAAGCAACATCAACCTCTATCTAAGCGATAAGCAATTTCTAAGAAGGGAGATAGAGCGAAATCTGGTAAGGCCAAAGAAGAACCGACTTTATCTGCCTAATAACCAAATAAAAAGGATAAAATATAAAAACTGATCCTGTATTATTGTTAAATTTTGTTGCTTCAAAGAAGGTACAACGAATGTCTAAAATTTATTAACTGGTCTTATTAATACTTTTATGGAGATTTATTATTCACTGCTAATATAATCAAAACAAAGGCATGTGTATATTATATGCTTAAGGAACCCAAAAAATCGTAATAAGCATTCAAGTAAGCAAAGGAGATGTTCATTAAAAAGGGTTGTACTCTAGGTGTTGCATGTTGTGAAGCTGCTAGTGGTTACATTTCCTTATAAGAACGAAGTTTGCTTTAAGCCAAAGTTAATTTTGAAAATGCACTTTAATTTTATGAGTAATTGAATCATGATTTTGGAAAACACTTCTTAAATAGATGGCTGCTCTTAGTTAAAAATAAAATTTCAAGTCTCAAGAATGATAGAGCCAAACATATTCAATAAGAAAAGATGTTGATTGAAAATCTTAAACAAGAATTCAAAAAGGGAATTAAAGTAGACAATCTCATTTAAAAAAAACACAAGGGAGGAGTCTTCATTTTAAGATGGCTAGGCGATACGTTATCTATTTTCATTGAAATTGCTACAGTTGAAGATTCTAAATAGAAGGATATTATGAGCATTTTGAGAGTTGTTGAATAGAATCCAATTACAAACTATAAAAGAAATTCAAAAAAATCAGATGAAATAGAAATCAGACCCACAACTGTGAGTAATGCTAAACCAACTAGTTCAAGCAGCAGCACTGCAACTCTGAAAAGGTTTAATAAAGTATAGAAACCACCTCCTAATAGCAAATATTTAAATGAAATAGCAGAAAATGTATAACAAGAAGAAGATCCTACAAATACATCCTTATAACAATTATAGAAATAATAATAACAATAGTAGTAACCTTAAAAACCGTTTATAAAAAAGAATGCTCAATTATAAATGATGCCTTGCCAAAAAAAAACTACCAAAAATTAATGATCAATTTAAAAAAAACTCAATTATTAGATATATGCATCATGCCCTATTTAATTAATTCTCTCTCTGCTTTCACATATCCAAACAATGCCGATAATACTTATAAGGGTTCTACAGAAAATCTTATAACTATAAAATATCACTTAATACCTCTGTAAATACTTTTTATATTCTATTTCCTTAACGACTCTCTACAATTCCAAATCTTCGAATTTCTTAAACAAACCCTCTTTGATTTCAATGTCTTTTTAGATTTATTAGTATTCTCTTATTAATTTTTCTTTGTCTTCTGAAATAAAAGATTACTCTAGGATGACACTGGCTTCAGTTTTGAACATTTTTTATATTTTCTTCTGTGCTTCAGTATATATTATATCATTCAAAGTTTATTTACTTTAGAAAATCTACGTAAGAGTTCCTTGTATGCTCTGTTTTTCATCTCTATTCAATCCTTTAAGTAATAGATTGATTTCTCCACTTGATTTCATTCTCCTATCTCTTAAAGTCTTTCTCTTAATGTCTTCTGAATCAATTTACGAAAAATGATTTTTAGATAAAATGGATAATATCGAATTGTTTAAATTATCTTATGAGGTTTCTAACCTTCCATGATAACTTCCAAAAAGTTGATGAGCTCTTATAAACAACTCATTCAATTCAATCATTTTTTTGGCTTTCTAAATTAAAAATTCTCTTCCTTTAGAATCTAAATAAGAAGGGAAATTATCATCAGATAATTTTTCATTTGTATCCCAAACAGCCTTTACAATCCAGCATAAACCTTATTTTCTACAATCGAGACCAATTTTAAGTAATTCCAATAGAAATCCTTGAATAGATTTTAATAATTCTTTATTATTTTTGTTTAATTTAGAATTTTCAGTCTCTAATTTTTCAATCTATTTGAAATTGAGCTTAATTTGCAATTTGTATTTTTTGTAACTATCTTTCATAGTTTCTAATTGAGTTTCTATTTCATTCTGTTTTCCAACTGTGGCCATGTAAAAATCAACATTAGAAGACTTCTAAGACTTTTACACTTATGAGTTATTGTTGCTACCAACCTTGCCAAGTTCTTCTTTCAATTATTTTTATAAATCCTCAATGGATCTTAGTCTATTGTATATTTCATGATTCTCCATCCTTAAAGTCTCAAGATCACGATCATTTTTATTGACTATTTTTTTTTGTTTCTCCAATTTGGCATTGATCTATTGTAAAATTGAATTGGTCTATTTTTCATAAAACACAGCTCTCTCATTTGCATTTAAGAAATTAGTCAATTGCATCTTGATCCTTGTATGCAAACTATTCTTCAAACCCTCAACAGTGTAATCAAAGATCAAAGTGTCAGTTTGCTTTTCTTCATGCGATTATTTTTGCCTTGCCTATTCTATATTAATTAGTTCTTATGAAGTGAGGGTAGATCCTTATTAAAGATACTTATCCAATTATTTGACTAGACCCATGTCTTGATGCAACAATTCTGCCTTCTTTAAATTAGATAACTTGGCCAATGATCCTTTGACTTTAGCTTAGAATAGATTTTGATTTTCAGTTTATGGAGATTTATCATCGGAGGATTGAGATTGCATCAATTTGGGGAATGCTGGCAGGATAGTGGTGCCAGTCCTTTTATCTACAGCTCCTCTTCTAAATGAGGAGATCGATACTGTCTTTTAGAGCTGGGCTATTACCTACTCTATATTAAAACGAATCGTAAATACTTTCTTTCTCTATCTCCAATTATTTCTTCTCGAACTCTTACTACTTCTTGACCTTCACTTGCTTCCACCATTAATCGAGATTGGCCACCATCAAGTCATCACTTTCAGGCTTATACTATCTATTTCCCTTAAATTGTTCTTCCTTATGAAGCACAGGTTTCACTTACTAAGTGTTCTCGTCTTCATCTAATTTTTCATAACTAAAATCAATATGGAGGTTACATTTCTTAAAGTAGCAATTTACCACCAGGTTCATTCACTAACTTACTCCGCAAATTCGACTCCAAATCTGAGCGTTTTACTTTTTTATGTAGCTTAATGGGTTTCTTTGTGAGATCCTTTGGATTAGTGGTTACAATTTCATTCTAAATATAAATCTGCAATACCATATCTGGTTGTATAATATCATAGAATTAGATGGAATTCATCTCATCATTCAAGATTTTTTTTTTCATGTCATTCAACACTAACTACTCAATTTAATAATGATTTTGAGGTCGCACTTTATACTACAGAATCTCTGGAGCTGACTAAGAATTTTGCTTTTTAGACATTAAATATATTTATAATATTTCATTAATTTAATTTGAGCAAAACCCAATTCTTTTATCTGTCCTCTACTCTTTTCAGTATCAAAACCAAATATTTTGTAGGCAACATCAATCTCTTACGTTCCCCCTTACTTTGCAATTTGCTGAACCCCCATCTCCAATGTATTTTCTTAAAAACCTTCTCCAAATCCTAAAACCCATATGAAAAAGATCTAAATTTCCTCCTCTACCTCAATGAGTGCAATTATAATATTTTAATGCTTTATTTCTATAGCTTATTTTGAAATTATTACAATAACTCAAATATAATCGGAGATCTTTCTGTCACTGATTGAATTTGCTTAAATGAAAATTGAATTTACTTTTTGAATACGTTCTATAAACACCTTTGCAAATGCAAATCTTTATAGATCCTATTCAAACATTGTCCATATTCAAATAATTTAATATTTCCGAACCTTATCAATCGGCTTAACCCCTCCTTTCTTCTAATTTAACACTTCATTCTATCGAAGTATTGCCCTAATTTATTGTTGTAAATCCTCTTTATCTTAGAACCAAAGTGATCAAAAAATATCAATAGTTAGGTTTGTTGAGACCAATACTTCATGTACACTTGCATCAATAGTTCCTCCTATTTCCTCTTATTTATGAGTATCTTTCTCAACTGCTCTCTCTTTGCATATTGCAATCTCTAATTCACTTATGTTAAATTCCTTTGAAGTATAAAATATTTGATTTCCTAAAATGAAATAATCAACTTCTTCGTCCTAATGTTTTAAAGCACTATAAACAAAAGAATTGGAGCATTAATCTGTTACATACTCTCAAAATCAATGATACTCTCCTGTTTGATACTTAAGTTAGCAAAAGAAATCTTGAAACCTTCTCCCACATCTGAGTTCTCACTGACTCCCAAAGAACACACTTCGTCGAACATATTTCTCTCAAAAACCATCGATTCTTTAATCCTAATCAACTCCCTCAAGTTCCTAATGATAGGTTTTCGAAGGGCTTCTAAAAGTAATTTTGCGGCATTCTCTTAAGAGATTGTATTTGGGTTACAATTCTCCTTGTTCTTTCTAAGCATTTTACTCTAAAGAAATTTATGAGAGAGATTCTTTATCTATTTATTTGCTTTGCTGAAATCAATAGTCTGAATTGATTACAATTTCATTTTTTTATATTTAAATTATATAACGTTAAACATACTGTTAATTTTGAAATGTTGTATCACTTATCCAAATCAATTTAATGAAGTTAATATGAGAGATGGTTAAATTAAATTAGGGTGAATCAGTTTAAAGATTGTAAACTATGTTTTAATATATTTTGAAAATCAATTCATTATTTTATAACTCTTTTATTGGCAATCTAACTGGTTTTGGAAGAAATTTATGTGATATTACTAAGAACTCCTAAGACTCAACAAATTTTAATGCTACGACTTTAAATATTTCAATTCCTAAATTAGAGGTGAAACTTATTATTTTCAATTTTCCTTAAAATCATTGTAGGTTTTTGTAGGAGTCCTTTACCTATGTTAATTTTATGGGTTCTGCTAATAAAAATGAGAATTAAAGATTAGCCTTATTAAATAATAATATATCAAAATTAACTTTATTCAGTCAATAATGTTATATTTAGTATTTTTTGCATTATATTTTTAATTACTCTTAATCTTATTTAAGAATAAGTCATTTTAAATTATTTAATTATATATTTTAATATCATCATGATTTGGACATTTTGAGTTTAGAATCAAAATTTAATATGATAGTCTTTTGTTATTTAATAATGAAAATAACACCAAGAGATTTTTTATTCTTAATATGAAATGTATTTAAAAAGCAAAAATTAATAATCATAATACAGTTTTGGATCTTCTTCTTTTGAGCAAAAAGCTAAATAAAATAATCTCACAAACTATAATGATACATAATTAGATTTAAAAAATATTTTCTTCATTCTCATTCTTTAAATCAATTTAAAATTCAAGTTGGGATAGCGAATTTTTAAAAGTCAAGTTAAATGATTTGGTTTAGTATTGATCAATTTTAATCTTATATGAATCAACTTAATAAACTGTATGATCTTAAGAATCATCATCTTCTACCACTATTAAGTGAGATTCATTATATTTATGAACCAAGGAAATATTTTTACTTAAGATATATATCTCATTTATCAAATTGAATTCACTTATATTATACACATTAATCCTTTAAGAGTGATTCTTAATATCATTATATGAAATAATTAATATTTAATTGTTTTACATTAATAAAATTTGTTAATTCATTGTAGTTGCAGAAACTCTTATTAATCCATTTCTCTCGATAGTCGTACTTTCATTGTTAAAGCTTAACTCCAATACTTAAATGAAAGTTGGTCTTGAAAATAGAATTATTTGAGCATAATATTAATTATCATCTTTCTATTCCATGAATAAAATTTCAAATTTACTTTAGAACGCTACAGAATCATAAATAAATTCATTTATAGGTACGATTACTTAAAAATGCACTTGATTAACAATATCATATATGATAAATTCAATTGTTTCATTTTATATTATCCTTTCATGAATAGCAACAAAATTTGAATTAACTATTTAATTTACTTGGCAATAGTTACAATCATATGAGTTTATTAAAGTAAGTGTATTATTTTGAATTTCATAAAAGGAAAGTAACAATTAGAAACTAATTACGCAATATTAATTAGCTATTGAAATATTGATTATATAATGCCTTTCATCGTGGATCAATGTAAAATTAGCAATACTCTCTAAATTAGTCTTTAAATACAATTCGACGAATTAATCGCTTCCTTGCTGATACCACACTATAAAATAAAGTTCTGAACTAATTGTTCTAAAGTCAATTTTTTATTGTAAATCAAACGCTTTATAATATGATGGAGCTCCATATATATTAGAGATAGTTAGTGATTAATTATTTTCATTAATACAAACAGCATTATCAACCCTTTTGCATTTCCTCCTTTTAATAGAATCAATTTAAACCAATGGAAATACTAACTCATATGCGTTTATGGATATAGTTTCAATAGGTCCAATAACAAATCTTCTTGGATCAAATAAAATAAATTGCTAAAATATATGATATTGGAATTGCTAAACTTCAGTGGAAATAGATTTTAGTTACTGGAAACCATTTATTAGTTTAAACTAAATATAATGTAATTGAGAATGATTTTGATCGAGTTTATCAATAAGCAGAATAGGCGCATTAATTTGTTTTATAAAATCAGTAAAAATATTTATTCTACATTATAGAGATATTTCTAAAATTGTTAATCTTTTCAATTATTGCTATTGGAAGAAAAATATTTCATTATATGATGCCTATGTGAAAGTAAAATTGTCAACTTTGATAATATCAATTAAATTGCTCCTATATAAATGTGTGAGGCTATATACAGCGAGTACTGAATTATTTTAAGAATCAAAAGCAGCAATTATAAGAAAAAAACTATTTATGCTATGCTTCAACGGGTAAGCGTAATTTAAATTTTCATTGAATATTTATGTTATGGGAATCAATTGGAAATTAAAATACGAATAAAGAATAGCGAGAGTTTTATTTCCTATGGTTGAAATCACTAAAAATGAATTTTTATTAAAGTAAAATTAATGCAAACTATGAATAGTTTGGTTTTAATATCTAATAGTATTTGTAAGATTTTCGCTTTTGAAAATGAAAACTTGACGTGAAAAATCTATCTCCAAAAAGTCTGAATAAATTATCCTCTCTTAAATACATTAGCCATTTGAATTTAATTTATAGATTTATTATTCAATAATCTTTTCATTGGATAATATTAAATAACTCACACAAGATTTTAAAACGATTTAATGACCAAGGTTTTGATAACTAATGTTAATGACTTCATCTTTAAATTCATAGATACCTTTCCATAAAGTAGGTCTTCTCAAATTTAACCTTAAAACTTTCTTCCTTTAATTAGTCAACAGAAAGACATCACTGTTAAATACATAAACATTTTCTTTTTCGATTTCTCCAAAATACCCTAAATTAAGATTTGTATTTTAGTAGCACATTATTACTATTATTTATAAACTTTATTTTAGTTAAATAACTTTTACAACCTAGCGATTCTAAAATACATCAACCTGCCATAAAATCTCGAGTTTTTATTCATTTAAACAATCTTGCATAACCTCATATTATTATTCTTCACAATAAATAGCATCATTTTTTAAGAATTAGATATTAAATGGCAGAAAATCACTTTTGAATTCTTACGGCTAAAAAGTAAACTAAAAACTTTCTTCTTCAATTACCTTTTTGATAGATAGGAGTCGTAATCCATACATCGAAAAATCGTTAAATATTATTTCCATTTAAAGAAATTCAGCGTTTTAAAATAAATTGCTTGAGGCCAAATCTACAAGTGTTTAATTTGAATAATCGTTGCAATTAAAAAAGGGAGAATACTCATTTTTCTTAAAGACAATAAATTGATTATTTTATTTACCTATAAAAAATGGATAAAATGAAATGGTTTGAATTGATTATAATTAAACCTGGAATATATATATCATATCTTCTCTAACAATGCATTCAAGATGTGATTCACTAATTAAAACAATGGAATCTGAAAACATTAGAATTTATCTAGGTTTTATATATTTTGTAATTATTATGAACGTACTTAAATTTTGCTCAACCATTCTTTAAATGCTACTTTTCTATTCATAAATTGATTGTAAAACAATTACTTATCTTCCAAGCTTAATTTCGAAATCTAAAATTGTAGATTCATAATTTTAATAGATCTTATTGTAAGTCTACCCCTAAAATGAAACAATCCAATGATCAAATTGGAAAAAGTAATTATTATCAAAAGTAACTTTCCTTAATATTAGTTAGTCAATAAAATAGTGATTGTTTACAAACAATCTAAAATTTAGAGCACCATCATTGTTAAATTCTATCATAAATATTTCCCAATTCAAACAATTCAAAAATATAACTAAGAATTAAGAAGAATTTTCATTAAAATATACATCAAATTAGCATTTTGACTATTTTTTTACATCAAAGGACTATTGTATTTGAACTGTTGATTCATTAATTTTGATTATGTTAATTTAATAATTCTCAATTTATTCGCAACAAATAATGAACTTTTATTTAATTAGATAATAGACATGAGTGATCTTATCACAATTTTCAATATTAAATTTTAGTGAATAGATTAACTCCATTTGAACATTATACTCCTTAGAATCAAAAATGCTTAACCTTAGCTCCTTCATTTACAATAAATAACGTTTTTCTCTTTGATAAATTTAAATTAATCTATATTCCTAAATGCTTGAGAAAATTAATATATAATCATCTTCCTATAACAATTCTTCATCAAAAGAAATAATTTATTCTAAAAATTATGGATTTTCTTTATATACATAATCAGATTTCTCATTACTTTAAAAAATTATAGGAAAGAATTTAGTTTAGAATTCTTGAATCTAATTTTTATTGCAAAAAACCTTCGGTTTATCACAGCTAATTTCAGGCAACATTAGTAGAGTAAGAAGATAAGGAGTGATAAATTAGAGAATAATCGATTTCATAAATTAATATTATTTTAAATATAAATAATATCGCTATGAATTTACATCAATTTAAAAAAAATCATTCAAATATTCTAATCACTATTCAATTATTAAATCTACGTATATCCACAAACATGATCTTATTTTGTACAAGGAAACTCTTTAATTAAAAATATGCTTCATTAATATATTTATTATTGACTATGATTTAAAAGCAAAATTAATTAATGTTGCACTTTTTATAGAAAATTTTAATTAAAAGGAATTAATATCAAATTAATTTATGGGCATATTTGGTTAATAATATGAATCCTGAATTTGAGCTATTTTAATTCTATTTTTATATATGTTTAATATTCTGAATAGAATTTAGTTGGCAGAAAACTCTATTAATATTAACGGTAATATGTCTATAATATTAAACATTTAATCATTATTAAACTGAGGAAAGCATATGTGTTATTAAACTAATATAATTTAACAAAATTTGAATTTTATTAATTACTCAAATCTTTTAATAATAACTGTATATATTCATTTAAAAGTATTTCTTTTTTATGAATACTTTTCCAAACTTATTACAATATATAAAATACTAGTTAATTGAAAATTTAATTCCCAAAAAACTTATATTAATTAAGTATAATATTGACAAAGGAAATGATAATTATTTTAAAAACTAATTTTAATCTCTCAATAAAATCTCAAGCACAAACAGTTGTCCAAGTCTTGTAAGCCAAGATACATTATGCTCTTTTTTTGTCACCTTATGATGCATCATAGTTAACATGGGCTATAAAATAATTTTATCCTTTTCCATCAGAAGGAACAGGAGAGGGTGAATAAGTTCCAGTATTTGTACATGTTCTTGAAGCAGGTACACAAGTAAAGACAACACCAGTGTCTACAATAGTTTGGGTGTCATCGCTTATTTTAAATAATTTAACTTGTGAATCGGTGATAGTTAGAGTAGTATCTGACCAATAATAAGTAAATTTAAGTGAAGCAAATAAATTATCATAGTTATTTTCTGTAGGTGAATAGGCGACAGTACTTCCGAGGAATGGGCGAATGCAAAAAACATCAGTATAAGCTTTAATAATTCCAAATTACTCTGGTGCATAGGAATAAACCATCACATAGCCTTTATCAGTATAGCTGTAAGCACTCCAATCAATGGTCAAAGTATGTAATTGACCTGAAATTTTGAGGGAGTTTCTAAAATAAGGAATGATAGCAAAGTTGATAAAATAATAGTTGGTCTGATAATAATTGGGTTGAAATGTCGTCATTCTAGTTAAAGCAACAAGAGCTAAACTCCAAATCTTAGGCAGAATTGCATTTCTAAGAGCAATAGTAGACCTATGAATGACAGTCCAATCCCTGAGTAATTATAGGGATTGGTAGACTGTTCTCTCTAAGTAGAAGGGGTGAGATCTTGATTACGAAAGTAGAACATCTCGAGTTGCTGTCTCTAAATATTTATTTAAGATAGCAAGAAGTTTGCTTTGGAAATTGGCCTCAGTTGTTTCCTGAGAAACAATCCAAGGGTTGATTGTATACAATTTAAACATTTCTTTGACACTGGTAGCAACATTCAAAGATGCCATAGGAATTGGAGTGGCATCATTGGTTTAATCGACAAATCCATCAAAATTCATAGTGAATCTTACGAAGGCATAGTTCATTTTTCCAAAATTCTTATCACAGCAAACATTGTCATATTAAAGACTAAATGTCTCCAAGGAATCACACTCTGTATTTGCACCGCCTGTTTATAATGATCCTCCTGTTCGACAGGCTGCTACTTCATCAATAAGATAGCAAGGTAGGGTTACACAAGCAGGAGTACCTAGAGTACTAATTTAATACTGTCACAATTTACCTATCCCAAAAGCACCAGCCTTTACCATTAATCGCATCTGATCCACAAGTTGCCTATGTTGTTAATGCTGAACAGGTATTTTATCCAACATATGTTTAGGCATACGTAGTTATTAAGAAGACAAAAATTAATGAGATCATAATTTTATTAATTCATTTCTATATATAAAAAATAAATTAAGAATCTGTTAAAGGTGACGGAAGGATAAATTTACAAGTTCTTTCTACATCATCGCATATTGTTGATGTTATTGAGGAGGATTTTATATGAGGAATCTAGGATTTATCAGCTATGAAGTGTAATTGTCTTGGACTATTAGTCATGGTTCCTGAGGTTTGAGTGTAGACTATTTCCATATTCTCAATATTAACAAAATTGGATCCATCTTAAGCAATTACATTCACATAAACAACATCTGTCAAGGCATCAGTGATGCCAAAGAATTTCGGAGTGTAAGATATTGCCTACACGAAACCATTCCTTTCATATTTGACCCAAGTCAACGAGGTGGTGTGATCTTGTCCCTCAATTGAAATATACAATCTGGAGAATGTTGTTTAAGCAAAATTCAAAAAGTAGTAGTTTGTTTGATAATGCTTACTGTAAATTGCCATCTTCTTCTAATAAACCGAAGCAACACCCCAGAACTTGATTAATGTATTTTATTTTTCGGGTGTACTTAAAGTAGTGGTGTCATCTCTTAAATTTTGTAGGGTTTAGAACAAGCACTTCTCCAAATAAAAGGGGTGCACTGTAATGTTCAGAAAGGCACTCTCGTATTCTTTATATAAGTCCAATATATCTTATAATTCTTTATTTTGAGCCACTTGAATATTCACAGTCAGAATTTGATATAGAAAATTCATTTGTGGTTTGGCAATCTTTAACTAAGCCACAGTCAACCCAGAAATTGAGTATGTTGCATAACCAGTTGTCACTATGGGGTATCTAACATAATTAAAGTCTATAGTAGCACTTGTTCCACACACGTTCTTATATTCAATGCTCACCAAATCCAAAGGCACACAAAGAGTCTAATATTTTCCATTAACTCGACAAGACCCTATCTCATCAATCCTGTAGCAATCTTGACTTTACGTGTAAAGGCCACAAGAAGACCCACTCCATTTACAATACCCAGAGCTTAAGCAATCAGCTTCTGCAGTATAAACGTTACATTCTCCTGTTCCCGGCGCCGGTGTACTATAAACATAGCCTACTAAAAACAAAATCAATATCATAAAGAAATTATATTTATAAATTCAAGGTTTATTATTCAGGCAGCTTGAGCATCCCCATACTCGTTGAGACTATTAAATAAGGATCAATTTCAACTATAAATTCAACATATCCTAAATGCGCAACTGTTTAACACTTTTCCTATTAAGCATTTGTTAATGACTATTAATAGATACGTTTTATAGGTAATATTTACTTATTAATATACTTTTAAATTGAAAATACTTAGGAGAGAAAATATAATATATATATATTTGAATCTATTAATCAAATACACAAAACTCTCGATACAGACTTTTATTATCTAATACTATAATATAATAATTAATCCTCTAATTTGTTTAGCCTTTAGAATAAGTTATTAACTTTATAAGGTTCTTTTTGAATAAATAAAATAGTAGCAATATTTATTAAAATGAACTAAAATATTAATAGTATACTTAATACCCTGTGAATATACTAAAATATTGTATAAATTGTTATAATAGATTTGACAATTAGACTGCATTTTATAAGCTATTCAAATTCTTTAATAAGTTAAGTCTTTTTATATATAGTTTATAGTTCTATTTACATATTATAATGAATAAATTATTTACAGATTTTAGCAGGCATTCAATTGATATCTTATATTCGCATCAAATTAAACTAAGTTTTAAGTAATTTGATCATCCATATTTTTGTCATATCTCTTATAGAATTTATCATTTATAGAAGCGTATTAGATAAAACAATAATTAACATAATTAACATAACCGTAAAAATTCATTTAACTACATTTTCAAATTGATTGCTTGGGAAGTTGCTTTATCGAATTTTGTTGAGATTGAATCTTTTTTTGGTAGTCGAATTCGTAATTTGTGATCCAGCCTAAGATTACTAAGATGCCAATCTTGGAGACCAAAACTAAGAATGTTAATGAGGTTTTTCGGGAGATTTCATTTATGATAAGAGAATGCTTCTCCCCATATCTTACAGTGGCAATTCAGAAGCCGATACTCCCCTCTTTCTATCGTCGGTTTGATTCTTTGGTCTAGTAATACTAACAGTCAATCTTGTATATCGATCTTGACTAACATAAATAAATAGATAGTTATACATTGTAGACTAAACATCATTATCGCCAAGGCTAAAGATTTATTAGACATTGCCAATAGAGAATTGCCTCTACTTTTAAAATGGTTTTCTCCATTCAGATTGTCTAACTTGCTCTATGAATCCATTAATGGTTTGTCTTTGATTTAAGGAAGATTGCTAAGAATTGGTAGGATTGTTGTCTGTTGGAATAGTATCCCTTTAATATTTCTCTAATTGAACTCTGCATCTTTAGCATCCCTTCATGTAACCTAATCTGTATTATTCATGAGCCTTCTTTAAGTTTTTCTCCACTTGAACTCCCTTTTCGTAAACCTTTCCTCTCATGTAATAGGTAATGGTCCAATCCTTATTATTTTCCTCAATTTGATCAAGCAAGGAGAGGAAATCATCAATCGCCACTTCAACTTTAGTTAAAGCTTAAAATCTCAAACTGAGTAACTTCTAAGCACATTTTAGATCCCCCTTCAAACATCCCTATTCAAAAATCAAATCAGCCATCACTTAATTCGATTCAACCTCATCTTGTAATCCCTATTACAGAAGCAAACCTAAATCATAAAAGGCAGGTAAATAATCTTGATTTTTGGCCTAATTCAAAAGTGGCTAGATCAATTAGCTTCTATTCTAGAAGACTTTAAATAAATAAAATACTTTGTATAGTGGTTATTTGCACATGGTTTGATAAAGAAGAGCCAATTTGTGCATGGCTTTTGTAGAATTCTTATTTTTGGCCTACTTGTAATAGAATTCAGCATTTGAGTAATCTTTCTCTAAGGTATCTAATGTATTATTATTAATATTCTACAATCCTATAATTGAAGTCCATTGCTGTAAAGATCTCCCAAATAGATCATGGATTCCAAGTGATCTAATTCTGCAGCTCTTTTAAGGAGAGTCAAGGCAAAATTGCAATCATAATTCCGATTATATGCATCACTGCTGGCTATAGTGTGATTGCTTTCCTTATCAGAGAACTTATCAAATACTCTTCCTTCCTTAAATGATTAGCATAATAAATACCAAAACCAATTTCGATGTGTGATACAAACTGAATGTGTTCCTTTAATCTGCACTCTTTTTAAAGTAACTGAAAGCCTAGAATAAACTAATAATTAGAATGTACTTAATCATAATCTTTTGGACCTGTAATTCCTTCTAAACAAATTTATCCCATTATTGCTTATGCTGTTGCATTATTTTCCTCTGCTAATTTGGTGTACAATTACAGAGCTGCTATCTAGTCCTTCTCTCTGCCAAGTCCTGCAAATAATTCGTGTGCATTTCTTAATCTATGATCAACTTGAGGTTAGGCCTTTGAAGATTAAATAGAAGCAGCTTAGTATTTTTGCTAGAGCCTTTGCGAGGTCTATTTAAAATCAAACCTCTGGATCAAAGTTTCCACCCATTGATCCAAAAACTATGAAATTTCAGAAGATATAGTTTCCTTATTTATAGTTATAGTTCTATTTTCTAGAGTAGGTAATTATTCCCAAAAGAAACCCAATTAATCCAATTATCTGATATATTTATCGTATTGTTTGAAAGAGGCATCTTTGCCGCATAATTAGACTTTATCAACCTACTAACAAGCCTCAAATGCCTCTTAAATTGTACGTATCGTATCCCTTGCTAAATAGTGCAATTGTTAATTGATTTTAATACTAACCTTGTATTACTGTGTGCTGTAACTTTTCAGTATTTGAGACATTTTAGTGAAAACCTAATTAGAAAATGCTTTTCTAGGTTAATCAATATTGGAACTCATTGAGACCTACGACTTCATGTCAGCTAAAATATATATTTCTATCTACATATCTATTAATGAGCAATCACGTATTTGAACCCATCGTAGAATTGCTAATCTCCCTCAATTGGCTGCTATCAATACAAACATACATACCTAGTTTGAGTTCGACATTAACAGTTGCACTTGCTCTATAATCTTTTGCAGCAATTTGTCTTTATGCAGAAGCATTTTCTCATCCCCAATCTCCGTTGATATGCGAGAGGAATGAATAAATTGTTATTAATTCATATTTTAACTTTTTTTTTATAATAGTCCAAATATTTGATTTTCTTTTTCTGATTGCGCATTACACAACTTAAATTCTACCAGTACTCCTCTAATTTACTTCAAATCGAAATCAACATATTTTACCCAAGTCATCCATTGCATCCTCTTTTAACATAATCGTCTATTGTAGTGAATTTCCTATTTGATTGAATATCTGTTAATAGTAGTATTTATTATAAACATCATATAAAATATATCACAAATCTATCCCAAAATCTGTTTAATATAATTAATCTTCTGTTAATTTATTTTATCTTCACTGTTAAGAATCAATTTTATTAATTATGGCAACTGAACCAAATGATATTCTCATTTTCTTTACCTATCGAATGAAAATGTTAAATTGTTTTATTGTGGTATATTGAGTATCATTTTTTTATAATATTTATTACTAAACTGAATTATTAAAGTAAGATTCCTAAATCTTTTATGATTAATTGTAAATTTAGTTATTCTACTTTAAGTGTCTAATATTCTCATGGGAAGTAACAATGAATGTAACATTTAAAAAAGCATAGTTTTCCATTTTGAATAACTTGTATCTTGTGTGCATTGAACCATCACTTAATAACTATACAATTTATATAAGCATCATAGGTTTAAAAATTAATATATGAGGAAATTCTGTTAAAAAAATACAATTTTCAAAAAGATTTTAAGGTTTGTTAATACTTATTTTAAGACAGGAATGCAATCACGCGAACAATTCTACTAAAAAAAATTTGGATACTTAGAATTGTAATTAATAATCAACTGAGTGTTTTTGGATTATTACTATGTTTATTTTTGAATTGACAAATAAAACTATAGAACTGACTAATAATGAATAATTGAAATTTTTATATAGTATTTCATTCATAACCGTTAGTTAAATTACATTTTCAGCCTATCAAACATAAATTTATCTAAAATTCTAAAAGAATTATTCTTTAAATATGCTCATAGCTTAAATAAATTATTGGTGACAATCTTCCATGGTTAATTCAATTTTATAGTATTTTAAACATTGAATTACATTATTTTGAATTTTCCAATTACAAAACGCTATTGAAATAATCATATATACATAATAAATCATCATTACTCAATATGTATTTTTATCTCATCGTCTTTATCCTTATTTACAATCATCTTTGTTGGATAATAAAGAGGAACGATTCACATTCATATAATTAGATTATATTTAATTAACTAAAATTGCATTATGTATATACAATCAATAAATAAATTCAAATAATTCTTATATTAATAGGTCTTGTAATTACAAATAATAATTAAAGTAATTTTGATGAGATAAGTGATTCCTCTCCTTCTTTCCATTCACTTAGTAAATCGTATAATTTTCAACATTATTACATATGTAAATTAATCATACATTTCATTATTATTTTATTATTAATGTACAAACTCGTAGCTTTGGCATTGATTATTTCATCTGTATTTGCCGTTCAAAAGGATACTAAAACTATTTTGGCAGAAATAGACGCTGACAACTTTGGTAATACTATTCTTTCAACTGTCCAAATGTATTTACAATCAAAAGGAAATGCTGAAGAAATCTTAGTTTTGCTTAATCAAGTCTTGGCTGGATTGGTCGACGATTAAAACAAGCATGACAACGTGATTAGAGTTGACAGATCAGCATGCACTCGTATTGTTACAGATTTAGAAAACTCTATTGCTTATCATACAGCTTAAGTAGCTGCAAATGCTTAGATGAGAGAAGATAACGAAAAGGCTTTGGCTGAAGCTGAGAACGATGTTAGACAAACTATCTAAGTAATAACATAATATAATGAAAGGACATTGAAAGCAATGAAAGAACCTTTGCTTAAGAGGAAGCAAACAGAAATAAGGCTCATGAAACTTGGGTTAGAAAGAATGAAGAACACGATGATGCAATTGCAGCAGTTGATGAAGCAACCAAATTAGTCTAACATCTTTCTTTGGGTGCCACATTTGCTGAGCTTAAGCCCAAATTCGAAGCTGTATAAAAGAGATTAATCGAAAATGAAAGCCACGGTGCTCTCTTTTAACCAATTGTCACTGCCTTGACTGAATTAGCCACAAAGGTTGACCAAAAGGCAATCCAAAGAATTCTTTAATTACTTTCATAACTCAGATAACAATTGATAGAAGCTAGATCAGTTTTAGAAGTAATGAGATGTCATATACATAGGATACCGAAAACAGATAAGCTTAAAGATGGGTTGAGTTTTCTACTCATTTGAGTAATGAGCACAATAGATTGGTTGATAGAAAGAATCAATTGGAGTAAGCAATCCAATCATTCAAGACCAATATTGATACTGCCACTCATTTCTATGAAGTTCACCAAGTAAGAAGATAATATATTGAATTCTAGTTGGAATTAGAACAGGCTCAAGAAACTTTGGATGCTGAGCATGAGTGGTGCGACCTCCAAGAGAACACTTATAGTGTTTAATCTTCAGAGAGAACAAGACAATAGGAAATTGTGGAGAGAATATTGGAACACTTGACTGAGAAATTGACTGCAACATCCCAATACCTTGGTGGCAGATTTTGAGATTAATACATAAATATTAAATATAATTATGGGACAACAATAAACTTAGGAACCCAGACCATTAAATGTGCTAGTCAAAGATGTGGCTACATTTAATCTGTTGACTAAGTATTCAAATGTTGTAATTCAAGATCTCCAACAATTAAATAATGCTTAGGTAAATAATTGCTGGCAGAAGTAACAAAAAAGAAATAAGATTTATTTGAATCCTTCCCCTTTTTTAAAAAGTAAGATGACTTATGGATTGGAGTATTTGTGGACAAGGAATATTTTGTAATTACTTAGCAGAAATTCTAATATTGTAGACAATTGTTGGAGGATTTGTAATCAATTTTAATGTTTGATTTTTAAAATGAAGAAGGCACTTGTCAAATATGTTTTGCAAAAAAGATAGATAAATTACTCCCTTGTGGACATAGTTATTGTTAAGATTGTATTGATGGATGGTTTACAACCAAAGAACAAGACTCCTGTCCAATGTGTAGATCCCAAATAACCAAATTAAAAATGAAGAATGAATCCTATATTGTACCAAATGAGGCAGAACTGATAGAATCCTTTAAAGAGTAGCTCTTTATGCAATTAACCTAGTAGAAATGAAATGAATTAATTAATATTTTTTTAATTATATTATGGATTTCGAGCAATCAGACTAATTTACTTAGAGAGTAGAACAAATTATCAGGAATGTAATATATGCATCTTGACTATATGTAGTTCTTACATATTCCAGGAGAGGACAATCCGAACTGGAAGGAGATCGGTTAAAAATTAGATCAATTTTAAAGTTAATTGGAAGAAGCACAAATGTATGAAATGATTATCTATTAAAAGGAGGATCCTCCAATATCTAAAGTCTAGTTTTGAAGCAATCCTAGAGCAATTATAATGTGATTTAGGAGGCACTTAAATATAGAATCTATCAACGAGTTCAATAAACCAATAAAACCATCCTCTGAAGACTGATGACTTAAAGGTGAATGAGAGAATAAATCAAATTGGGTTGAATGTGTACGAGATTGAGAAAAACTTAGACATTAAAATTGATTTGCTCGGCAACAAGGTAGAGAGCATAAAGATAGAGAGAGAGGAATTGCAAGAGCAGATTAAATCTATTGATGGTATACTTAAAAGTTTATCGAAGCTCGTATGGAATCGTAATGGCAAGGGTTGGCCAATGTCTCTGATCAATTCTGGCAATTCAAGAAGCAATTTGAGCCTCTTTTAATTGGAACGTAACAACAGAAAAAAAAATTCTCGCTATTTACATGAGGATTTATTTTATTTATATTATTAATAATGTACTATATTGATTAAATTGTTTGCTCATTAACCGATTAAGGCAGATGCAGTCTTTGATACACTATATGTTTAGAGATTTATGTTTACTATTTCCAATTGGATGGCAATTTTTGGGTTCTTCTATAATATCTGCTGAGTCTATGAATTCTGCTTTCAACCAAAATCAATCTGAATTTGCTTGTAATATCTCCTCTGTTCTTTTCTAAATGCTTTCTGATTTGGACAGCCTTTTTGATCAAAGCATATAAGTCTTCAGGGATTTTTGGTGCACAACCTTTATTAAATAGCACATCCTTACCTCTCTTCTTCAAGATTCTCAAGATCTTTTGACCAGTCAAGAATCTGGTTTATGGGATTCCTTATTGATCTCTCAAGTAAACACCGATTTATGATCCATTAAGTCCTGAATTTACATTATTCTTGTACCCTTCTTCGCCAAATTTACAATCTAGTCAACGATGGACTTTGATGAGAGTGTCAACCACTTTGGTGCTTTTCTCTTGTATGGAAGGGCTGATCCGGAGATACCCTTTCCTTTTCCCTTAGCTTGCATACGTCCCATAATTTATTTAAAGATTTAATTTTATTTTAAATTTTATCCATTAAATGATTAAAATCACTCATGCTTGTAGAATACCTTGGGCTTCTCGATCGAATTGCTTTTACAATTAATAATTTCATACATTCCGTGATGCCATAATGAAGGTTCGAAATTGTTATCGTCATCAATGAAGAAGAATTTCTTATCCAACTCAGGCACATCAAACTTATTTTCCCAAATTGGGGCACCGTCCAATAATTTGCCAATCTCTGATTATGTGCTTCTTTGATAAAAAGACCCTGCTGCAATTCTTTAATTAGTCACTCTCCATACCTTGTTCCAAAGAACGTAGCTCCCACTGCTGCAGCCTTGAAATAAATAGCCAATTTCTTGGCAGCAGGAATCCTGTTAACTGCTTCCAAACTCAAATAGGTGGAGATCAAAGTTGCCTTGTTTTGGAAACTGTCCACTCCATTTACAATATCCAACACCTTCTGATGAGTCTAAGTTGGCACCAATGAAGTATGAGTCCACCAAGTCTTGTTCTAAGAGTTAAGACTAATATACATTTTATTTAATATTAATATTGTATTGTAAAAGTACTAGTGTAAATTCTTTGATAAAGTGTTAATCTTTTAGAATGAATCCTAGATACAAAATTATCTTCATTTAGAGATTAAGTCCTTTAATGAAATGATACTAAATATGATAGATTAAGAATGCCAATTTTAAGTCGTTTCTGATACTGAAATAAACTCCTATAAAACAATCTTGATGATTTAATTATTAGAATTAAACATTAGATTTCAAATATATAATGTAATAGGAATTACAATTATGTAAGGTGTTAGAAAGTGAATTAATTTTGATTTAAAAATCTAAATTATATACTATGATCTATAGTTAGACTGTAGTTAATGAAATAAAGGAAGGAAGGAATCAGATATGCAGAAATCAAAAAGAAAACTAATCCATATTAATATATATAATAGAACTAATCAATAAGAATGAGATTGCTATGACAGCATGTTTGTTAATTGTATGTTTCTAAGATATTATTATTTAATGAGAAATTTTAGTCTATTTAGAGAATATTTAATATATACATAATAGAATCATTGTAATTAAGTGAGTAAAGGAAGATATATGTATTTAGATTTAATTTACTTTATAGGATATTTTAAGTACGAATTGATGAATCTCTTATTGTTTCTCGAGCTATATAGGGGAGAATTCCTTAAGAATATAGTGTTGGTCAGAGGATGATTGTGAGAGTGATTAAGAAGATAGTGATAGAGGGGATATTGATTATAGTGATAGTGATTTAATTAATATGAATAAAAACGGTATTTGTAGTAATAATAAAATAAATAATGAAGAGTGTAGCAGGAGTGCTAGTGATTTTACTGTTGAGCCAAGGGGTTTTGTGCAGTCCAAAGAAGATCAACACAGATTTTTTGAATTTGCTTAGTTCTAAGACAAATGTGATGAGCTCGTAGGATGCCATACAATCAGTTTTAACACTCTTGGAGGATTTGCAGGGTGCCAATGTTGAAGCCTAAGACAAGGCGGATCTCACCTTCTAGAGATTTGAGAATGCTATCTTATCTGATATCAATGAGTTCTCAGGAATTGTGAATGTTAACTCAAAGAGTGCTGCAGCTGCCTCACAAGACCTCGAAGCTGTTGAGTAATTCTTTATCTAACTTAATCAAGTTTGAAAATTCAACAAACCACAGATTACTTGAATTGGAATAATAAGAGATACAAGGCAAATGAACTCAAATTAGAGAATTTGGCTGAGTAACCACATATTCATTACACTCTAGGTAACGTTGTGAAGCCAATGCTTTGTTCATTGACACCTTAAGGGAGTACAAAAATGCACTTTCAGTCCTCGATTGGGTGAGAAGTGATGCTCAAAGCAAATAAACTAATTTGGTTGAAAAGAGTCACGTTGGAGATTATGCTGAGAAATTGAGCAAGTATGCCAATCTCTTTGAGGAACAAGCAGTCTAAGACTTTGTGAAATTAGGAGATGATGAGACATCATTCTCACAATAAAGTATAATTGATGATTCATTGAATAGGACAGAGAGGAAACAGCGAATAGTTGGTGTAATTGATGACAAAGGATGTGGTGGGTGTGATTTAGTAATTGATTGACAAATTGAGAGAAACAATCAAGGGATTGGAAGAGTAGGAAATTCAATCAGCCAACGATTTCGCTGATTTCAAGACAAATCTATTGGCAGAATAGGAATCCTTGAAACAAGAGTATGATGCTAAGGCCAAGTTCTTGAATTCACTATAGAATGACAAAGAATTAGCTTCTGATATTTTAACCAAAAAGAAGGAGTTATAAGATTAAAGCATGAGAATTCTCAGTTTGACTCAAGGTATCACATGCATCTACAGGTTTTTATAGAGGAATACAATTACAAGAAGAAGTTGTATAATGCAGAGAAGGCAAAGAGACACGAGGAGAATCAATTGTTGGAGGAGTCTTTGTTGATTTACAGAGAGAAGATTGCAACTGTCAATGAGTATCTCAAGAAACGAGTAAATGAATATGTTGGTGATTCTTTGATTGAAGAACATGCCGTCACTAAATAGTAACCAGTTTCAACAAGAAAAGGATAATGAAACAATATTCAAAAAATACAAATTAATATTAACTAATCAAATATATATATATATTATAGATTTCATTTTTTGTCAGGTGATTATTAGAATCTTCTCTATGAGTTTTTTTGAGTTTATTGATGTTATAATTTAGAGAGTTCGGCATCATATTGATACCCATCAAATAGTGCTATTGAAATAGTGCAATACTAAATACCTTAGACAGTATCTCTACGTAACATCACTTGATTTTCGAGTACTTACTCTTCATTCAATTGTGTCTCTTCTGATATCTAATTTTGGAAATCAAAATTGTTGTCTACAGACTACTATTAGATAAATGAAATTACTCCTGGAGTGTAAAGAGCTGTCAACTTCTTTTTTAAGAGATCATCCCATGGAAATCCTTTGAGCCAAGGATGATGGAGAATCTCTTCAATCCCATTGGCTCCCAATCTTCTCTCCGGTTTCCGTTAGATTAACTGTATATGATTGAATCTATACTGTATTAACAAAATCCATAGCACTCTCACTCCAATAATTAGGCATTTCTTCTCTCCTTACTTAAACTTATTTAGCCAAGATCTATTCACGAATGTCTTGTCTGGTTCTACCATTATATGGTCTACGTCCAAGCATTAATTCATATGTAATGACACCTAATGCATAATAGTCAGCCACAATGGAGTGATCCATTCTACACATTACTTCAGGTGCCATATATCCTGGAGTGCCAGAAGTATCTCCAGCATTATTGCCCTTGTTTATGCGTGCAATTCCAAGATCAGTCAATCTCATGTAGCCATCTTCTTCCAGGACTAGATTCTCTGGCTTTAGATCTCGATGGATGATGCCGTGTTGATGTAGATATGTAAGGGAGAGTAGAATGCAGGCAACGAAGAATTCTAAACAACTTAGATGATCAATAAGTACTTGTTTAAGCTTCACTGAATTTTCTCATCTTGCCTAGATGGAAACGCAAATCACCTCCTGTTAAGAGATCGATGATAAGGTAGAGATTGTCTCTATCTTAGAATGCATATGACATATTAACAAGGAAGGGGTGATGAAGATGTTCTAACAAGTATTTCTCATTTAGCACAGAATTTACACTACGTTTCTGAATGATCTTAGCCTTCGCCATTTCCTTTAGAGCGTACATCTTTTTATTCTTCTTCATTTCCACCTTCCAGACTCTACCAAATCCTCCCTTACCAATCACGTAGAGAAATTTAAAATGTTAACGTCCCACTATCTCTGGGGGAAGACTCTCCACCTATTGTGCTACCAATTGAGTTTTGTCATTCAACTCTGATTTGCGACTATAAGATGGCTTGTCTTTCTTGGGAGAATTCGGAGCTGATTCAGATATCGAGTTCAATATCTGTTCAGAACGAGATTGCGAATTGATTGAATTTGCTGAATTCGCAGAACTGTATTTGCTAGCCAATTTCAATTTAAATGACATCTATGTGCTACTCAACATACTTTTGCTCTCCACTTTTTTTGGTACTACTTTACTTTTCAATTGATAACTATGTTCGTACACTTACGAATTGCTGACATTGCTTTTGTGATAGATAACATTGTCTGGATACAGTGGTTTCTTCGCAGATGGTTGTCTATTCATTAATATTTGACTTTGTTTCTCCCTGTTCGGTGATTGATGGGCTGAGATTGAACTCCCAACCTTGACGTCTCTTCGTGAATCCTATTGTCTGATCATGGGACTCTGATTCACCTTCTTGCGAGCACAGATTGCACAATGCTTGAGATTGCATTAGCATTCCCAAGTGCTTGACTGTTTTCTAAGTGGGACTTTAATTGGTTCACCCTTGAAATGAATCTTAGAATTCAATTATTGTTTAATGAGCAAGTCCCTCAGATTTTTGGCTGTAGATTGTTACATATATTTATTTCGTTAATTATTTTTTTTTCATCAAACTACTATTTATTATTGCCATTCTCAAATTGTCTCTTTCGCTTCGATATCCTCTCCTCGATACACATCCTTATATGCAAAATTAATCATTCTCAAATCAATATTATAACTAATTTTTATTTAATGGGCTTGCGAAAATCCAAGGTCATCAAGAAGATCAAAATGGATATGCAATAAAAAGCACTCAGCAAGGCTCCAACCACTCAGCAAAAGGTGACCATCAAGAAAGCAGAGAAAAGATCAGATGCACTCAAAAGCACCAATTCTCAATTTAGAAAACATCAATACATTACAGAAAAGAAGGTCCAATTGGATTAATCTAAAATATAATCCGTTATCGATTCACTAAACAAGTACTACCACACTAATAATGATGGCGATCGCAAAATTTATTTAATTGCTGAATTGCAATAAATACCAGAATTAAGTGAAGCACCCATAATTTAAATGTAACCATTTTTTCTATTCAGTCCTCTTAAAGAAGCCATACACTTCAAAGTAGCATTCGTAGTTCATGGTAATATACTAGAAGATTTCTAAAAAAAATACCCACAGTATAATGTTATGAGTTAAAATGCTTTCATAGCTGGCAAATCGTTTCCCAACCTTGATTTGATCCTCATTGACTACACACTCTATAATAAGATCATTGAAAAGAAACCCAGCAAGTAATTTATCTATTTAGTTCTTAGGAAAATATACCCTTTTCATCCATCCAAAGTGCCTTTTGATTACAAGAAACATTACAATATTGGCGAATATTAGGAATACATTAATCATTTAATTGGAAGTACTTTCAGCGTAATGAAAAACCAAGTTAAACAAATAATTCCAATAGGAAAAGTAGGTCAGAGTGGGACAATCGATAATGTATTGAAGGGAGCAATTGATTTTATTGCCAAATTACTTACTCAGAGTAAGGGGAACAACGTAGAACACTTATATTTGAAAACTAGCAAATCGATTGAGTTATTAATATATTGAATGTTTAAATAATGAGTATAAATGATGAGTGTGAATAAAACGAGTATTGGGTGTTAATTTGTACATGTAATAATGTTGATCATGACTCAATTGATATTTAGCTTAGTTCTTCTCCAGTGTCTTCTCTTTGAATTATATCTAAACATTGCAATTTCAATTACCTGATTGTATTGTCAGTTCTATATCTGAACCAATTTGGTAATGGTCTGTTTTATTTATTGGCTTTAATTAATCTTTTCTTCATTCTCAAGGATTTGTGAGCTCCCTATTAAACAATAAGTGTGAAGCTATTACCATTTTTAAATCTTTTTTAATTTATTTAATATATGAATCAAATAATCAATTATACTCAGTCAGCAACGATACCAAATGTTCTTCCGATTGATGAGCACCCGACTGCTTCACAAAGTCAAACAACCAATTCTCAGGGTATTGGGTGAACATCTAGGATAGCTTTTTGGCCTTCTACGTGATGATAATCGTCTCTTAATCCTTTGCGTTCAAAAGATTGTAGTGATTCAATCGTTCATCGATGATTTAAACTATAGCTTACTTTAATTTCTCATCCTTCTTGTAATCGATTACTTGTTTTTAAGGCACTTTGCTGTTTTGCTCTAACACCTACTTATTGTTATTGGGCTGATCTTGGTAATTGGATTTGTCCAAAATAATTTAACTCTGATTTAGTAAATCCATGGAATTTCGAAGTTGGGTTTCATCATTTAAATTCTCCACAACAAGCAATTTGATAGTCGGCCATTTCATCTATTTATACATTTTCTTCAGGAACGTTAGAGCCAAATCGCAATTGATTTCCTCAATTCCATCAGGTTCACCTAGGAGATATGTTAATTTTCTACTTGGATTGATAATGGTGAATAAATGAACCTCCTTGATTTGAGGGTAAAGGGTCTTGATAGTCTCTACGATTTCCTAAAAGGTCGTCACCTTTGGGGGCAACTTATGGACTTTTCTCTGATACACGATTTTTATATTAGACATTTTCTTTTATTATTATTTTATATCTAATTTTCATTAATATATACTCCTTTACTAATAAGAGATACAATGCATTTTTAATTGCATTTTGCATTCTCCATTCCTACAAATAGAAGATCACTTAGATATTTAAAACATAATTATAAATTATTAATGAAATAAGTGCCATCAGCAAGTGAGTATTCTATATTACGAAAAGTTCAAAACCTCCACACTCACACTCAACCCAAAGAATCCAATTTAACATTGGGACGCACTACTAGTTATGAGTCTGGTCAATTCTGCAAGAGTTTCGACATTATGGCATTTCGAAGAGCCTCCACTAAAGAAGATATTAACAATGCTCTACAAGGAAAGAACTAAGGGAGTCCCATAGAAACACATGCGATCAGTAACCTCAATTCAATTAAGTAATCCGAATTGCCAATTACATTAGTCCTTCGTCCCACATTGAGATGGATCAATTGCAGACCAAAGTGTGGAAATCCCTGCAAAAACAGTCCTTGGTATTTGATTGTAATATTATCAAGTAAAAGGCATATTTGATCGACATAATTGTGTTATTGCAAAACCAAAATGAATACGAATTTAAATTTGACATAAGCCAGCTTTCGTGTTTTCTCATGGTTAAAGACTTATCTAACATAATTTCATAAGCCTACTGGGATAGAGTGAACAAATCTCATTTGAAATTTGCTCTTCCTTATTTATCTATCTTAGTGGGCAAAGTGAAAACCCAGAAACTCGATGGCAACATGAGGCTCTTTGAACTAGTACACATATTGCTGAACGGTCAAAAGACTCTTATTTTATCAGAATCAACTCAACAAATTTGATTCTTAGAAATAGATTTTGTACTTGATTATTATCTATAATTATTGATTATGAGATTTTTGTTATGCAATATTTAAATTATTAAAAATCACACTATGTAATAATCTATTCACTAATAAAAAATAGTCGAATTTACGAATCAAGGTACAACTTCATTTGCACATTAGGTGAATATGTTTAATTGGAAGATTATATACGAGTAAATCAAACAGTGCAGATGAATTTTTCATAAGCCTTAGTCGAATGCATCCAATATACAAGGGATAGCGAAGAACACTTGCAATGCATTCAATAAATTCTGAAGTAACTCTTTTCCAAAAATATCAAGATAATAAATTGATTTCAATTATAAGGATAACCAAGGAAACACTGCCTTGATCTAAGCAGCGAAAAGCGGCAAAATCAGTATATTGAATGAAATCATTAAATACAAAGAAAGGTTTGAGAAAAGACAATTTAAGCTCGCACTTGATATTGCAATACAATCAGAACAAGATAATTGGGATATCGTTGAGACTTTGCTTCAATTAACTTCACTAGAAAAGCCTCAACATTTGATTAAATCTATGCGCAAAGGCAATTTTAAAACTGCACAAAAGATTATTGAATAATATGGTGCTTCTGGATAAGATGAAAATGGAGACACAGCCTTACATGTGGCTTCTCGATTGGGCAATCTATAAATTATTAAAAGCATCTGTCAAAAGGAAAATCTCTATAAAAAAAAAAATTAATAACATCAAACTCCATTAGATGTGGCTTGCAATCAAGAAACCAGAAATCAACTAATAGAAGAAGAAATCCAATTCCAAAAATCACCAAATAGAAAAAGAAGATAAGATGATCTCAATGAAAATAATTAGATTTCTTAGAAACCTTAAAAATATGAGGATTTTAATGAAATATTTTAGAACCCCCCCAAGGTATTACATGATCAAGCAATCCAAACTGAAAACAAAGAAAAGAAAGACTCTGAATCATAAATTCCAGAGCATAATTACATCAATCAACCATTCTATGATTAATTAATCTCTGAAGCCCTAGTTACTCTACCTCAACATAGAATTAGTCTAGATGACATTGTGAAGTAATTTCTCAATAATATCAAGGTAATTGTCCTTTGAAATCAATACATTCTCTTAAGAGTTGAATAAATTGTTGGAGGAACAAAGACCCATTATTGACAAGATAGTTTAGATGGTTGATGAAGTATGATTCAGTTCTTATGCAATTATTAGACTGTTCAATCTGTATGTTCTAAGTCTCGCGCCTTTCTATACGGTTCTTGCTAAACTGGTCTAAATTTACTCGATTCTGATATTGATATTGTGATCGAAACAAACGAGTAAGAAAGGATCTCGTTATATAAGATTGCTGAATAATTTAAAGTATTATGGTATATAGTTTTAGACACAAGGCTTTATTAAGGAGGTGAAGGTTATTGATAATGCGAGGAAACCTGTTTTGAAAATGCAATGTTCACAAGAATTTCAAAATAAACTTATCGATATTACCATTAGTAAGAATGATCACTCTGGGAGAAAGACTGCTAATTCGATGATTGAATTCCAGAAGGAATTTAAATAGTTTAAAAGTCTTGCTTTAATCTTGAAATTTTACTTTAAATCTATTAATCTTTTAAATGCTTATCAAGTATCTCAATCATTTGTAACAAGGGTGGTTTGAATAGCTATTGCATTCTGACTATGATCTTAGCCTTACTATAAATTAAACGTGTACGAGATCTTGAAAACGAAGAGATTGGTAAGACCTTTATGGACTTTTTCGATCTATATAGTTAAGATATCGATTACTTTAATAAAATTATAAATATTGTTCCGTCCCAATCAGAGAATATGTAAGTTGATGAACCTAATATTTACTAATAACAATTTCCTTAGTTGTAAAGATTCATCTAATTTTAGTGATCAAGGATAGTAAGAATTAGTTATATTGGATTTACATAATAAAGGCAATAACATTGCAAGCAGCACCTTCAAAGTCAAGCACATCAAAGTAAGTATTCCTATTCACATCTAAGAATGCCTTGACACTCGCTTATAGTACTATACTGAATTCTCAAAAATGCGAAGAACCATGCTTTTTCTCCAGATACAATAAACCTGTTTGTTGTATACTCAAATAAATCATCTAACAATCAAAGAACCATCACTTGACTGGTGCATATAAATCAAAATAGCCATTTTATTTCTTTAATTTTAATACTTATTGACACATGTAATATCATTTTCTAATTATATTCCAACTAATTATCTATAAATATTGTTTAAACACTAAAATAAAACTCATATGTTAACATCTTAATTGATTAGACAGCATACAAATATAAAATTACATATTTATAAACAAATATCATTTCATCTTATCTAATTAGTTTAAATACTTTAGATGTTCTCTTTCAAGTCTAGCAATTTCATCATCAAAAGGATCCTAGTTCATATTACTTACGGGTTTATTCGACATGACCTTCATAGGAGCATCCTCCTTTTTTTTGGCCACAGGTTTTGGTATATTTCTGGCAAATTCCATAGCCTTTTGTCTCGATATGTTTGTAATAATACCTTGCATTAATTTCAGGTTGCTTAGTCTCTTTGCTCTTGATAGTTATTATATTGGTTGAATTAAACTGTCTGACTTATTCTGCAAATTCTTGTCTTTTTTGTACTTTTTCTTTTTCTTTTGCCCATTCATCCCCACTAATATTAGGCCCTAAACCTCCTAATTTGGCATTCGCAGTCTTTTTCATTATCTCGTAATCCTTGATGGTGTATGGTTTGTACCGTTACGAATCACCTACTTGTTGTTATTATTATTTTGCGGATTGGGATCTTTGTTCCATTTTCTTTTGAGGTTCAGTGACCGTTTGCCTTACTTGATAGTCGTAAGTGGGTTGAAAATATTGCTATTGACTCAAGTATTATAGAGAATCTTGGATCTACTACTCTGGTATGTATGGGTTGTGTTAATATAAGGGTTAATGGTATTGTTGTTGGTTGTATTGAATTTGAGTAAGTACAGGTTGAACATTAACTTACTATTGCAAAGGTTATTGAATCTGGGGAATTCTATTTTGATCTGAGATAAGTGACATATGATACATTCGAAGTCTTTCTTGATTGGCTGTTAACAAGAATTGAGAACAGACTCTAGGCCATTCCTACCCATGACTGTTGTTTTGCCCTTGAACCTTTCCTAGAAAGTTGACATTATAAATAATTATATGTATAATAATAACCCTTCTAAATGCACAATCCATTTGCATGAATTCTTTGAATAGCTCAGTCAGTCAGGCTGTTTTAATTCATAATGGTATTTGAGTTCTCTCAAATAATCTTTAACACCATACTTTTGGCTTTTTGTTCAATTTATGGAAGTGAACACTGAAGTGGATAAAGCTATTCCTAGTATTTTATTATTCATTTAAGATGGTTACGAAGATTTTTGAATTTGTTTGCAATTCAAAATTATTAATAGAATAATTTTATTACATATATTTATAAGTTTTCAGCAATGGAAGACTTAATAATTATTTTTGTAAGTGTATATTTCATTGATCATGCCCAGGAATAAGAAGAAATGTGGGAGGCCATCCAAATCTGAGAACTCTGAGGAGATAGAATATTAGGATGAGGGATACATTGCTACCAATTAATTTGCCTTGGAACTTCTATAATTGATCACAGAAATGGCTAATTATAAATTACTAACAATAACAGGGCCAGCTCCAGGTAAAAAGGATGAGGAGAAGAAAAAATATAAGAAAAAGTGTCTAAAGAGTAGAAAGGAGATTGAAAAAGAATAAAAATGGTTAAGAAGTAAGTTAAATATCAAGGAGGACTAGGTGTTCTTCTTGAGGAATCAAGATGATAATCCCAGGAAATATCGATTAGTAGATGGCAAGTTGGTGGAGTGTGGAGGTGAATCATCTAATAATATATTTTAATTCCAAAATGAGAATTATGAAGTCAACGATTTTATGAGGAACATCCTAAGAGTTTGTAATGAGTTAAATACGGAGAATTAAAAGTTTATAAAACAACTAGTGATGATATTCTTTCGATCTAACAAATCAATCAATGAGTTTTAAGAACAATTTTTTTTATCTTTTAATTCATAATCTGAGTAAGAATATAAAGAACTAAGATAATGGGATGAATTATTTGAAATCTCATTCGACGAAAAGTTATCATTGATGTAAAGTGAGATTGATTAATTCAAAGAGAAATATTCTCTGAATTTGAATCTTGAGCAAAGTCAATTGAAAGTTGAATAAAAAAGAATGGATGTCTTAAAAAACCAACAGTTGAACCTTGAGGTATTTAAAAGTATAGAAGGACCCAATCGACCCTTAAAACTATTCACAAGGAGGATACATAGTTTATTCTATAAACATTTTGATGTAGAAGAATGATATAAGTTTAATTTTATCACTATTAATTTATCTCTTCTTTTAATGTTTATATTCTTATCTTATAATTAAATTTATGTCTCGGAACAACCAGAAAGAATACAGACTTCTTTGATGTGTTGAATTTATTCAATTAAATTAGGTCAAATAATTCAAATACATTATGTATTCTATTTAAATAATGTTTTGTGATTGGAATAGGTTATATTAATATCTTTAAAATAACAAATCAAGGGGTCAAATAGAATTAAATAAAGCTAATATTTAAGATTACTGAATAATGAATATTTGCACTTGAATTATTTTTCATCCTCTGTATTTTAGAATAGAAGGGTTATTTTTTAGATTAAATGCGGTTATGATCACATCAACTGGTTTAAGTTTATAACCGTATAAGGTTGAATTTTGGATCATGTGAAGTTAGTACAGTCGATAATTAAAAGCTGTTTATTAATTTAATATAATGAAGCAACCTCCTAAGATGAGTTAGGCAAGCAGTCCAAACAACAAACTCATCCATACTCTATTACTGAAACAAAAGAGTCCTTCATAGTATGCAATTCAGAGTCCAGCAGTCTCTCCTACTCAAGTGAGTTTGCCGAAAGGTCTGTATCAAAGCAAGAACACATCAATTGATTTGACCAAATTGGCCACTCTGATGAAACAATAGAAAGTAAAGTAACCGTCCGACGGACAGAAAGACTCAATGAACTAGTTGATAGCAAAGGCTCGTGCAATTGCAATTTCTGCAAAGACACCAACAGGCCCAATTCATATTCGTAATGATTCGACGCAGGTTCGGAAGGAGAACAAGGAGCCAGAGGTGGTGAGTCCAAAGGTTGCGGATACGAAATAGATGGGGAAGGCAGCATTTACATTTGAATATGTAATAGGAATTGGAGGATTTGGGAAGGTATGGAAGGTGAAGAGAGTGGGATAGCAATATGCTATGAAGGAGATGTCTAAGGCTTTGGTGATAACAAAGAAGAGTGTGAATTCAGTGATGAACGAGCGTATGCTGCTCAGTCAACTGAAGCACACATTCTTGATCAATATGTACTATGCATTTCAAGATCGAGAGAACCTGTACCTGGTGATGGACTACATGTGTGGAGGGGACTTGCGATTTCACATTGGACGAATGCGACGATTCAATGAGGAACAGACTAGTAATAGTATTCGATGATAATAAGAGTTTTTTGTGGCCTCTATTTTTATTGGTCTTGAGTACCTACATACAAACAACATCATACACAGAGACATCAAACCAGAAAACCTGGTGCTTGATGAAAAGGGCTTTGTGCACATTACCGATTTAGGTATTGCTCGTGTTATGAAGCCTGAAAACTCTAGCGATACGAGTGGCACTCCTGGTTATATGGGTAAGCAGTTTATCATTTAATAAGCAATTAGCTCCTGAGGTGATGTGTAGATAGAACCACACTTTTGCAGTTGATTACTATGCTTTGGGTGTTATTGCTTATGAGTTTATGTTGGGCAGAGTATGAATTAAGATTTAATCAAATATAGCGACCCTACGTTGGTCGATCTAGACAGGAGATCCGTGATCAAATACTAGCCAGATAGGTGTAAATAAGAGCAAGTGAAGTACCTCCCAATTGGAGTGCCGAGGCAGTTGATTTTGTGAATCGTTTATTACAACGTAAACCCAATAGTCGACTTGGATATAATGGAGGACATGAAATCAAATTGCATCCTTGGTTCAAGAGTTTCCCATGGTCAAAATTATAAAACAGAGAATTCACTGCTCCATTCATTCCAAATCCGAGTGATGATAATTTTGATCAACGTCAAATAGTGATCGAGGATGAAGAGAATGCTGAATTGATCAGTTAGAATATGCAATTGTTAAGAGATCCAAATGTTCAGCAACAGTTTGTTGGCTACGAATATCAAGCGCATAATAATGAGAGGGTCTTCGTCTTTGATTAATAAAAATAATGAAGCTATCACTCACATTATTTACACTTCTAATATCTATTTATTGTGCCGTGCATAGAGAATATTACGATATCTTGGGAGTCTCCCCAAATGCTTCAGTCTAAGACATCAAAAAGGCCTATCGTAAACTATCCCAGCAATACCATCCCGATAGAAATCAAGGGGATCCAGATGCAAATGAAAAATTCTCGAAAATCAACGTGGGTATTTGAGAATCCTATGATTTTAGCCTATGAGGTGCTATAAGACCCGGAGTAGAGGAAAAAGTATGATAAGGGAGGAGTTGACGGTCTCAATAATCAAGGAATGTAGCATCATGATCCATTTGACATATTCGGATCATTTTTTGGAAGAGAATAGTAGGGAGAACGAAAGGGCCCAGAATTGAAGGTTAAGGTTAGAGTCACATTGGAGGATATTTACAATGGCAAAGAGATTCCAGTTTATTTGACTAAATAAATATTATGTCCACATTGTAGAGGATCTGGTGCTGATGACCCAGATCTAGTAGAAACATGTCCTACTTGTAAAGGTGTTGGAAGTGTATAGAAAAGACAATAAGTGGGTTTTGGATGTAAGCTAATTTATCGACATTTAAGTCTTTTAAACATTCCAAGCCACGTGTGAAAGATGTTATGGAACAGGAAAGATCATCAAAAAAAAGTGCCATCTTTGTAAAGGTGATAAGGTATTAGAATATTAGTGATTCCTAGATCATTCCTGGTGCTGATAACATCAGTTTGTATATAGAAAAAGGAATCTAGGACAAACAAACTATTGTAATCATATACATAGATATACTATATAGAAATATGAGAATATGGCTGATGAACGTAATGATTCTGGCACTTCAGATCTCATCTTTTAAATTGAACAAATACCACATGCATTCTTTTAGAGACAAGGAACTGATTTAAGATGCAAGGTGGAGATTACTTTGAAGGAAGCCTTACTTGGATTCAAGAAGAAGATCAAACATCTTGATAATCATTTTGTGAGAATTGATAAGGAAGGCATTACAAAGCCTGGAGAAGTGCAAATCATAAAAGGAGAAGGAATGCCATAACACGAGTTTTCATCTCAACACGGAGATTTATATGTAGAATACAAAGTGGTAATTCCAGATTTCAATGGAGAATAACTTAGATGTAAATATAATTTATTATCACTTAGAATGGTAAAAATTCTTTTAATGAATATAATATAAATGTATAATTTATATGTTTTTGTTTATTTATGTGCTTCATAATAAGGGATTATGCCTATTATTTATTATAATATTAATAAATTAATGTATTCAAGTTATCAGATAGTGATTGAAAGCGAACCTGAATGTGTGAATTTGTAGGACATACCCATACTGTATGTGAATTCAATAGCATTGTAATTTAAGGATGAATAGATGACGGAGTTTAAAGTCATCGAATTTGCATTGATAATACTCTCAATGTTGATTAGTATGATTTGTGGTGCACGTTACTTGATGTGAGCATGAAATTAGTTAATGTTAGTGTGTCGATGACTTACATGTGTTAGACAACAATCAGCATATTGGCACTCCTATCATTGATGTTAATGATATTGCCTTCACTCACTCTATGTTCTAAGACTTTCAAGATGAGTTTGCACATGCAGAGAATAGCACAATTGTTATATTTATCGTTATTGATCATGGGAGCAGTAGTATTTTTTTTTTTCAAACTCAAACTTATCAAGAATGTAGACTGTAAGGGAAGGTAATAGTGGAGGAAGTAGGAATGTTGCCTTTCCTATTGGAAATTCTTTGTTGTCTGATGAATCTAGCCTATGTAAGTTACTTGCATTATGTCACAGTGCAATATTGCAACAAGGAGTAACCAATCAGAATGTAGATAGTGCAGAAGATTATGAACACAATAGTACCAATAATTTGATATTATATTATAATTTATAAACATGGGATGCGCAATTACAAACGAGAAAGTTGCTCTCTAGAAAACCATGATGATGGAGTCCACATTCAACAAGGAACAACGAGAGAAAGAGTAGCGGATCAAAGCACATCTTATTTTAGACGAATACCGTCAAACCAAAACAATTAGAAAGTAAATCAAACTGCAATCCGACGTCAAGGATGCTTTGCTAGAGTAACTCACAAGGAATAAAACTGTAACTCCTCAAAAGTCCTCGATTGCCAATTGAATTATATATATATATATAGATGTTTTCATTCATTTAATTAAGTAACCCCTTACTGTTTCATACCAGTAGTGAGTCAGACTTTCCAATTTGCTTTAAACGCAATCCTTTATCTAGCCAAAGAGTGTCTTCTAGTCATCAGAGTCAATGGCAATTTAATATTTACGAATCCGATGTTGCAGAGCTTCTTTTATGGTCATTCTTTTGTCTTCCTCAGTCAAACACTTGTCGATGAAATCATTAACTACTTCATCCTCTTCTTCTCGAGTGTCTCTCCTCTTATTCTCCCTTTGCTGATATTGAATACACTTACAAAAGACACTCCAATGATTCAAATGGATGGATTTTATAAAATAATTAGTGCAAAATAATTCCCAAAGCCCAAACATCCTACTTGTCACTGTAGATTGTTCGCTTATTGCTTTTGTGGACTTCTGGTGCCATTGTCTCAGGAGTTCCACACTTGACTGACTCAGTTCCCAATCCATTGTCTGAAATGCTCTTGGCAAATCCAAAATCAATGATCTTTATCTAATCAACATTTGTACAATCATTACTTATCTCTTTTTCAATAGGATGTTGTCTAATTTCAAATCCCTGTGGATAATTTTGTGTTTCTGCAACTCTTCTAGACCATTAAGAATTTGCTAAAAATATTAAATGGCCTCATTTCTACTAAACTCTTGATACCGCTTGCTTAGAGACTCTCATTTTATACACACTTATTTACCATCGCACAATTCCATTATTATGTAATGTTTGTCATCAATCTTTACATCATCATAAATCTTAGCAATATTCTTTGATTTTAAACTTTTCTACAATTCTATTTCCGAGCTTACTCTCTCGTTCCCAAGCATCACTCTTATTGCCACCTTCTTGTTCCTATTCTAGCACTAAATCATTAACTGAAGCTCCTTACTTTCCATCCCGCATATACCTAACAATAAGAACCCTTCCCCAATAAATTATCAGAATTATAGCAGTATTCTCCTATAGTAATTATTGCACCCTAATCTAAGATTTCTCTTTTTTATTTAAAGCATCTTTCAAGATCGTTTCTTCGAGTTTCAATCCTAAACTTCTCCCTCTTCTTTTACATCTACTTCAAAATTATATATATATATAAATTAATATTAATGACACTCATATATATAATAATTATTGTATACTCTTCTAGTTATCTCCATTCACTAAAATTGTTGATAATCAGTATAAATACTGCGTAGAAATATTTCATTTAAAATGTTATATATGATGAATTATCAATTGCTCAATTATCCTAAAATTTAATACAAACCTAAATAAATAAATTTAAATGGATTTAGAAGACAACGACTTCTTGGCAGATGGCGACAATCGCAATGTGAGATCTCGGAATAAGAACAATAATAATAAGAGAAACAATATGGTAGAGACAGTGCAAAGAGATTAATAAAAATAAAAAAGGCAGGAACAATAACATAAAGACGAAGAATGGTCAGATGAAGAAGAGAAGAAGAATAATGCCAAGAGGTTGTAACAGTAGGAAAAGAAATTAAAGCAAGCCTAGAAGCAATTAGAATTTAAGAAAGACGAGGAAGAAATGTAACCAAAATTAAAGGGCAAAGAAAAAAGACAAGCTCATATACACGATCTATGATCATTATTTTAATAATATCAATTCCTTAATTTACTTTACAATGCCTTAAACTGCCAGACCATGCTCTTCCTGCTCTATCAATTGCTATAGAATGGAATTCTTAAACATGTCTTTAATTTTTATCGAGTCGGACTCTAATAGATAATATAGTATCTGTAACAAATGTTTGAGGTTCAACTGACTTTAATCCTTCTGAATCAAGAGTTCCAATAGTTATTTCCTAAACAATAGACTAAGTCCAAATTCTTTTGGTAATACTTTAACTAGTGTTGGGTACATGGGAACAGTGTTATTTTTAAAATAAGCCACAAGAATGTCAATGTTTTTGCTTAGAGGGATGCGTTGAGTTTAATCTAATTCTATTAATTTAACAATTGTATCAAGTAACTTTGTGATATTTAGATTTGTTGTTAATAATCCAACATAAATGCTAATACCTCCATTTTCTTGTAATTTTTATTTGCATCTTTCAGAAGATGTAGCTAATGAGCATAATATGCTAATAGCTGCCTTTTTCATAGAGATTTGGTTTTCTTATTCACTTGGCAATTTAAATAATTCTAGCAATAAAGGAACGCCTTCATAAAGACACAATTCTTCTTATTTATCATGATTCAATTTGGTAAGATAAAATATAATTCTTAGAATATCTGCAATCATCGGCCCTTAACTTGGTAAGTCCTTCTTTAACAGGGTTAAGGCTCTAGGGATGATAGCGAATCCATCTAAATGTGGTTAAAGATTGGGTTCAGTGGAGAGATATCTAAATATTTTTATTGTTTTTAGAAGTGCTTATTCCTAATTTTAATTAAGGAAAGTGGCCAATCTGGTAATAACTTCTTTTTCGCAAAGGGATTGTTTAACTATTTTGTCGTCGCACTTTGCTAAGATCACTAAAATATTCAATGATTTGATCATTAAATTAACATCTATATTTTGAATTTGTTCAGCAATAAGCACTAGTCTATAAGTGATGAATTTGCTAGTTAAGAGTCTACTAAGATTTCTTTAACTTATAGTATTAAGATCGTATAGTAATATGATAGTGTCTAATGCTAAACCAATTAAGTCAATGTTATCAGAGATGTCTGATGTGTCAATTAATTCTAGGAGGTTATCCAATCCTCCAATTGAGAGAAGGTATCCTTCTTTGAAGTAGGTTAACTATCCCAAAAAATAGGCAGCTTCAACTCTTAGTTCTTTATGAAATTCAGATGAAGTGATTTATTGATAAAAGTTAGCTGCTCCCAAATAACATGACAATTCTAATAATTAAGGATTCTAATCAACAACAATATTTATTAATTCAAATATCAATTTTAAAATTTATAAAGATTAGGATTAATCTTATGAATTATTTTCACAATATAGTGGCATATATTTCTCAATAATTTCCAATAATGATGTTAAACCAGTATGAATGAAATATTCTTTACATTTATCATTGGGAATAGTATCTTTTAACTATTCTAAAATTTTAATAATCTAAGAATTATCACTTTGTTCTGTTAATTAAGTGATTAGTTCATTAATTTCTCTCATACTTTTGCCATCTTCATTCTAGCCCCAAAATCCATTTTACTTAATTTGATGACTGGTTCTTAATTTAAGCTATCTTAGTGAATCCAATTAAGAATCTCTCACAGCACTGCTTTTATCTATTTTTCTAGGTGATTAACATTGAACTAATTATGGTACTTACTCAATGAATGAGTCTGTAATAAATGTTCCGAAATTGGATTGATCTACAATGTGATTTCTTATAGTATTTGTTACTTCTTCAGGTAGATTGGGGCCTTGAACTATATGCCAACTTTTAGTGATCCATGGATGTTTGAGCATAGTAGTGGCATCATCCCTTAAAGTGGGATCCTTTTGGAAACATTGGATTAGAAAGTCTCTGCATTCGTTAGAGATTCCTTCAGGCAAGGGAGGACAATCTCTTTGGACTATTTAAAACATTGCAGCATATTATAATCTATCGAAATAGGGTGGATTGCCTGTCAATAACTCTATGACTGTGCATCCAAGTGACCAGATATCACAGGATGTAGATAGATGTCCTGACATTTCTATTACTTCAGGTGCCATCCAATATGGAGTACCAACTATGTTATTACTTTGTGTCGTATCTTCAGATAAAGTTGTGGCCACTCCAAAGTCTGCCAATTTAACAGTACTTGATTATCTTATGATTAAAATTACCCATCTTTGGGAGTCAAAATATTGGCACCCTTTATGTCTCTATGGACAATTCCTTATTAATGCAAATACTCCAAGCCTTTCAATACTTGTTTAACATAAATGGCTACCAAAGACTCTGGAAATGATCCAAACTTCTTTAGAATGCTTGCCAAACTGCCACTTTCGATGTATTCAAGAATGATATTTAAAAATTGATCAGTCTCTATACAATCGATGTATTTGACAATATTTTCATGTTTCAACTTCTTCAATAGATAGATTTCTTGTTGTAATGCTTTATACTGATCTTCTTTCAGTGTGGCTCTTGACACTTGCTTTATTGCCACAAGTGTTCCCTCTATTATTGTGTGTTTATTACTAATTCCAAATTCAATCCTTTGTACACAGTACCAATCGAACCTCTACCTAGCAAATCGCCTAGCTAGTAATTACCGATCTTCTTCATCTATCTAGACAATTGAGACATTTAATATTATTTAATATATATATATATATAGAAGTGATTGTAAAGAAGCGTGCAGATACAAGATGCATGTAAGCTATCTTATATTGAATAATGCCATTACATTAATGTGGCAAACGTAAAAAGGGGCACAAATATTGTAGATTGTGTGTCCAGAGTGTTATTTGCCATTTATTAATTTAATTAATGAATTTAATCCCTAACGAGCGCCAGGCTATAGAGCAGCTGAGAGAGGTCAGTGAATTGGAGCCCACTCAATTGAATTGGGGGAAAGACATACTGCTCTTCAATAGGAATCCCAATAGAAAGCGACGATCCACTACCAGAGAAGGGGAACAGAGGTAACGTCTGCCCCAAGTGAATAAGGTTCCCCTTAAGATGCCGCTACAGGAGATCTCGCTTAATCAAGACCAATCTACTCCCAATTATTCCAAACTACCACCCCTAATCAAATCAATCAAACCTCATACTGCGAAACCCAATTACAATGGCATAATTCTTGGTGCCAATTTTGCACATTTTGAAAGACGGATACTTAAAAAAATCAATTTATCTTGAATTTTATACTACTAAATTATGTGTTTATAAATCCCACATTATATTTTAAAAATTAAACATAAAAATGCAGCCACAATAATTCTTGGATTTGGTTTAATGTGCATTCTTCGAGAGCAATACACAAAGAAGTTAGGCAGAATAAGTACTACTCAAGTACAAGGATGAATGTCCTGATGAATTCATGGTCTATTGTGCCTAAGCATTCTCTAATCGCGGCATTTAGAATCGCATTAGAATAGCTTGCAGTACTTTGGTAAAACGACTAGTGGGATTGATTGTAATAGTCAACTTCTATTGTAGCATCCTCCATCTAATTAAATTACTTGGTTGGCCTGTTCTTAACAAACTAAGAATGATGTGAAAATGAAGTTCATGGAATAGTTGATTGACCCTGAAAATGAAATTAGAAGATCTGCAGCCAATGTGAGTCTATCAAACTATCTATTAGACTATAAGTGAAATATGTGCCATAGAATTACCAAGACAAGAATGGCCAGATCTAATTGAACGATTGACAACAAACTCAAAGCACACTGATATCTTGATTAAGGTGTCAGCCATCATGACATTAGGTTACATTTGCGAAGCATTAGTACGAATCCTAATATCATTTAGAAAACTCATCAATCTTCAGGTATCTCTAAGAAAGACTCGGAAGTCATATTAATGGGAATTTGTGTAGGAATGGATTTGAATGAGTAGACTTTAGAAATTAGATTGACTGCAATAAAAGCCTTACAGGATTCATTATATTTTATGAACAACTTGTTTAAATAATAAGTATTTGCACTCACATTTAATTTAGGAAATCTTTTCTTTCGTGAAGAATTTGATATTGTCCAATGCTGTATGCAACATTCAGGAGATTAAACACAAAGCACTTTAATGTTTGATTGATTTTGTTAAGCAACTCTTCACATATTTACCTGTCTACATAAATGAATTATTTTAAGCAACTTAGGCTTCATTTGAAAATCAAGGAGAAATTTCAATAGCAGCAATTGAAATCTGGAATACTATTTGTGCAGAAATGAAAGAAGAAATCATGTAGAATGGCAATCAATCGACACCTGAAAGTAATGCAGTAGATTGTTGTGTATAATTTTTTAAGAACAATTATGAAGGATTCTTACTGCCATTCATGAGAAACCTCTTATTGGATTGTGGAGATGTGGATGATGAATATCAAGGATTGTCAGTCCCTGATTCATCTTGCAAAGGATTAGCATTTATAATTGATTTTGCTGGAGTCAAAACCTACGAATTAGTCAAAAACTTCATTTAAAACACTCTCTCACACTAGCAATGGGAATACAGAAAAGCCAGCGTTATGGCATTTGGTGCTTTGGCTGAAGTTCAAACCAAAGAAATAGAAATGCTCATTAAATCTGCTCTGAGTAATCTCTTCTCTTGTTTGGTTGATCAGAATTTCAAAGTCAAGAAGGCCACAGCTCAAACCTTGAGTAGAGTGGCTGAAAATTACCCATAATGCTTCCATGAACATGATTAAGCTAACCACATGTTGGCAACCTTATTGGATTAATTGAATAACAAAATACCGATTGTTTAACATCTGATATGGGTCTTTGTTTACCTCACAGAACAACTACAACTCTTTTCCATGAGTATATTTAACAGAGAGAAATTTAACATATTGTAACATTTGGCAAGCACATCAGTAAGAGCAGATATCAAGAATTCAGAAATAGCAATAATTGACACAGCTTTCATGGCTATTCTCAATATTATCTATAGTATCACTGATACAAAATCATGCAATGATTACTTGATTGAATTCTTTTAATAAATCTAACGATTAGAGAGTGGTACATAAGTACCTGTTGAAATTAAATTTCATTTAGAGATGGGATTGATGAGTGCCATGCATGGTTGTGTAGTGAGATTGGATGACTCAACAACTCCAGAATCTGTATTTGAATCAATCATGAAAACTCTATCAAATGTAGACTCGAGAGTTAAGAATGACTATTTTTATGTACTCTCAGGAATAGCATATGCTTTTAAAAAGAAATTATCCAAATATTCGTCTTAATTAATAGCGGAACTAAATAAACCCCTTTCTGAACCAGATGACATGGAGAGCTTTAAGACAGCATTGTTCTGTTTAGCAGATATTGCAAGAGCTATGGAAGAAGAGTTTGTGCCTTATATGAAGATTTTAAATTATTTCTTTGGCTTGATTTAGGTATAAAAAGTATACTAACAATTAGAATCCCAATTTTAATAGAGAATTAAAATTATAAGTGTATAATGCCATTGCAGACATAATTTTAGGATTGAAGGATAAGTCTTTCCAATTTTTAGGTGATCTGAAAGAGATTCTCAAACTAGGATTTGCTGCGAGTATGGATTTGACTAAGAGTTAATAGAATGTGGATTAAGATTATGCAGAGAGATTAAAAGAGACGATGACTTCATTCTATACTTGTATTTTACACGCTTATTGTGAACCTAATGTGCCTAACTTTGATTTGAGAGACACAGTAGATTGGTTCATAATATTTTGTACTGATATGTGCAATCTAAAACTAAAACCCACAATTGTATAGACATATAAATTAAATGATAGGAATATGTTAGATTGACTTTGTGTTGTATATTTGATTGTTCGCATTTCTTTTAGACAGTGCCAGAGATGAAAATAAAGTTGAAAGACTTCATTACAAGTGATTTTGTGATTGAATTGATCAGGAAGATGAGTCAATACAATGACAAAGATTATCAGGAATGTGTTTCATTTGCCAAATAGTTACTAAATGACGTTTATGGATTTTAATTGAAATTGTATTGAATTAAATTAATTTGAATATTAATGGGTAATGTATGTGAACCAAGAGAAGAACTTGAGTGGAATGATAGAACTATTTAACTTCAAAGACGTCTCGAACCAAGAATGTCAATATCGAGTCCTTATTATGCAAAACTGAAACAAATAGAATCTACATAACATTGTTTGTCTCAATCAGCTCAAGAAAAACAAATTCTCAATCTAGTAGATATTCGTTAATAAATTGTGTAAGAAATGCTTAATCATGTGGAAACTTGTGGTCATTAAGAATTAGTATCAGCATAAATAATGACTGAAACTCACAATTTCTCATCCTTTAATTGGATCAATGATTCGAATAGTCATTATGAAAGTTGGAATCCCCAAGATTGTCACACACTCTAAGAAACTACTTGTGATAGAGGAATCCATTTGAATGAGTGTATGCGATTATGTTGTCTAAATTTGGAAGCATTTAAATATACAGAATAAGGTAGTGATTATATTTATGTTGCTTTTATTATGAAATATTGATTATACAATTATCATTGCTTCTTTGAATTTGGAAAATACCATTCCTTACCAGGTGTGTAACCCAAAGTAGAATACAACTCTTTGCGTGTTTACATACTATAAATCACTATATTTAATAATTTTACTTTTCAACTGAATTAACCTAAGACTCATCCTTCTTCAATTACTTCAAAAATCCATCAATAGCTTTACTGGCAATTCTTAATGTGGAAACAGGATAGATAACACAATTATAACCCATCTACTCAAATTCTTTTAATGAAATGTACGGAGTCTTTCCAAATTCTGTCATGTTAGCCAATAAGTAAATGTTTGGATTCTTCGACTTCAATTCCTTTGCCACAACAGCCATTTCTTCTTTTGTGTGTAATCCTTCAGGGAATATCATATCAGCTCCTGCATCCATATATGCCTTGCTTCTTTTGATACATTCATCCAATCCATGTGTTCCTCTAGCATCAGTACGTGCTATATTGGGGTTAAATCGATGCTTTACCACAAATGACAAACTCTCCTCCACTGCATTAGATACTTGCATTTTTGGCTATTTAGATCTTCTTCTCCATAACATCAGATGGAACCAATTCCTTTCCATCCAAATGTCCACAACGTTTTGGGAACACCTAATCCTCAATATGAAGACCTGAAGCTCCATGTATGAAATATTCCCATACTGTTTTAGAACACATTTCTCCTTCTCCGAATCCTGTGTCTGCATCTGCCAGAATCGGTAATCCTGAAGCTAGAGCCACATCCTTGATTGTCTTACAGAATCCATCCAAAGTTACCATACTTAAATACTAATAACTAAATTGTACCCAATATCTGGAACTCCACTGGATGCAGTCACAGCAGCACCTGAAATGTACAGGGCCTCAAAACCATTATCTGCACATTGTCTACCAGCCATACCATTGTATGCTCCTGGCATCATTAGACATTTCTAAGCTAATAGCTTTCTAAACAATGAGCAATTTTATTTAAATAACATAATAATTTATTATTCCAAATGAATTACCACTTATAAATTATAAAATATAATAAATTCTTCTTTAATTTTATATTAATCAATAACTTCTCCCCTAATAACATAATCTATATAACGCTTTTTATTAATATTTAATTAACTTAATGGGCTGTTCTGAATCTGTTCCCTTTAAATCATCTCTCACACAAAAATCACAATCAACCATAGATACACCCTCAACACTTGCTAAATATGTCGTTCCTCTCTCCTCATCTGCCTCCTTTGATAATTTTGACACTTACGAACTCGATGATTAAACCACATCCCATTATTATGATGAAATTCAACAGAAAGTCATCACCATACCAAAATTACATTCCATAGATAAATCGATCATTTTTTAAAGAAGAAAGATGCTCAGCTTTTGATTTATTAGAATATATTGATTTTATTTATTAGGTAACCAAACCTCTTTACATATTTATTGGTTCTTACTTATAATACTACTTACTCTTCATATATATTACGCTCATGAGTTCCTTGTGTGGTTTTATGAATATTATCAAGTCATCTTTAGTATTTATTACTCTTTACACTTAAATGTATTTACAACTCTATTATTAAATTGAATTCTAGAACATGATCTTTACTTAATACCTTTTATGGCTTTTTAATCATTGAATTAAAATTTACAGTACTTTTATAACACACATATAATATTAAAATCCATAATTTTACAATTGTTTACTAATATAGCATTCTAACTCTATTTTCGCAGATCAAGTTCATCAACTATTTAGCAATCTGTCTTTTAATGAGAGGGCATTATTTGTTTTATGATTTTTGACTCTCTATATCGTTTAAATCAATAGTAAATCATGAAAATAACTTAAATAATTCATTTATTGTTATGGAATGTTTACAATTATACACATCATAGGTCTTCTTTTTATTTAAGCCAAGAATCTCTCTAGAAACTTTCAGATCATCTCCAAACTAACCAAACTGAAGAAATATTTTAAATTTATATCACTTTGAAGATTTGATACAACATAATTGAACATAGACCAAACAAGTTTTCATTTTTATGATATTATTCTCTAAATGTCTGTGGCTGTTCAAAAATTTACATCAATTACTAAGACAACTATTATTAAAAGAAGAAGGGATTAAATTATGATATTCTTTCTTAACTATTGCTCTCAATAATTTTACATTTATAAATATAATCAAATATCGACAACTTTAAAAGAATAACCTTTTGAAATTCAACCCTTACAATAGAAATCAGATATCTTAACATAAGTTTAGAATTAATTAATAATTGTAACGTTTGTAAATCTACGAAAGTTTTATAATTTAATTTATCAATTTTTTTACCCTGCCAACTACTTATGATTCTACTCATAACATATTATTTATGACTTCATCATCAATATTAAATTGAATATACATGTTGTGAACATTTAAATGTTGAATGAATTAAGGAGCTCTAAAATCATTTGTAGTATTTGATAATCTATTTTCAAAAATTCATTCTATTGGTTCAATACCTAGTTTTATTGTCTGTTATTTATCATTTGAATTATGAGAATTTCTATTGATTAATTGTTTCTAAAAGTGCAATAGTGAATTTAATAAAATAGAATATTATTTTTAATTTATGGTAATCAAGGATATTTTAAATTGGATACTCAATTAATTTAAGGCTCTAATTATTGGATGAAAAATGGAGGATTTCAAATCTCAATCAAATAAATGAAATCAAATTTTTAATTGAGTTTTCCAAATGATTATTTTGATTATTAATATGTACTGAAACTTTAATTATATATCGATTTCTACCTAAAAATTTGAAAAATGTGCTGTTTCGATGTCATCACAACTTATGAGTTGATATTTGTAAATACAATATGATAATTGAAGATGTTTAAAAAATGGAAGTGACAGACAAATTGATTAATTTATATTCAATTATGATAAAAATTAAACGAAAAAATTTATTGAGGGTATTGAAATCTATTTTGTATATTCACAGTTGAGAATTGAATATATAAGTCTCATATAATAAATATTTTTTACCCATTAATTCTTAATTTAAGAATTGATTAATCTTATAATGATGATCATATATAGGATCACTCGTGAAAGTAACAAAGAAGTGGGATATTTAAAAAAATCATATTTTTTTCAAGTTAAAGAATGTTGGGTTAACCCACATTAAGTTAGGCCTTGATGTAATGAGTTGTTTGGTTTGCTTTGAAATAGTAAGGGCGGGTTCATCCTTACTAAATTGGCATAGGACAATATCTAGATTGAATCTCACTCTTTTCTTAAGTTTTAGTTTATGATTGGGTTTGTGATAAATGAATTGGGAGGTTGATATGTCGTCTTTGGGCATAGATTCCGAATAGTAATCATCTAAGCATTCGAGATCATCATTTGTTTGATTCTGATAATCTGAAATCGGGATCTAAAATATTGACTTTGGACCTATCATTTGAAAATGATATATTTTTTTATGTTTCCAAATATTTTCTTTTGCTCTATATTAGATAAAATGAATATCTGCGAATATCTGATTAATTATTTAGGTTGTTGATATATAATTGACAATAAAACATGCATTGCAGTATTTAAATAATAATAGTTAATATAAATATAAAAATGGGCAATTGCAATTCTTATGATAAAATAACCTTATTGAGTGGAAGACTTAAGCAGATGAAATTGCTTACTGACAGAGGAGACTACACTATCTATGAACACATCTAAGAGGAGAAATAATATGAATATTGGGTATGGAAGTCAGAACAAGACACTTTTGAAGAAGCTGAATTGACTGCTTAAGATTTTCAATCATGCGAATCAATAACCAAAATCTGTTATCACTCGAGAGGTTATATATCTGAAACCTTTACTAAACAATACATATTCGCCATGCTTATGGAACATCCTTCCTACAATTTATGGGAGTATTTAAATAGATAAAAAATACTCTCCTAAAATTAGATCATAAATATTGTAGTTAACATCATAGAAGCATAAAGAATATTAAGAGATAGTTATTAATATTTGGGGTTCTAAAATATATATACGAAAGATGGGAATCACTGGATGCTTAAACCTTTCTAATAAAAAAAATCTTTTGTGACCAATAATAAACAATTTGAAGGCTACCCAGCTCCAGAAGAGTTTATCAATACTAAATTTGATGTCGAAAGAGCTACTATTTTTGGTTTTGGGATGTTGTTGTTACATTTAATTTTAAGTACTTCTTTGCTCTAATTTAAACTTAGATAAAAGTAATCAGGATCTATATAAGGCATCTAGAATTGACGAGAATGCTTTGAGCATTAGAATCCAAGAATTATTATAGAAGAAAAATTATGATCAAGAGTTCTTAAAAATAATTGTTTAGATGTTAAACATTGATCCGAATTATAGACCTGATTATACAAAGTTAGTTATTTTATTAGCAATCAAAAACATTGGATTGTCCTCTCAATAATAGAATAAGTTGTCATAAGTTTTAAATCAAAGTTAAAGCAGCAAGAAAAGTGGAATCCTTAATGGATTGGTGTCAGTGCCTCTAGAAAAAGAGAAATATATCATCAAATTACTTAACAGTCAATAATAGATTTAAAAAATAGATGAAGAAATAGAGGAATCGATGAGTATTTATTTATTTTACTTATTTAGATTCTGCAAATAAATAAGTTGACGAAGTCATAAATGCATACTCTGTTATTTATTATAATAATCATTAAATTTTGAATGAAGCCTTTGATTACAATGATTTTACAAATGTTATGAATTATGCAACTAGATATGAGGGATAAGTTAAAAATAAAAAGTATAAATATATTTAAAATAAAGAAAACATGGTCCAGGAACATTGTATTTATCAAACAATGAATATTTTTAAGGGAACTTTGTAAATGATTTGATAGAAGGTTAAGGGCAATTCTATACTCTCAATAAGAGTACAATAAGAGGAGTATGGAAGGCTCACAGACTTTAAGAGAGGCTATCGATTTCTAGATTCAAACCCTTATTCTAGTAACATTAATAAATGAGTGATAAATGTAATGTGAGAACACAGGTTTAAAGTGTAGTAGATGATGTAGCTGAGGAAATATGTTATTCAAATGTTGCTCCGATATTTGATGCATCTACTTAGTTTCATTATGATAATAAATAATATAAATCACAATCGAGTGATCAAATTACATTTCATTCAACTGTAGATTTAAATAATCGCAGATAAGGTAAATCTCATAACTAATCTTAGGTTACATATCAAATGAAGAAGGAATGGTCATATATGCTGGCCTGTTTTGTGGTGATCTATATGATGGTTATGGAGTACTCAAGAATCTTAATCACGAATAGATTGATCTTGTAGATCATATGGATTTAAATGTAGCTGGAAAAGCATGGGTTAAATATGATGGCTAATTCAAAATGGGAAAGTACATAATTATAAATATAATTTAGAAAAAATGGGAATGGTACTCTACACTTTTCTGATAAGAGTATCTTTTAGGGAAAATTTTAAGATGATTAAATTTCTGGAATGGGATAATTTATTAATTCAAAAAATGAGGTGATAAATGGTAGATGGATAAATGGATTATATCAATAAGAATCTAAATGATTTTTTTGACTCAATTTTGGATTTTATACTCTATATATAACATTTATTAAGATAATTAAGATATTTAACACAACAATTGAAATCTAAGGGAAAGCGAAAATTAAAAATAAACTATTTTCTATCAAATTTGGAGATCTAGGGTAACCTTCTTGTTAAAGAATGCAGTTTATACGTTAGATTAATACCCTGTTTAGTTCGCTATCTAGAGACTTTAGAAGCAAAACTTTGATATCCATTTTGATATTATAATATTTAAATATATTTACACAGTTATAAATTGATTTAATAGAACTCCTCTATAGAGTAATTCTAATAATTCAATTAATGGATTTTTGTTCATTTTTTCATTGATCCATTATTAGCAATTATTATTTAGTATTTTTGTAAATTGATTAATTTTATTCACTCTTAAATTGTATGGATCAATATAAGCCTGAATTTTAATCTTGAATTTTGATAAGATTTTCACATAAAAATAATTTAAAAATGAAGTATTAAAGCTATACATTATATTTAAATCAATTCAATTTTATTTCTATTTATTGTCAATTAGCTTGCAAGAACCTAGAATTAGTTGAATCAATGTACAAGCTTAGGGAGTCTATATTTTCATACAACAATACTTTAAATTATAATTCTTCATTAATAATGTAAAAGTTTTTCATCTTTCTCTATTTCTGTTACAAAGGAATTTTATAAATACTATTTTTTTGAGTTCTTAAGAGCATTTCATTATTAGAATTTAAATAACCTTATCTTCCAACTGATAAATTATGGCTAATCGGTTAATTCTTTCATTTATAATTAAAATAAATTCAGGATTTGGTTCATCATATATATTTTACAATAATTCTTTGTCATTTTCAAAAATACATATCTTAGGATAATATTGAATAATTGATAATAGATTATTCAATAGTAGGTCTGAGATCAATTTTTAATTTCCTTTATAAAAAATAAAGAAGTATCAGTAATTGAAGAAACAACTTATAATTTATAAAAATAAGGAAAATAATAAGATTTTTCTTCAGACTAATTAAAAGGAATTGATATTTCATTAGGTTTTCAATAAATTATTCAATTATTATTGTCTAATCTTATTTGTTTGAACAAGAAAAGATTATAATGCAAGTCAATTTAAATCTAAAATTTAAACGTAAAATCATTTATCTTATTTTATGATTAGAAATATAAAGAAAGTGAATGTTTATGGGTAATAGTTCTGAAGTCAAATTGCTCTTCTTAAAACATGGTGAATTTCCTCCTCTTAAACAAAGAATAAAATAAGTTATCGAGTAAACTAGAGTAAATTTGACTCATTTTAAGCATAATGAAATTTTCTAATCCAAAAACAGAAAAAATAATCTTTACAATTTCGCTTATTTATCAAATCAATAACACAAATGAAAATAATATCATTTAAGGAAATACTAAATGAAATTTAATAGTTCTAAAGAAAAGAGAATTGAGAATTCCAGAATAATCATCAAGTTATAAAAAAATTATTATCATTCATAAATTTTTTAATTCACTATCAATTAAGATATTAATCCAAGTTTCATCTTTATTTTAATAATAAGTCCTCATAATATGTTTAGATTTATAATGCTTTGAGGAATCCAATTTCATTATCCTATAAAATACTCTTTTCCTTTAGAATTTAAACTAAATGAAACCATTTTCTGTGTTATATGTGGTTGAAAAAATCTATAAGTAGAATATCTGAATTATTCTTTTTATCCATTGAGTTTATTGGTCTGATTAAAGATAATATTTTAAGTTGTATTCCTCCCTTTTTAACAAATCCATTTTATTTATTTGAGACGTTTTCAATTAGAAATTAATCTATTTTATCATTAAGTCTAAACTCTGTAAATTTATATAATGCACTAAATATAATAATAGGTCTCAATTGAGTATATTTGGAATTAATCTTGCTTCAAAAGTTTATTGTTAATATCCAAAGTACTTTGAAATCATAAATTTTGAAACAATTGACATTTCCTGCATTTTCTTATTGCTCTATAAGAGATTTCATCCACTTTTATAACGTATCCATTCGACATGAGTTTTTATAATTCTCAAACTGATATAATATTTAACTTTGGTAGCCTTGGTACCATAATTATATTATATGGAATCCTTTGAGATATGATATCCATCTATCTATAACATTGTCAAAGTACTAATCTTCCACTTATTAGATCATCATTCTGATTCAAGCAAAATTTCATTATTCCTCCTTCTTTTGAATTTGGATTTATTATTCTAATTTATTTTAGCATTCTGTAGACCTATTTTTTATCTTTGCTTTCGAAATTTTAGGCTAAATATTGCATCATATCTCCTATAGTCTATTTCTTATATTTATTACTGGTATCCTTATTCTTTTTAAGTTATGACTCTTTTTTCCTTTAATTAATCTTAATATATTTATAAAAGTTTGTAAAATTATTCATCTTACTTTCCTCCTCTCTATAAAGTTCATATACTTTATTTATATCAGATTAAATTATATATTCTTTGTGATTATTAGTTTATTTAATATCAACTGTTAAAATTATTTTTGCATGATCAGATGTGTCTCTATGTAAGAGCTTATATGATTAACCAAATCTTGGAAATATATTTGTAGTTCATCAGTTTATAATTATTGTCATCTTTTCTTCTAAATATTATATCATGGTCTTTAAGGACTTATAGAAAATTGTTAATACTGCCTTTCTATTATTGAAGTCACCACAAATAACAATTATCTAATTTCCTTTTAAGTTTAATACATTGATATTTAGAGGTTATGTTATTAGAACAAAAACATTTAAATATTCCAAACACAACTCCTCCTGTCTTTATGTTTTTCCATAGTATTAATAATATGTATAATTTGGACTATCATTTCATTTTCTTCCTTCTTGTTTCTTATAAACAAACAATGTGGCATTCTTCTTTCGTTATTTATTATTAAGTTTCATCTTTCATAGCACTTACATTCCAACTTAATATTTTTATTGTATGTTTAGTATGAATGCGGTTCCCATCAAATTTCATTTCATTCTCAATGTTTTAGGGACGGTAAATTTGCCCCAGAATGTCGTGAGTACAACCCTGGCTCACTCATACTTATTCATCATTCCATCTATTAAAATATTACCTCTTTTATTAATATTCTTGATAAATATTAAGATTATTATTATTTCTAATAAAAGGTCGATTTCCTTAGTTTTGCCTATTAGGATTTTGGTAGTTCTTTAAGGTCTCTATTATTAGTGATAATTCTGTTTATATTTATTCCTTTTGGCACTGACTCTTTTAATTGTTATCTCTTTGGATGATTTCTATATTTATTTAAAAAATTTGAAAAAAATTTTTTCATAGCAATTCATTCTGTATGAGCG